ACTGGACATTAATAATTACGTCTTAATCAAATGTTCTCTCATTTCTGATAGTTAAGTTGACATAAACTGCCTCATTGATGTAAACCAATAGTAGCTGGTGTCCGAAACCAAGATTTTCTCGATTCGCTCTTTACCAGCAGTGCTTTTTAGAAAAAAAATCGTCACAATATGTCCGCCGTCACGAAATGTCCGCCCCCTACAAAATGTTCGTCCAAGATTGAAAATAGTGTTATATTGCTAACAACACCTCTATTTTTTAGCTCATCTGAGACGAAGGCTCAAGTGAGCTTTTCCGATCAAAATTTGTCAGTTGTCGTTCTTGCGTTGTTGTTGTTGGCGTCATTGTAAACTTTTCACATTTTCATCTTCTTCTCAAGAATCACCGGGACTATTTCAACCAAACTTACCACAAAGTATCCTTGGGTAAAGGAGATTAAATTTTGTTCAAATGAAGGACCAAGTTCTCTCCTAAGGAGAGATAACTATGAAATAGTGAAATATTAATGGCATCTTTTATAAAATTATCTTCTCAAGAACCACTGGGCCAGGAAAGATGAAACTCATTTGGTAGCATCCTCAGGTAGTGTAGATTCAAGTTTGTTCAAATCAAGACCCCCAGGGGTATGATGGGGCCATAATGGTGGGTCAAAGTTTAACATAGGAATACATAGGGAAAAATCTTTAAAAATCTTCTTCTCCAGAACCATTGGGCGAAGAGAGATGAAGCTCATGTGAAAGCATCCTCAGGTACTTCAGATTAAAGTTTATTTATATCATGACCCCCGGGGGTAGGGCTCGGCCACGATGGCTGATCAAAGTTTTAAATGGGAAGATATAGGTAAAATCTTTAAAAATCTTCTTCTCAAGAACCAATTGTCAGGAAAGATGAAACTCATGTGGAAGTATCCTCTGGTAGTGTAGATTTAAGTTTGTTCAAATCATGACCCTGGGGGTAGGATGGGGCCACAATATGGGGTCAAAGTTTAAAATAGGATTACATGGGGAAAATCTTTAAAATTCTTCTTCTTAAGAACAGCAAAGCCATTATTGGTCATAGTTATATGGAAGCATTTTCATAAGGTGTAGATTCAAGTTTGTTTGTTTGTTCAAATCATGATCCCACTTGAACCCACATTTATATTTAGATTTTTCAATACTGAACTGATTTTTGCTTTTAGTTTTACATATCAAGTGCTCAGGTGAGCGATATGGCCCCTGGTCCGTCTTTCTGTCTGTCTGTAACGCTTTCGTTTCCACACGATATCTCGAGAACCCTTTGCTTTTGCAATGAAAAGTAATATAAAATATTGATTTTGAGGTCAAAAGGTCAAAGGTCAAGGTCATAAATAAGCAAATTTCAGAAATTAAACCATTTGAGCTATTGCAATGAAATTTTATATAACACTTTCTATTGATTTTGAGGTCAAAAGGTCAAAGTTCGCGTAAATTTATACATTCTGACTGTTTGATGAAGAGAAGCTTATTCAATGTAATTTTATACCAAAACGGACGTCTCTCGCCCCTCCATCGCCCCGTTTGTTTTATTAGTATTTATAGTATTACATGTCGCTATTTTTAGCGCAGGGGCAGGAGAGTTATTGCGTATAAAACAGGTTTGGAGTTCTTATTACATCTATTAGAACTGTTTAATAAAGGCTAAATAAATCAAACACAATGGATTGTGTGAATACCGAACATGAAAACATGAATATATACATGTATGTGATTTTATTTGCATATAGCAATATACTGGTCTAGTGGTTATGTCTCTCTTTTTAATGAATCTCGGTCGATCCTTTCTTTTTTTTTTTCTTTTTTTTTTAAAACCATGTGAAATGAAAAATTTATGAGGTTATAAAATCATCATTACAGTGTGATAAATATTCCATATAAAAAAATCTTCTGTACACATAATAAAGGCAATCAAATCTTTATATGCATATTGACATACATGTATTTTAATTGTCTGAAGAATTATTTTCATACAAAATCTATAAATTGCTTCAATTTTTGCATTTTGTTGAAAGTAATATAAAAAGAAAACAGATATTAAACTTTTTAGTGCATTCACCTTGACGTGATGAAGATTCTATCAACGGACAAATCTTTTGGAGAAACTGACAAGAGAGTCAGGTAAAACTAGAATTTCCGAATATACACTGTAAACTTAATGTCAAAACCAATTTTACAGAAACTTCTGACAAAATTGTCTGAAGAATTATTTTCATACAAAATCTATAAATTGCTTCAATTTTTGCTCGAAAAAGAAAACTTTACTTTTTAGCTGATCAAAACCTGTCCGTTGTCTATCGTTGTCGTCGTAATCTTTTTCACATTTTCATCTTCTTCTCAAGAACCACTGGGTCAATCTCAACCAAACTTTGCCACAAAGTATTCTTGGGTAAAAGGGATTTAAAGTGTCACACCTTTTTCAAGGGGAGATATTTATGAATTAGTGTAAAATTAATAGCAATTTTAAAAATCTTCTTGTTAAGAACCACTGGGCAAGGAAACATGATACTCATGCGAAAATTAAAATTAAACTTAAGGAATACATGGTAAAATTCTTTAAAAATCTTCTTCTCAAGAACAGCAAAGCCAAGATTGGTCATAGTTATATGGAAGTATCCTCTGGTAGTGTAGATTCAATTTTCTTCAAATCATGACACCCGGGGTTAGGGTAGGGCCACAATGGAGAATCAAAGTTTAACATAGGAAAACATACTAGCAAAAATCTCTAAAAATTTCCTCCCTAAGAACAGCAAAGCTGTGTTTGATAATATTTATGTGGAAGCAGCTCTGGTAGTGTAGATTCAAGTTTGTTCAAATTATGACCCCTGGTGGTACTACCAGTATATTATGTAGAGTGGGGCAACAATGCCCATCAAGGTTTTACGTAGGGATACATAGGAAAAATCGTTAAATTTATTCACAAGAACAACAAAGCCATGATTGATCATCAATATAAACGCGTCAAGAAAGGTAATGTAGATTTAATTTTTTTTCACATCATGACCAACAAGGAGAATATAGAAGAGCCATTAAAGTAGATAATAGTTATTCAAATGAATATAAAGGCTATATCAATAATAAAAATTTTCATCTTAAAAACAGCAAAGTCATTATGTATTTCATTTAAAAGCATCCGTAGGAAGTATAGATATGTGTATTCCTAAGAGTTATCTCCCGTTGTCGGCGTAACACTCATTTTTCCCACTTTGTCCTTTGTAAGTTACCCGTTAATTTTTTTAATCTTTATACCTTATCGGACATTTTCGATCTGTACCTGTATTGTCAGAGTATAGGGCAACATGAAAAACATAATGAACATATTCATACAGTTTTTATTTTTAAAATACTGACCCATAAAGGTGGCAAGATTAGAGAAGGAAAACTGCCTTACGATCCTGCAAAGGGGAATAACTTTTGTAAATAAGAAAGTCTTCTATACTGAACTGATTTAGCTTTTACCTAACCTGAGTTGCTCAGGAGAGCGATGTGGCCCCTGGGCCTTTTCGTGTGCTTTTTTTGTGACGGTAAAAAATTAAAAACGCATTGACATAACATTCACTAGTGAAATTTTGCTCTTCTGAATTTTGTTAAAGAGTACGAGAATTGTCCAAAAAGTACGTGGACAGTGGCAAAATTGTCAAAATGAAGGGTTCAAGATATCCTTATTGTATACCAAAATATTAGATTTTATTTGTTTGAACTTAATATTTTTGTAAAAATCTTAGTCATTAAAGGTCGCCGATAGTGCGCACGGACCAGATTTAAAATGTCATTGTGCAGCTTTTAAATAAAGTGATCTGATTGAAATGATTATTTTCTTTTTAAAACGAGTCAAAACTGAATAAATATTTAATACCATATCACAAATAAAACGATTTTGGCCGTTTTCTGATACATTTAGTATTGCTTGCTAAATAGAGAATGAAAATATTGCGTGAAAACAGCTAGAAGTATGTTTCAAAAATTCAAAGAAAAAGCGACGTCGGCCATCCGAACGGGACAGTGTCTAATCACACAATTATTGTTAATATGGTTGAACCGTCCTCAAACACAAAATTTTTATTCAAAGAATTTAAATTTATTGGAAAATATTTAGTCCAGTGATTTGCAAGTGGTGTATCTATTTTTCATCGGTGTATAAAATTTCGGAGACCACTTTAAGAAGTGGAAAACCACTGTTATTTGATGAAAATATGATATTCCTATTAATGACGTTGTTTCAAATCTAACGCCGTCGAACTGGGCTTTGCAGCCTGTGTTGATATTGATGACGCTTATAAATTATTGTGTATTGTTTTGAATTTTAAAATTAAATTGATTATAATCTAAACACAAATAAATATGATTGCACACATTTGACAATGTGGTTTAATAGAGAAAAATAGCGTGCATCTATGAACATGTGATAAAAATTTAAAATTAATATTTCTGACGTTATCATGAAATAAGATTTACTTCAGACTGGCCCGTGTGGCTTGTATATACAGGGTGTTTCACAATATATATCACACATCTAAATGGGCATAATCTGAATATCGTGCATGATACCGAAAATACCAAAACACTATAAGTAAGCATACTGATCTAAAATTAAGATATTGCAAAGTATTGGAGAAATTATAATATACCATGAAGTAACTGATGATATAATTAGTGATGGCACAATTTCAGCTGTCCTCAAAATGGAGAACAACTTGCAGCAAAGATTTGTTCTAAACTTCTACTGGATAGATATCCTGAAAAATTGTACAGGATGGATATGAAAAAATCAAACAAATTGCTGTTTAGTTTTCGTATATTAAGAATAATTGTGTTGTGTTTGAACTAAATTATCCAAAAAAAAAAAAATGAAAATAAACCCCAGGAGGCAATTGCCCCCAAAGCCCCAAGAAAAAAAAATTAAGAAATGAGAACAATATCAAAATGAAGTCAATCAGTGAGAAAAACTCATGAAAGTTAGATCTAATCTAGGGAAAAGGATTGAAACAATGCAGGTAAGTGTATCAAGTGTATTTAGAAGTCTTAAATTTGAGTTAAGTTTGTCTGCATGCAAGATTTCAGCATTTTAATCAATTGACATTCAGAGCCGATTAAATTTTGTGTATTGTTTTGAATTTTAAAATTAAACCATTAGGTACATCTAAAGTTTAGCGTAAATAACATATATTAGTTCCGAAACACACATTTAAAATGCAACTTCAAATAACAATAGATATGCACTTGGGGAGTTGATAAAAAGCCAAGAAAATTAATATTTCTGAAACTTTCAAAACAGTGGTAAGAAATTTCTTAGCATTTGTCTCTTAGGACAATGTTGGGAATATATAAAGTATTTACATTATAATTTGTTGCCATAGTAACTGAAGTGGAGAATGTTGGATACTTCTGATGCCAAAAAATAATTTTGAATAGGTACTGATTAAAAGAATATATAAATTGTATATGTTGCTTTAGTTTTCATTTATCTATCTGTCTTTAGATATGTGACATATATTGTGAAACACCCTGTATAAAGTATTTACACCTATAATGTTTAGTAAATAGATGTGAATGTTTTAATTTTTGTTTCTTTATACTCAATCATGGTCTGTATTAAGATATTATCTTACATGTACATGTTTGCCATTGCAGACTTTATAAAGAAAATAAAGCACTTGTCCACGGACTTTTTGGACAACCCTCGTACTGTAAACGAAAAATTTAAAAGTAGTGTTAATTATAATAAACATAACAACCTTTTAAATCGAATGATAGTTCAATTTCTTCTTACAAAAAATACTAATTCAACAGAAACTTATTTTCTCAAATTTCTCAAATTATTCCTCTGTACATAACACTTCGATGTTCATTTATATATAATAATTTTCGAATTGACTTTCAGGAATGGTTCAAGGGAAAGAGAAAAACAGATCGTAATCACAAGAAAGAGCCCGTGCGTGGTGACATATCGGATCTCTTATGTACGCTACAGAAAACCAGATCCGTTTTCCAGCTGCAACCCACATCCAAGAAACGTAGGCAGATTCCCGAGGAAGAAGATGCAGCACCAAACAACTTGGCGGAAACCTTGCGAATTCTGAAGGAGGAGCCCCACATGACTCAGTCAATTTGGCCAAATCCACCTTTGTGTTTAAGTGCGCCGTCACTTTCCAATGGATGTGTTCCCTACTCCTTTCCAGCTCTTGCATCAGCCTTCGAGACATCATCATCGAAGTCACCACACAAAGAGACTGGCTGTGTTTCATTCAAACCTGAGCTTACGGAATCGTCCATTCTCAAATCCAGCATCAGGATCAGGGATCCCTTTCAGGATGACCCAACGCCGACAAAGAAGAAGCGGAAGTTGAATAGTGACGTCACCTATTCCATTCCATCCATTGATACCACGTTGGAGGATATCTACAACATGACGTCATCACTTCTTCCATACATGGACAATTTCCTGTGGGGCATGGAAGCACCGAGATTCACGTGATTCCATAAGACTGAGTGATACATTTATTGTGATAACGATCAACATTGTGAAAATGTGCTATTAAACTGTGCATCCCAGTGCTACATCGTAAATGTGCTGATTGTATTCATAAACGTTTTTTTCCAAGAACCAGATTGGTTGAGTTCATTTTATGTATCTTATTCAGAAAGTTAGAAAAATGAATGCGTATAAATTCATACTAGATATGCTTTAGTTTTAGTAAAATGAACAATGTATAGAGACAATGTTAATATCTAACAGATTATAAAGTTCACATATTTAATTGATATTTTTCTTATTCCTGAAATTTGTGATATTGAAATGACAATTGTGAAAAATGTCTATTGTATTTAGGAATAAAGCTTAATATACAAATCAACATATTTTTTGTGAGAAAACATACGTAAGGGCCGTAACCCTGGCAAGATCGGGCATATGAAAGATACCTGATTTTGATTTCATAGTCAATAATACCTTAAGAATACATGTATATAAGAATTAGATGATCACAAAATATCCAAAAAAGTTAGTAATTTAAAAAATTTAATGGAAGTCAATGTGATCAGAATTTTTCCCTTAGTTTTCAACTAAAGAAGCTTTAATAACCTACATGTAAACTCCTCAAATGATTCTGATAGAAATTTTCAGTCTCTACAAATTAACTTTCTTGTTATAAAACTTGATTTGTATAATTCACAATATAATAAGATAAAGCAAAAAAAGCCTAATATATGATAAAAATCCGGAGAGAAGAGAATGATTTTAATAACTTTTTAAAAAAAACGGACAATAACTCTCGTGAAAATGGTCAAGCGACATGAAACGAATTCATTATTCGTCAATTTGAATATATTTACATTTTCAAATATTTTTCTTAGATGAACCCATTGAGGAGAAAATATGTTCATTTAAGAAATGAATTTAAATTTTGAAGATTCGTGAGGTTATGAACTACGACGCTTCACGCCAGCAATATGCCGGCGTGAAGCGTTGCAGTTCATATACCTCATGAATCTTTAAAAATTAAATTCATTTCTTATATTTACATTATTTTTCTGATGAGTAGCCACAAATTTACAAATGTAAATTTACACAAATTAACTTTTAAATCCAATCAGTTTGCACTATAGTTGTACGTCAAGTGCGGTATTGTGACGTGACAATGGAGATATTCATGCGCATTCATGGTAGAAAATGAACAATGCTACTTTTTGGAAAGAATCTTAGGGAAATTATTTGAAAATGTAAATGTTTTTGTATGAACCTATTTGAGGGTCAGAGGTCAAAGTGTGACCAAATGGCTCCAAGTGACCAATCAGATGTCAGATCAGGAAATTGTTTTTTTATTTTAAGCCAATCATAGTCATCGTGACAAGTGTGAGCGAGATGATATTGTTTATACTGGTGCCTCATTATATCGCGGTACTTAATACTTTTGCATAAAAAGTGTTATTCCAATTTTTTACTATAACTTTCATCAAATGATATTCATAAACCAAACTATCGCCTAACTTTTTTAGTGTCAAATTATTTCCCAAGCATGCATTGTTTTATCTGTAGTCTATTTTTAAAACAGGAAGTCTTATTTACCTCCTTAATTGGAGAGTCTCATAGTATCGCAGTAAGGGAAAACATGGAAACTTGTGGTTGACATGGACTTCAATTTTTATATTTAAATTTACGATGTAATTCCTCATCAATTATACAAACTAAAGATTTTCAAAACATGAACTTTATTATGAATTTTACTAGATTATAAATTAAGTGGTCTAAATATAATAAAACAGGGATGAAAATCTGTAAAATTACGTATTATTTGAATAATTTTTTTCCAACGCATATTCCATGTATTCCATATATTTCATTCATCACAAAAATTTACATTCAGACGACAGACAGATAAATTTTTCAATAAAAAGGATATGAGCAATGTATCTGAATTTTTTTAATATACCGCGATACAATGGAACCCGCGATATAAGGAGAATCGAGTATACATATAGGTCTTTAAAGAACTAATAAGATTATTCTCAGTAGGTATAATTGTTCTTAACAAAGAAATCCTGAACTGGACACAGCTGAACATCATTGTAAATATTCAAATGTTGGAGCCAGACGAACTTTCAACTTCTAGGTCATTGCGCGTCACAGTTTACTAATACGGCGGCCCATTCGTGTAATAAATGCAGTTTAACTAGAAATGTATTCATCTCAAATGTAAATACAAGTGATAAACAACAATTTAAAAAAAGTTCACAGGAAATGAACTTAGCTGGTACGTGGTCAAATCTACTGAGAAGCCCTTCGGGCTTCACAGGATTTGATCACGTGACAAACTAAGTTCATTTCCCAGAGAACTTTTTAACATTGCTGTTTATTTCTTAAATATACAGTCTTCAATAATATAACCATAATCTAAAACACTGTACAAAAAGTCTGGAAAACTTTTAAAAAATAAGAAAAAATAGATGACATACATGTGTCTGTCCGAACATTTCAAGACACAACTTAAAACGGGCCAATCTTTCTGTGTATATATACAAGTACATTTTTATGTACGTAAACTTGCAAAAGGTTGAAATGTACTATTTTAGTACCTGTAGATATTGTTTTCGTATTTGTTTCGTATTCATTATCAGAAATTCAAACACAAAACTGGAAACAGTAGTTCATTTCTAGATGAAAAATGTATTAATTTAAATTATATTGTCATTATACTCTATGGTCCAACCACGCAGGAATGATACGAGATTTGGCAGGTCATTTTCACAGTAGCCTAGCTATTTCATCCCCGGATAATTGGTTACCGAGTGACTTCAACGATATGTCAATCTTATTTGAAACCATATAAATTACTGAGAGGTTTTAAAAAGTAGTAGGATATTTCAAATATTTGACACCATGATACTTATTTAATGCATTTAGTCGAGTAATACTCATATGCACATTCTTATAAAACCTTCGATAGCAAAATTTTTACTGAAGAAGAATAAAGAAAAATCGCCTTTTCGAATTAAAAGACTGTTCCAACCTACCATTTTTGCCCCTTCATGTCTTTCCCCCAAAGAAAAAAATTTCCTTTGGAATCACAGTAAAAATTAATGTTCATTTCAATATAAAGAAATAAAATGAAAGAAACTTTTATATTCTTCATGCAAAAATGTTTGATAACATTAAATTACAGCGTTTTTTTTTAATTGATGAACTCGCTTTTTATATTTTATTTACACATCAGTAAAATGATTAAGCAGCTGAATATAAATATATATTAGTTCTGAACCTGTCTTCAGACACGTACTAAACGACAGTTTTTAAAATCTGATGATTATGATTCAACGAAGTCAGTAATGTCCTAAACACAGTTGATACCAAAGGGAGTTTCTGTCCAAACATCGTTTACGGAAGCGTTTTGTTGACTTAGATCAAAGAGGCAGACGATAAACTCCAGAGAGAAGACAAGATAACGAAATTCATTGTACATGGGTATTTTCCTCAGCCAAGCGGAGTTTTAACCAACAAAAATCATGTAAGTAAAAATACTGGGTTAATTTGAGGACAGATAGATATTTATGAATAAAGAAAAAAATTAATATATTTTTAACAACCATGGAAACATGGGATTCGGTATGGATAAATTAAAGGCTGATAGGTATTAATGAATAAGAAAAAAATATTTGTAAAAAATATTTTAAAGTTAACTTTCCCCCTGTTTTTGATATAGAGCCCTATTCCCGGCTGAAATTTTCATTATTATTTTTTAAAAGAACAATCATTTGTCTTTTTTATCTGAATAAATGTTCCATAAAATAAAAAACAGAATGGTTCGGAATGAGGATGATCAAGGAATTAATTGCATATATACGTAAATAAATATTACCATATTTAATCATTTATCATTTTATTTTAATATGTCCCGCTTATGAAATACACCGTAAAAAATACTTAAAGTCTTATTATTGGAAAAAACCTTCAATGTTTAAATTGTTGCAACTTTTTAATGTTGAAAATGTGAAAGAACTATGCAACTTAGGTAAATTTATTTACCTTAGCCGAAAAACTAGAAAAGACATGTTAAATTAATCATTTATGTCATATGTATATATTTGTATCATATGTACATAATTATCATATTTTCCTGTAAACCTGTACAGTCATGTTTGTATTTGTTTGTACTGATGAGCTATAAAGCTCAAAGTCAATAAAGAACTTGAATACAACTTGAATTATCTTTCACAATTCAAAGGAATAAATCTTCGAAAATAGGTAAAAAACTTAAATTAAATTTTAGCTTGAGAATACTTTTAATCTCACTCAAAACTTAATTTTATTCTGATAATGCATTCAGTCGTCCATATTCGGATTTCTATGAGTACATGTAGTATTTACTGAACTATACCTAGATGTGTACTTTATAAAGTAAAGCCCTTTGAAGTCTTATTATAAAATATTATTATCATACTTCATGAAAGTTTGGAGTATTTTTTGTATTCGAGAAAGTGAGGGAAGAGATTTTTACGGAGTTCATGTAACTTCCTTACAAATGGTGAAGACATATTACAGTGATCCATGCCTTCTGAAAATAAAAACTCATTTGCACAAAGAAAGAAGTAAAAGGTCTACATACACCGTCCTGTAGTATTCATGACTCCAAATATATTCTACAGTACTTGTATATAAGTATTCTGCTTATCTGATTATATAAAATAATAAATGATGTTACAAAAATGACACAATTTATATGTTGACTATATCGTTTGTATGAGCAATGATTAAAAGTAAAATTTTAAAAAAGATAAAAATCCATAATAACTAATCGAAAATATTTTTGAAGATTATAGTGATGGTTCTTGCAGCAGCAAGCTGAATTTTTCTATATCATAAAGTGTACAGCCGTCCCTGACAATTGAAGCATATTCGAGATTGAGCCTGACAAGAGTTGAATATATTTTAAAAAGAGTTTTGTCTAAGGATGAATTTAAGCTTTTTCAAAAGAACAAAATTTAATGCAGTATTTACAATGCTATCTAGGATGTATCTTGAGAGAGTTATTCCAATACTCTTACGTGAATTAAGTTTCAAAATCTAACTAACATTATGAAAGTATAATCTAGGAATTAAGATCAGGATCTTTTTTAAAGAGTAATACAGCTGTATTTTTCAAAGAATTATATTTATGTAACCATTTTTCATTAATATTAAGTTACTTATTAATTAATTATCGCAACAATAAAAAAATCAATGTTTCGATTTAACGTGATCATTTGAGAATTAAATTAAAAAATATTTTACATTTTATAGATATTAAAAACTACTACTATATTTCGAAGTGTACATCGTATCCTCCGACAAAGCTGATGATGACCTGAAGTAACATAAAGATCAGAAGGTAAGACATTTTAATTACCAATACATTTTAGCAAATTTAGCAACAATAAAACAGATGGAGTCATGGTTTAGAATAAGATGGTTGACCAGAAAAAGTCACTTTTGCCTGAAGTATATTTTTCCTGTTTTATTTTTTTAACCGTAAGGCCAACAGTTTTCTAAAAAGAAATATAAACTAGTGTTTAAATCGAACAAATCCTATGGCATAGTTGACCCCCAAAAAATTAATATAAAATAACAAACAATCAAAAACAAAACAAAAACGATTGATTTACTCAAAAGAGTTTAATGATAATGTACACAAAATAAATTGGCCGATTATTGTTTCCTCATTTATACATTATTACAATTGAGTGAATCTTTTAAATGAAAATATAATTAATTAATTTTTAGATCCATGATTTCCACAAAAGTTAAAATTACACACGTTGGAATTCTTAATTACACTTCTTATTTTATTCTTCATGATCACGCTGTTAATTTTGTGAAGAAGACCCTTAATATATATTCCCTTTGTGAAACTTCTAGCCCTTAGATGGCTTATATTGGATCCAGAGCATAATTTGTACAATTTAAAATCTAAATTACATATATTATCATAAGTTTGATTTTTTTTTCTTGCACAGTTGGCCCCAAGATGATTCTCTTTGAAATGGCACCAACACTGCAAGATGGTAATTTTATCAAAATACATGTATTTGCCTTAATCATGGTCCTTCAAATTTCCTCCCATTCATATTAAGAGCGTTTCATGGTGAACATGAAGTGAAGAGTTAATAAGTTCAGTTTAGATGTACATGTTGTTGGCACCGAAACTAATTTAGGCAGCGACTATAGGATGTAAAAAAAAACTAAAGCAAAGTCTAGATGATGTAAAAATAAAACAAAGTCTGGATATAGTGGGACCAAGAATTGTGAAAGGATACAGTTTAATGAACAAAGTTAGTGAAAGGTGCTTAAACAGTAAAGACAGGAGCTAATGTTTCGGAATATCTCGGTGTTTACGGAGTGTCACTTGCAAGTGTAAATAAGGCTTGTTTGTCAAGCGGACTTCATTACATAAATAATCGGAAATGCCAGTGTTGACCAAATGTTTAAAGATCTGGAGCTGACGAAACGAGATAGTCATGGAGACTTCTTACACACTTTCATTTTTCAGAAGATGATTATGTGCAATTAGATGGCCATCTTTAAGGCTCTGTTTTGTCGTTTTGTTTTGACACTTACCGACGTAATGATAGGTTTTTGCGATAAAAGTGTGTTTGCATGCAATTTCGATCTTAGTTTGTCGTACTGCCATTGAAGCTTAGATATTGAAGAACGATGTTAAAGTCACCCTATAATACATTGGAGTTAAAATGACACACTAGACGACTTGTTGAATTCTCTAGAAAAAAAAAAAAAAAAAAAAAAATAATCCATCTCAAGAATAAAATCATTTTTAAAGTTTCTTTTCATTTTTTTATATGCGTGTTCAAACTTTCAATTTTATAAAAATTGTAACATTTTCTGTATTTTTATTACATTGTTTATCTTATAACCATAAAGTCTGGATATATTTCATTACCAGTACCATGTGTATTTTCAGAAAAAATCCAGTATGTTCGTCATGTCCACAGGAATTTTCATACTCATTCTCTTACCAGGCTTTTTCTGCTGTAAGTAAAAAATGGAAAAAGCCTTAATTGAAAAAAAAAAAATTATGAATGATTATTATTTAAAACCAAAGGAGTAAAAATACATGTATTTAAAAGTTTGCAGTCTTTATTGGGCGGTGGTCAAAATCATTTTGTATTAATGTTAATTTTTTAATACATTGAAGGTACCAAAAATTTTACTCCTTGATCTAACAAAAATAAACATAGTAAGGAAAAAGGAATAATTGAAAAAAAAAAAATCCAAAAAATTATACAAACATTTTTAGTTAACTTTTTATATTCGAATTATTAAATTTTCAGTATTTTTATGTTAAACATTTTATTACATTTTATTACAGTTATGTGCAACAACGATGGTCTGCAAAATACTCCTTCACATGAAATTCATTACAATGCCACAGACTATACTCAGAACTTTAGTGATAAATACGTAACGGTGGATTACAAAAGTTATTCCAAAAGCGGGATTCAGCATCATCAGTGGACCATCACAAGCCCCCAAAACACTCTGATAAATGTAACATTCTTCGCGGGTTGGCCTTACAACCTGAATCCGACAGCCGATATATCTTGTGAGTCGCGGAAAAGCAATTTAAAGGTCAGTCTTTCGGTCATTTCCCTTCTTTTGATAGTAATTCTTCATTGATAGTCTTCAAAAAGGTGTCTTGATAACTATTTTAATGCTTGTTCTTCCCTCTTTAGATATTTACGCTTCTTCCCTCTTTGAACTCGGGACCTAATTAGTCTGCCTAATTTGAGTGCAGTCTGGGTACATATTGGAAGATCCCGGCAACATTTACATGTTTTAGAAATGTTTCTTCCTTTCTAAGGCATTATTTGGTATAGGATCAATTAATCTTTGATTTTAAATTGGTAGTTCAAGATCAACGTGTTCTCCAACACAATTTATATAATGACTGAAAATTTAACAAATAAAAATATAGAAAACAAATTGAAAGAGAATATATGAAAAAAAAGAAAACAGAAAAATGAATGCATATTAATTAATATCCATATTTGAGCATGCTTGTTTAAATATCTGCTAATTATAAAACAATAATATTACAAAAAATTGACTTAAAAAAAAACAAGAGAAAAAATGAACACCTAATAAAATGTGAAACAATACTTATACTTAGTACAAAAAATTAACTTAAAAATGAACATGTAAAACACATGAACTTTTGAGCTACCTTAGTAAAATGTGTGCAAAATATCACCTGCTTGAAAAGTCAGGAAAATTGCACTATAGTTACTGTCAACTAAGTCTATCGCAATTTAACTTGAATTTATATGCACAGTAACAATTATCATAACCTAAAATTCACATCAATAGTAGTTCCTTTAACCAACAATTATAATTTGTAAGCAGAGGTTCCTGTCACTAGGCTTGCATGGATTCAAAGTAGTCTTGGATATTCAGCTAATGAAAATGTGCTTTGCACAGACTAAAAAGATACATTCCGAGTAGTAACAATAATATGCACCGAAGGATTTCTTCACAGATTTGAAATAATATTTAGTCTATAACGTAATCTGCAATTTAGAAATTGTTTTTTTTCTTAGATTGATATTAACAGACTGCTTAATTTATGGGGTTTTTTTTATCAGGAAGTATGATAATTTTCTTGAAAATTGCTAATAATAATAATAATTTTTCTATTAATTAAATGTTTGTCTTATTTTGGAAAGCATACTAGTACTGAAGATAAAAATTATACTTATATCAAAGTTGTTATAGTTTTAATCTGTTACAAAAGTCCAAAGCATTTTACAGGCTATGTAATATATGGATCATTCCAAGTGTTGTTTGATCACAACAAAGTTACCAAAATTGAATTTTCAAATTTTTAAAATTAGAAATTCATTGCTACAAAGAGTAAAAATTAATAAACATGTACTTAAACTGTTTTTCTTCTTTCCGTAAGAGGGAATTTACCGTGCAATAACTGCTTCTGTCTGATTTAAAATACTAGTAAGAAGATAACTAATTAATCCTTTCTTGTTTTTCTTCTTCTGAAAAACAAATCAAATGTTACTATCAAGTAAGCAGTATCTTGTAAAAACAACAAAGGCCTGCAGCATAGAAACTTTTAACAGGTTGTAGGCCTCATGGGACAAAATGGAACTTTCTGTATAGCACCTGGTCAGTACGAGGACATCAGGAGGAATATGACCACATCACTATCATCAAGCAATTCATTGTTGATTCAGTTTCAAGTCGACACTGCCTTTGTCAAGGATTCTAACTTTAGTCTTAGATATGAAGGTAACTTTTACCTTTAACTTGCTTAAGAAATATACCTTCCTTTGTCAAGTTTCCTTATGAAATAAAAGGATCCCGGAATTTCCTGCAAAATTGTCACATGGAAACAAAAAAAAAAGTTTTTTGATATTTATATATTTAGATAATTAAAATCAAAGCCTATGAGCAATTATACTTCTGTTCTCAAATTCTTATCTACAGTTGTAATTGAATATAAAATAGTGTATGACAAAATTATTATGAGCTTACAGAATCAGTTCTGGTTGTATTGTTATGATATTTAATTGTCTGATTTAAATGAAGTTGGAAGGTTCTGTGCTGAAGAGATAACTATAATGGACGAATACACGGTACAATGGAACCCAGCATTCATGTGCAGAGAAGCAGTGTCAAAATGTCCCTACTCTACAGAGGGTAAGTTCCGTTATACTTTCCTTTTAAAACCGAAATCTTCTTGAAAACTTGTCCACAATTTACAAATAAAACAATTATTCTTGTAAAAACGTTAAAAAGATCAATTACGATGGTTAAGATGCGTTTTCTTGCGTGCTTGAAATCATATTAAAAATAATTTTAAAAAACCCGTAAAACCGATGACAAATTGTGATGTTGATAAAAATATGTGTGATATGATCTGTTTTCATAAAGATTGCATTTTTAAGCATGATATTTTTAGAAGGATCATATTTAAAGGCTGTAGTACGAGTATGATGCGAAAATCTTGAATATCAATGAACAAATAAATTTCAAATGATTCATCACAGGTTATATGTCTCGACGTTGCATTGAAATCGATGGCTACCCAAAGTGGGGAAGACCAAACTTGGAACACTGTGTTAGTCTAGCGATGAAAAATATCTACAACGAGGTAACTATATAACGTAAAGAATTTCAGCTTGGTAAAGACTTCTTTGAGTAAAAGTAAAAGTTGTAAATTGAGATAAATTAGAAGCAATACAAAAAATATAGATGTTATACCAAATATAAATAAACACAACATTAATTTTCAACTCTCCTTAAGGCAGAGTCACTCCGAAATAAAAGTGTAGTATCATCATCATCCATTTTGAACGTCACATCAAGTCTTGCTGACATCATCGCCAAAAGAAAATCGAACACATCCCTTTATCCTGGTGATCTAACAGAGGCAACACGGACCGTTGTAACTATTTCAGACGTAACAGAAAATGCATCCGTACACGAGTATTCCTTGTTAGAAATTGCAGAGGTATTTTTATGAAGTTCTTATGTTACTTGATTAAGATTAAACACTTACACAAGTCAAACACAAAATGAAGTACTACAATGTAATTTTTTCTTGAACCTCATTTATTAACTTATTCTTAAATTTGATTTTTTCTTCAGGGGTATGGAAAGGCTGTAAATGAAATTGTCGATCCAGAAACAACAAACACTTGGAAAATATTGGCATTTGTAAGATTTTCAAATTCTTATTAATTTGATTTAGAATTTGATATTATAATAATGGTATGTTATCATCTCGAAGCATTTCTATACATTTTATTTCACTTTCTTCTTTCAGTCAACAGTGGAAAGAAAATTTCTGAATATCCTAAATTCAGTTGAGATTATGTCTTCTCACATCGCAAGGAAGAAAATCTCGATGATGAAGAAACGATTTCATCGTTCTGCTAGCAACTACTCACTTAATGATCGCATAAACGTTTTACAGGAAAATATAGGTTAGAGGGAGAGAGATATTTTCTGTTATACATGTATATAACTTAATTTCGTAAATAGTAATTATGCCTCTAGTAATAGGTTTTCACTATCCCCATAAGCTTCAACGTGTGTACAGTTTTTTTCGTTTGATGGTACTCTTAATGCACACATAATCTATAGCTTTGGATAAGCAGATTTTCAAAATAATCTTGATTTTTTGGCAGATTTTGAAATATCATTTCATGAGAGAGTTGCTATTTGTGAGGACACCGTGGGTTTAAATGTCGGTCCTGCCAAGTCGGACAGATTGATACTGACGTCATCTGTATTCAAAGCGGCTATTGGTTCAACGAAAGGTACATAATATTGTATCAAATGATATCAATATGTTACCGAACAAAATGCGTAATACCCGGTATATATTTAATATTTTATGATTAAAATATTCTTTTATAGACAAATTTATACAGATATACACTGGACGATTTCCAACTATTCCAAATATATTGTCATCTGCTGCAGAGGAGGAAACGAAATACAACTACATGTGAGTATCAATGCTACCAGTTTGACCGTTTTGGCATGAACTTCGAAGACCTTTTTAAGCTGATGTATAATATATAATCTTTAACTGGTTTTCATTCTTAAATTTTCTTTTTATGCATATTTTTAGTTAGAGGGATGTGGCAGATTGCAAACTTTTTTTATTAAAAGTCTTTTTACTTACATTTATATTGTAGATATCCAAACATTTCCAGACAAAGTCAGTTTATAAGCTCCGACATCGTATCAGCCCGGGTGTTGAACACCCCTGAGTCAGCTTATCGAGATCTCACTCATCCTATAACCATTGTCTTTCGTGTAGATGTAAGCTCTTTCGTATTTGGAATCTTTTATCCTGCAAATTTTATGCAAAAATGTATAATAAATTAAAATATCTAAAATTTAACAAAAAGGCATATCATATTATATAGAACACGACGTGGAACTCTTCTTACCAGAGAACCTGTGTTGCTCTCAATATGACGGATGGGTATGATCTGTATTTTATCTATTTTTTATTTATAACTTAAAACAAAATTAAAAAATATTATCATAATTTGACCGATTCAAGCAGTGAATAGATGTAATTTAGTATGATTTCCAAGGTGAAATAACATGAATTGTTGCTTAAAAGCTAGATACCATAAATATCACTTGTGTCATGTCATGTATTCTTTTGATATCTTTATTATGCACATTATAGTCTAATCATATAGCAAATAAATAGATAGAACCCATAAACCAAGGAGGGGAGATCAGTAGTATACGCTTCAACTGGATATAAGAATACGCTATCCATGCTCTCTCATACTGTATAAAACATATCTTGTTTAGTTCCATGGAAAATCGTTGGTCAACAGAAGGATGCCATTTGGATCCCTTACAGAGCAATCTTACCCATGCTGTTTGTGTTTGCTCACATTTGACTAATTTCGCTATCCTGATGGATGTATTTGACGTTCAGGTATATCTTGAATTAATTTTAAAACTTTAAAAAAGTGCATTTTCTAGAAATAGTGATTGCTTTCCTGAATCATACAAATGTATGACGGTAATTCAACATGGCTATCCAGTTTCCGATTTACACGTATTCATTATTTGAATGGATGTATTAAAAAGGAGAGAAAAAGCAAAAGAAATGTTCATGTTTCTTTTTCCTCTATGAACCAACGGTTTTCTTGTCTTGTTTCAGAGTAAGATTGATCATGATAATTCCATGATTCTGACAATTATGACGTATATAGGATGTGGTCTATCTATAATAGGATGTCTCATCACTGTTGTCATTTTCGAATTTTTCAGGTATGTTTCTATATTCACCTTAGCAGTTCCATAAAATTTATGACTACTGAATGATGTCATCTTACTGAAAAAAGTGATATCTTCCATCATTGAAAAATACCTTTTTCTTGATCATCTTTTACTTTAATTTAAGATTGAAGAAAGAGAGAATCAAGATTCACGAACAACTTGCAATCAGTATCATTATGGTTCAAATAATATACCTTGTAGGGATAGACCGCACTGAGAATAAGGTACGAGGCAATTAAAAAAAATAGCTCTTAAAGAAAATTAAAAATCTTTTAATACTAGATTTTTAACCCATTTGGGACCTGTATAAAAATGAATTCGAATACATCACCTTTTTTGATGAACTTAATGTTTTTACAGTATGCTTGTATGTCCATGGCTATATTACTGCACTACTTTCTTCTGAGTATGTTTTGTTGGATGTTGATTGAGGGCTTCCATCTGTACGTTATGCTCGTGCAAGTGTTTAAAGCAAACAGGAATTTCAAAAAGTACCTAGCGTTTGGCTGGGGTATGTTAAATACAAAATATAAGAAGTTTTTTTTTAGCCTAGCTTGATGTGATTTTTGAATTTACAAAACATTCCGACATAATAAATCATTGATAAAATTACCCTTTTTAACATGCAGGTTTACCTATTGTGATAGTAGGAATATCGGCTGGGATATTTCATGATGAGTATGGATCTAACACCGTGTAAGTGTAGGCAAAAAAATAATAATAAGAAAAATAACATATTAAATATATTAATTTCATTTTAAGGCCTATTATGATAAATGAATTGAAGTAAACTGAAACCTTTTTTATCTGCAGATGCTGGTTAACTCGTAAAGTCTTGCTTGTGGCGTTTGTGCCTGCTGTGGGACTTTTAATTTTGGTAAAAAAAATTTTTAATTCACTGAAGATAATTTTTGGAATATATTTCCCAACGTTTATGTCGAAAGTATTGGGTTTTTTAAAATCATAATCATTCTTTTTCTCTTCATAAGTTGAATACAATCGTTTTATTCGTTGTGTTGAGGACTATGATGCGTTCGATTTCGGTGTCTGCAAAGATAGGAACAGACGAACGATCTAGCGTAAGGTAAATATTGTGATCAATACCCAATTGTCGTAAAAATGGTGATATACAGAAAAAAAAACACTAACAAGAAGGACATCTTTTTTGTTTGTTAAGGACTTAAAGGCACATAATTTCTTATTTCAACTTATTTGGTTTGTTTACTTGGATTATTTCATTGCAAGGTTAGAAAACTAGCATCTTTCTCTTTTTTCCAGAACTGGTCTAAAGGCAGCTGCCGTCTTACTTCCTATTCTCGGGCTGACTTGGACTTTGGGATTTTTCTCAATTGACTCCAAGGACACACTTGTCTTTACTTATCTTTTCACATTCCTAAACTCTCTTCAGGTATAAACGTGTTTTGGTCTTTTTTAAAAAATCTTTCTCTTAGTGTTTCTTTGCATTCTATATATGCCCAACTTGTACGTGAATTCCTTTCTGACTACTCAGTATTTGAAATATTTATTTTCTTTTAGGGTGTTTTCTTTTTCTTGTTCCATTGCTTGATGAGTACTGATGTAAGTAATTCTTACTGACAATACTTAGTTTAAAAACTGTTCACGATTTATGTCTCTTAATTCACGTTTTCAAAAAAAAATCTCTCAATTTTGTCTCACCTGTAATCATATTGAAAAACTAGGTGAAGACTGCTTTTGAACGCAGATCACAGCGAAAGAGCAGGTCTAGTTTGTCAGCAACTCTTGGTAAATCCAACAAAAGGGACAGGCTGATAGACAACAGAAAGTCGTCTTCGGTAGGTTCTCGTCTGCCTTTAGATTTTGCTAGTATGTTCTAAGCTGTTGTGAAAAGAAAACCTATAATTTTTTTTTTTTGAAAGTATATTGAAGTAGTAAAGACGTATGCTAAAAGTAATTCAATTTCAACTGCTGTTTGGAAACTGGTGGAATGGTAAAATTAGCAGTAAAATCTTTTTTTGTAGACGGATACGTCTTTGACGGATGTGTCCCTCTCCCACAAATTAACCCCTACCACCAACAGACTTTCACAGATGGAGTCGAACTGGGATAATTATGGATACGACCATCCGACGGAATTTTTCACTCGCTCTTTTAGCGATGGCATCCCTTCTTGGAAAAATATCAACAATTTACGCGCGCTTCACACGCATTATCAGACAGCAGACGACATTTATTCCAAACACGGCCTTCATCAGAGACAATTTGAACAGAGTAAAGAACAGTCTATTGAAGACCTTTACAGCAAACCATTGAAGAGACGTGACAGAGAGAACCATGTTCATTTCAATGATGACATGGTATTAACAGAACGAAAACTCGGCACAATTAGTCCACCTGGAATGAAGCTGACGAACTTCGACAGTCCGTACACTACAATCGACAAAAATTGGTCAAAGAGTTTTCTGGCTGAAATTCAAGAAAAAGCAAACAATATCAAGTTAAGGAACAATTTGGCGATTGAAAATGGAAAACTGGAGGTATAGTTGAATGAATCACCAATCACTTGTTGCAAAAAGCTGTAATCCAAAATATAGAACTCTTGTCTATTCGTATTAGAATTGGATTTAGAAGAGTTGTTTCATCTACAGAAAACAAAACTATTCATTCAGTGACAAAAAAAATTAGATAGAAGGATGTGCTGATTTATCTAACACCGGTACACTTTGAAGCTTTTAAGTTCATTTTCAAATTTCAATTTCCTATTTCATGTTCATTCTATCCTAATGTCTTAAAAACATGTTTTGTTGTTTAATGCTCATTTACTTTGTCGTGTATTAAACTAAATAAAACTACAAAATGACTATAGTGAAGAGTGATTAATTACTTTTAAATAAGGCAAAAATACTATGCCGTAAGATCAATTGCTTTGCCTTGACTGGAAGTTTACATGTTTAAGATTGAAACAATATTCGATGCAAATGTATTTATTTATTTCATATGCTTTCATTACCATTAAAATAATCATGTCTTACATCATCATTGTGTTTGTTTCCAACTATGCATTTCTTTGAAATAATATATAATAAATGTTCATGTATCTAAAATATCATAATAGTATATCATTATTATCATATAACGCATTAACTTCGTTAAATTAAAGATTTCCTTCATTCATGTTGTTTTTCTTTGATTTAAAAAAAAATTGTTTTTCTATGCAAAGCTCTAAATACTAATGACAGATTTTTGGGACTTTTTTTCATATTGAGTATATTTACATGTACAGATGTAGTTGTTTTTCTTTTTCACATACGGCATCTATTAAGCTTTACAGATCTCAATGTTGTTTTCACATGCAATTGATATTTTGAGTACTGTACTCGGTTTAAATTCAATTTATGTATAATATAATAGACATATTATGTCACTGCCATCTAAATATTAATTGACCGATCTTGACAAGTGGCACAGGCGGGTGTGACCGGTCGGCAGGGGGTGCTTACTCCTCCATGGCACCTGATCACACTTTTGATATTCTTACAGGTCAGTGTTTGCTCTGCTTATGATTCTTATAACTTGTATGGACTTACGAGCTTCATACTGTCCGTTACCTCAAACTTTTATTTCTAAAGGTTTCATGCATCAACATGTACTTTTAACTTACATGAATTACGTATCAAATTATTTTTTAAAATTCTCCATATAGTATGCCAGTGTTGCAATGCCTTTCTTTAGTCTAATTTACACATTGTTCACAAATGAGTTAAAAAAAATAGGATCTCTCATGATTTGAAGACTAGTCAGATATGGTTCTTATCCAACGAGTTGTGTGGGGTTTCTTTTTTTTTATCCTCGAGCCTTGGCAAGGGGATAAACACACACAACTCATTGGATAAATGTCATATCAAACTACAAATCATGGGGGATTCCTTTTATCCCATTACTTAATACTTCACAACCAATGCTTTACACCGTTATATATAGGACTCCATACTTCATCACGCTAAAACCATGGGATAAAGTGGTAAACATGGCATATAAATGAGTTTTTTTGCTATTATATAGTTAATTGACTATAATTAATTCTTGAAAACAATCAAAAATGCGTTCAGGAATCTGTGTATAGAAATTATTTAAGTGAATGCTGCTAGTAAGAAATTACACCATGAAAACTCAGGATAAAGTTCCTTTAATGTTCTTTTTTTTTAATTTAAAGGTTAAAGATGAAAAAGATATTTATTTTAAGATTTTTTTTATTAGATACATAATGCACTTGCATCTAGTATACATATACTGCGAATTTAATTCAAAATATACACAAGTCAAATAATAAAAGACAGACTGAGGCATTTTGATAAATTTGAAATACTTAAAATCAGTATTTCCACACTTTAAATTAAATAACATTTTTTTCTTTTTGGTTTTTGCACAGCAAAAAATACAAAGAAATTACTTTATATTAAAACATTACAGACAGATGTTTCCTTAGCTGCAATAATGTAGCCCTCTCCGATTTTTTTATCTGATATTTTCTGGAGAGGGCTACAATTCCATCGCATCTCCGTAATGGTGCAAATATATTTTTATGATACGGGCGATTGAAGGCAAAATAAATTATTTTTACATTCAACTTACTTCTTATAAGACGGATTATTTATTCACTGTCAACATCATAGCCTGTTAAACTCGAAAACCATGTAAAATAAGTCCGCGTCTTTCCCAGCCGCATTTTCAGCAGCCATGACAGTTCACGTGAGACGTCAATGAGACTTTCGCTTGAAGTTTATAACAACTAAATAAAGCAAATTTCAATGTTTATAAACGACTGTGCTGAAATATATCACAAGAACATCGATAAATAAAACCATTTCAAGTGTTTTATTTTTGCGCAAACAGCGATACGTATGCTTAAAATAAGGGAATTCCCGGTAGATCCGCTCCTATAGATTCTAAATTCTCATTGGCTGTCCCAAAATAAAATCTATCAAGGTCAGTAAACATGGCGGATAAATTCAAGTTGTGATGTTGACATACACGAAAAATAACCGATATATGGATCGTTGTGAATATTTTTGGATCGATTTATGTTTTGCATAATTACATTTTTGAATTTCAGGTAAGAGATGTTAATAAAATAGCCGTTTACTGATAATTTGAGCCGAAATCTGTGCGGGAGTGATTCACTGCCGCATCTGCACCATTACGGAGATCCTAAGGAGTTGTAGCCCTCTCCCAAAAAAAAAAAAATCGGAGAGGGCTACATTATTGCAGCTAATGTTTCCTAATATCAAATATCAATTTATAAATCATTAATGATTTTCTGGGGAGCAAAGGGAACTTGATAACTGAATTTTTGCAAAGATATTTTTATATGGCATAAAATTACAATGCCTTTAGGCAGAATATAAACTGTCTACAAAGCAACCTTTATATTCAAAATATATATATTAAAAAAAAAATTTAGTAGACATATATATTTAAAAATATACACATGCACTTAAACACACAAAGAACATGTTCATAAAAAAAGTTATGGTCAGGTTAGATTAAAGATATGTATCTCATCTCTGAAAATATGGCAAAAAATATAAAAATGATTTCAATATGATAAGATATGTATAAAAACAGATAAACACTCGAATGTGCAATGGGAGTTATTTCCCTTCTAATACGTGAACAAAATGAAGATCAATCAGAATAGGGCAAGTCTTATATAAAAAAAAAAACAACAAAAAAATTATAAACTTTTCTTATTAGTGGAAAACATGCTGATATGTCGTAAAGTCTGGAATGTTTATGCATAAAATATTTTTTTAAGGGATAACTGATATTTTGTAAAATATATTTTCAAAAGTTTACTGCACATAACCCTTGGGTAACACATATCACATTTTTTGTGTTCAAACAAAAAAATACATGTATAAAAAAAAACACCATTTCACAACCACGCAATATACAAAAGATAAGTTTGCAGATAAAAAGACTCATTCTGAAATAACACAATGATAGTCACACGTAAGTTGATATGCACAAAAGTTTTGAATAATCATCACCACATTGATGTGTTAATACATGTACTTATAGTTCATCTACAATTTTAATACAATTGCTAAGACAAGAGTACCTCCATTCCTTCATAAAGGTATCAGGTAATCTAATCTGTAAGAATGGACAAAGATTTCAAAAATATGGATTTTCTCATGTTGTGCAGGATATGCTTAATCTTCCAAACGTTTCAGTGAATCGAATCACCGGTAGCTGCTTTTGTCATACGACTGATCCATTATCCCCTTCATGTTGCTGTGTAGGTCTATCTCCTCCATGTCCACAGCATTGCGGTAATCCGTCAGCTCCTTGGAGATTTTGATTCTGGTGTAGTTAGCTGATAGAGTGGACATAAATAAAAGCTAGGAAATAAAGAAACATATAAAAAGATTAGAGAACCACTGGTTTTTCACTTGAAATACCTCTTTTGTCCTTAAGAAAGTGACTTTTCCCAACAAGGAATAGTCAAAGTATGAATCTCATTTCACTTCAACAGATTTACCACTTCTACAAGATTGGTTTAAATCCACCTTTAGATGTTGGAAAACATTATACAAGTACATGGAAAAATATTCTGAGTACCTACCATACCAATGACGATACACGCTGCCCCAGCTAGGGCTACACAGAACAGAGGACCTGCCTCAGCAAACTGAAATGAAACAATAAATGTTAGACAGTGAATTCTGTTTTACAGTAAGGAATTTTTTTCTCTCTTTTTTTTTACAATTAGGAAATTATCTACTATGTAAATTACATTGGGGAATCAGGAGATCTCAAAAGTCTGCGATTATTGACAAAAGTAAAAAGGCGACATTTTCCAGAAACTCTTAGAATTTCAAAAATTAAATAAACTGTATTCATAATTTTAATTAATATTTTCAAATTGCTAAACAAACTGGAAACCTCATCTTTTTCATTATTTATCAACTGATAAAATTACAAAACAATTGTGCAAATCTTTATGATTTTTGCATTGTAAAACACAAATAACTAAATGTCTATTAGGCAGTCATTTGGTATTAAAAATATGTGTGGTTAATTTCATATATCTCAGTACAGTTATATTTACCCTATCACATAGGACCCTTAGCTCAACAGGGTTACAGATTTCATCCCTCCCTGGAGCAGCAACACCCAGAAATGGGTATGTGGAATTCCTGTAGATACCTGGATGGAAAAAATAAAATTGTTAAATTTAAAAACCAATTTTTAATCAATCATAATATGTGGTTTACATATAGGTTTATTTAGTTATTCAGGTTAAATCAAGGATGTACAGGTATATTTTGTGTACTCTTTCTCTATTGCTAATAACCTTGGTTTGTATGAAAGGCTACAGAAGACATTGACAACTGAGTCAACTGACCATAACATTTGAGTTTGAAGAAGGAAGTAAAAAAATTATGAGCTGACCATAATGTTTGAGTCTGACATTAAGAACTGACCATAATGTTTGAGTCTGAAGCAGTAAGCCACAGTTTGATAATTGTTGTGGTAAACTTCCTGGTTACAGATGGACCCCAGCATGATGTACAGAAACACAGGAATGGTGGCCACACCCACGATCACCAGCCAGACTAAACTCAGCAGGAATGACATCATCATAAACTGAAAAGAAATGACATCATCACAAACTAAAGAGAAATGACATCATCATAAACTGAAAGGAAATATTTTCATAATACATTATACCCTAGTACAAGAAGCAACTGGTAAAAGTCACATGAGTTTTCTAAAGTATGATAAGAATAAAATTACGATTAATAAAATTAACTTACAAAACCAGCAGACACTTGTCCTCCCATAATGCATCTCTTCCCCGAGTATACATTTTGTCTGGTTGCTCCTGTTGCAAGGAAACCGAAAACCAACAGGACAATGGAGAACAGTGCCATCACTATGGCAATCACAATGAACACAATCTGAACCACAGACAGCCTAGAAAATTCAGCAATGAAATTCAAATGTCAAAACATGTATAAAACAAAAATTATCTCATTCATTTTCCTTCAAGACCTAATGTTTTTTTAAGTACAAAAGCCTCCTCTACTAGATTTTAAAGCAATAAGATTTTAGCGATAAGATTTTTGATTTGAAAAAATAATCTGCAGGAAACTACTCTATTAGAAGTAAAATATTTAAATAAGAAAAGTACTCTTTTTTTCATCAATTACAACTTTCACTTCATTGCTCATTAAAGAAAACACATACAGGTACTTTAGTACATTAAAAATGTATCATGCTTTAGAGGGTAAAAAATGTTAACATAGACATATAAAGAGTATTACTATTTGCTTTGTATGTCAACACATTGGTTTCTTTCAGAATATGGTTAAATCTAATTACATCAGGACTTTAATTTGAACCTATGAATTCACTCAAAACATGCAGGATCTTTAAATTCCTTGAGTAAGTGATGCGTTACTTTACATGCCACATACCAAGTCACTGTAAACTGGAACAATCCCTCCATAACATTGATAATGATGATCTGTAATGCTCGGTACAGGGTGCCACAAAACACCCCCACTCCCACAAAGACAATAATGGTGGCCATCAGAGATGCAAAGGGCCAGTTCCCCAACTTATCAAGTGTACCTTAAATTGAAAAATTAAACAGTCAAGGCACCTTCAGGCATACTATGGCATAAAAGTAAGTTTAAATAATTAAAAAAAATTACTTTTTTAGGCTAGTGTCAGGGATTTTCCATTGCCCCGTGTAGGGCCGAATATGGGACCCATTCCCAATTGCAAAATCACTCCATTTTTCCCAAAAATTAATAGCCTGTTTAATTTTTTAAAAATTCATGTAAAACAAACATGGTCAGGTTTGAACTCTTAATGAAATGAACATAATTTTTGGAGACTTGGCTAAAACTTTATAATAATAGATCTATTTTCTGAAGTAAAGTTCTGAATAATGAAGTAAAAAATCAGTTTTAACTATCATAAGTGTTTATTTATTGAAATACATCTTGCTATAAATTTTCCCAAATGTTGTAAAATGTAAAATTCCCAATGGTAAGGGCCTGGGCCCCATCCCCAAAATGGAGTGGAAAATCCCTGAGTGTAGTAAGTGTACCTGTTAGTTAAGGAATGAAGCTTATTTCAACTTATGTTATCCGATATAACATAACTTGGGGCAGTTTACGCTTTATAAACTTTGAAGCGGTTTATAAAAAAGCGTAAACTGCCCCAAGTTTTGTTATATCGGATAACATAAGTTGAAATAAGCTTCATTCCTTATAATTTAATTTCAGTATAGACAATGAGACAATATTTCCTCCGGAAAAAGGTTTCAATTTGAGCATTATTTTAAAAATAACGTCAAGCGCAGTGATACGTTTTTGACGTAACTCATTGTGACGTAGGCAAGTTATGTTATACAAAATATTATATGTTCCTTAGAATGATTCATAATAGGAAATTAAATTATTCAAAAATATCTTTTATATACATATTCTATATACATGTATTAAGATATTTGATGTACAAGGAAAATGTTAGAACAGGTGCTGTTTCAAAACTGAAAATTTTGCAGCCTCCAGCTCAAGTTCATTTTTAATACTTGTGAACCAAATTAAATGTCAAACTCACTATTTATCAATAGCACAATGCTTCTAGTACTTACCAATATTGGTTAAAAGAAAATATCACTCCACATTTCAAAACCTGATTTGCAAAGATTTTAAAATGCATGAAATGAAAACAAATCTCAAAAGTCTGTAAAAATGTTCTCAATGGATTGTAAATTTATAAGCAAACCATGGAAACAATGTTGGTGAACTCTCGTACTAAAAGTATTGTACTATTGAGAAATTGTGAGTTTGACATTTGATCGGTTTGCAAGTAATTTAGTATCGAAAATCAACCTGAAAATGCTGCCTCAGCTTGGAGGTGGAAAATAACCAGATTTCGAAAAAATGGCGTGGGTTCGGACTTTTTTCCTGGCATGTTAAATTTATCAAAATTGTTAAACAGGCCTGGAAAAAGTCATACATTTCAAGACTAGTGCACAAGTGGTACCCTGCATATGTGTGTATAAAACGGCGCGTCGATTTACACAAATGGACCCAGATGGACCCAAATGGAAACAAATGGACCCAAATGGAAATACAAATGGACCCAAATGGAATATTAAATATGTATTATCGTATTTCAATACTTATTTAAAATGATGAAAATAAATGAACTTACATTTACAAATGATTTTTTTAAATTATTAATCTCTAATATTGTATTTTGAAACATGAAGTTTTGATAGTATTCTATATACTGGCAAAATTATTTGGGGGTAGGGGTGGGGGGGGGGCATGGCCCCCTCCCCCCATCCATTCCTACGGCCATAGAAACTATTAAATACTTCAGTTTTGTATTCAATTATGTTCAATGGTTATTACAAATAGAATTAAATTAAATCGCATTTTTAAAAATACAATTGAAGAAAATAATGATATTAAAATATTCTCTTTTTGTTTTAATTTCATTATTTTCTATGTTTTAGATAAGTAAAACTTGAGAATACGATATAATATATATATTTTATATTCCATTTGGGTCCATTTGATTTCCATTTGGGTCCATTTGAGTTTCCATTTCATGATTTGGGTCCATTTGGGTAAATTGACGCACCCGTATAAAATGCTTCTGACCGTCTCACAAAAATAAATTTTGGTGAAAACTATAAAAATAATTTTATCAACCTTTTCTGAATAGCTTAATAAACTGTACACAATACTTGAATACATCTAATTTAAGCTTAATCAACATGATCAATGGCTAAAGTTAGAGATTGTTTTGGATCTGCAACAGAGTAAAATACAAGTAGATAACTGATAATTCACCGTTTTCCTAACCAGCTAATGTATAAAATGTCTAAAATAAGAATACTAATGTAACAGCTATTTAAATTACCCATTTTTTATGAATCCTCGAGTAAAGCAGCGAAAAATAATCTGTTTAAACTATTTCTTTTCTTCTTTCATTTCGAAAAAATGACTCATAGGTGTCGCTGTTGGGAGTGGCAGGTACTTAGTAAGTCGTACAGCGTATTTATCATTAATTAAGTCGTGCGATGAAAAAGGTAAAAGCAAATGGCATGATCGAGACTCATGCACATTGAATCAAGAAAATATCTACTAATGAATCAAGACATCTGGTGTTTTTTGTTTTTTGTTTTGCTTATATCCAATGTTGATATAATGTTGACACCCGTAAATTAATTGTTACCGCGAACGTAAAAGAAATTTCTTTTTAAAGGGACATGGACACGTTTAATCAGCTAAAAAATTTAAAATTCAATTTTCCGTTTTTTATTTTTGTAAACAGGCCTAATTATTTTTAATGATTATCAAAAGTCTGAATTCAGTTGTAGAGATACAAGGCAGATTTAGATCTCCAAACCTTTGTTTTGTAAACAGTGCCCGTGCTATTTTTTTGTTTACATAGGTTAATTATACTAATACATGTATATTCGTTCAAAGCAAATTTTTCAGAAAAAAACTTAATTCTTAATATCATGAGACAGTTTCTTGACTTTTTTTTATATTCTTGTTTTGTTATAAATATGATATAATCTATATGTAAACAAAAACAAACAAGCCTTGTTTACATTACGAAAAATTTTAAGTTCTGCATCTTCTTTGTAAATCAACAAATGATGTTCAAATTTTTACTGATCATTTGATTTTTCTTGATTAAAAATTGTAAACATTAAAATTGTTTTTTAAAAAAATCAGTTGAAACTGTGTCCATGTCTCTTTAAAAATTGATTTTTTTTTATCAGTTGTGTACTGAAATCCCGATTTCTATAAAAATCTAAAGAAGGCCAAACAATCAAACATAAATAATAAAAAAAAAAAAAATTCATTTGTTTTATTAAACCGTGAAAAATTTTGATAGTTCACGCTTACAATCAAGACGTCAGCTTTATGATGTTACATGTACTTTTAGGCATTCATTTACAGCTTGTTTTTATTTATCTGTTTTTCTCGTAGAAATACTATATAGTATCTATTCTATAACAAAAACAAGGTATTAAACTCAGAACATATTCATTATATGAGATATTAAGAAAGACATGTCATTAAATTAAAGAATTCTATAGTGCAATTTCAGGACTTTGATTTTTCTGATATTGTACATGTGTGCCAACCACCAAAGAGCACGCGGACGCTTGCCATCGAAAAAAAATTGAATGAATATAAACAAAATGACTAGCATAATAAATTATACGTTTATTTAGTAAGTTTATTTATTTGCATGATCAAACCTTGAATTAACATCGTATAAGTATTCAAGGTACCCGGTATATTTACAAAATTTATCAAGTGTGTAATTGAATATCCATATAAATGACTTTCATCTGTTTACATGTATATCAAGAATTTAATAACCTTTTCTGACAAGATCACACAGAATGTTGATCCACTCTAACCTCTGTATAAGCACACTGTTATGAGGTCAAGGTCCCCACAAAACAGTTGTTCAATCTGTCTCTGAACTGAGGGGAATGATCGAACGTCCGTTTGCATTGGAGAGAGAGAGAGAGAGAGCAATCTTAGAAGAAAAGAATGTAAAAGAAGAAATGGAAATTTAATGCAAAGTCACACAATGAATAAATACAACGATACTGAAAAAAGCAATATAGCACAGGAATCAAATAATTTAATGCAAGTTTCAGAACGATGCATTTATTTCCCGTGGACAAATAAGCAACGTATAGGTATGTAATAAAAAAAAAGGCCAAGAATAATATTAAAAGTAATATTTCAGCTATTTTTAAGCTAGTTATCTATATTGAATGACTTGGACAGAACAATTCGACTTGAGCCCAGTAAAAGTTCATATTTATATGATTAACCGTACACGTGCATGTTATTAAGTATAATTTAACTTTAAAAATTATCGAACACGAAGAAGGTGAAATATTTATAATCCCAAGGCCCAAGACTTGTACAATGCGATATACAATGTATATTGCATACGTTGATGACACAAAGGTCGTAGACGTTCAGTTTTTTTTGCATGGATTCCTCAGAAGTTCAGTGTACTCTTGAGTTATATTAGCAAGAACATTGTGTATTTTGTATTATGGAGACATATACATAAAAGATGCATGTACAGAAACGTGCTTTTTTACATAATTTTCAGCCATATAATGTGGAATCTTTACCCAAATTAAAATATATATATATTAACCACTGCAATCATTTCGCGACTTGTATTATATATATGAGAATATTGTCATGTTGTAAATTTTGAATTTACCGGGTGGCAGTAAAAACAAAGTTTATACAACAGTTACTGTGCCACACGGTCAATTACAAATTTACGATAGTATTTTAAAAAATGTCTTGTGATTACACAAAACCAAATTAAGGTTTAACATATTTACGCTAAGCATGCAGTGAATATTAATTAAAAAAATAACTTAAGAATTAATATTTTCAGGACAAATAAAATATTGTCTATTGCCCAAGGTCAGCTGCAGATCCTTATGTAAAATGAACCACGATAGACCTATATATAGCACTCTGACAGACGTAGTAACAAATCGATATATAGAATCTCATTTATTCTGCCTATATAAATGGAGATTTGTGTGATTGTTGATAAATTTATTTTTAGAAAAATTGCGCATTTTGTTTTTAGATGATTAGCTTATTTTTTTCTAGAAGTTTTCTCACATCTGTTATTGAAAGTACAACAGGGATCCTAGAGAATTTAATTGATATAATATGCATGTACATATATCCAAAACCAATTAGAACTACAAATTAAAAAAAAAAAAACAAATATGGCAGCTATTTGAAACATGCCACAATGAAATGATTTATGCTGACATTTTCCTTACAGTTATTTACGAAATTATGTTTTCATTTAAGTGTTAGGACTCACTTTTTGGTGTTTGGACTGCATTTTTTCTGTCATAAGAAATGCTACATGTATAAATAACAACAGCAATAATCCGCATTTGACCAACCAAAACTTGAGAGAACAATTTACTGAATTTAGGCCACTGAATGTAGCAAACAAGCGCGCTGTTACATTTATTTAAAAACATGACCTAGAATACAAGAGTATTCTAGATCATTCATCCCTCTTAAACACTCAGATAATAAATTTAATAATTTTCCAAAAGAAATATAATTTTTAACTAAAATGCACCCAATTTCAGCAGATTTGGCGGTGCATAATCTAAATTGAAAAGAATTGTTTATTTTACGCAATAAGAGTTATCTCTCTTATCAGAGGGTCAATAAACCTTAATCAATTTGTGACTTTGTCACAAAGGATTCTGATATGTGGGATGGAACCGATACTCATGCAGACAGGAAAAAAAATGTCACCATGATTTGAAAAGAAAAAAAATCGTACGCAATGCTTCAAAATTTCGACAATTTGTATGATCATACTAGGTAGGGAGATTATTTACTCCAAAAAATGGTGTATTAAATGTAATATAGTGATTTTTTTGTGCAATATCCTCTCCCATGAAGGTACAATATTGTCCGTAAATGGGAACGTACAAACATGTATGAAGTGCATTATTTCGTTTTATTAATTAATTCCTTCACAAGTAAATTACCGTATTCTTACGTGTAGTATTCTGACCTAATTCTTATTGTACAATAACTACCCCCAAATTACACTTTGTCCTTATAAAATCTAAATTTTACCGCAGAAACTAATTATTTACTATAGTATTTGCCCTGTGTGTATACGATCAATATGTTGCAATCAGGAGCGATAAATTTTGCCGAATAAATAATTTTTTTTCTAAAAACTTGGTTGAATTAAGACATTAGTAAAAAAAAATCTCGTATATTGTACTTATATAGCTGTGAGGAAATATACTCATAATGCAATTCACAAAATAATGATCCTCTCCTTTTTCATTTTTTTTTTTTTTTTTTTTTTTGCATAAAAATATTCTTTAACCCCTTCATCTAAATATTTATTTTTTAATACTAAATGATTAATATTAAGGCTCGATCGTATGCAATACCTACCGGATAAAATTGGTTATCAATGGCATAATACGTATGAAGAGGGTTTAATAAATGTTAATGAATAGTGCACATGAGCTGTAATATTAATATGGTTTTTAAACAGAAAGCCGAAAATGAATTTGAAGATTTTTTTAAAAGGGGGGGGGTCGTAAGGACATGACCCTGCTCACAAGTGTGATTTAAAAATTCAGACGAACCGTTCCTCAAAAAAAAAAAAAAAAAAAAATCTCCCAAGAATTTGATGTTGAAGTTTCTTTTTCTAACATTGAGCATTAATGCAAGATTTATGTGATCCTGTATATAAGACATAACCTGAAGTGCTCATAGGCCTATCACGATTTTGGTGTATATATTTTTTCCAGACATTTTAAATCTGCTTTAGAAATAGAAGACTATGAAACATTTTTCATTGATATGTTACAAACAGATGCAAGATCAAGGTTGTTTGAAGAACGTGTCGATCGTGAGACCTTAAGTTGTCAGCAGTTTGTTTTAGTCCAGGTGAGCTTAAGGTTCCTGTGACCTCTGTTTCGTTTGTCTGTTGTCTTTTTGAAAATTTCAGCTTCTTGAATCTGGACTTCTTCGCTGCATCAAACTGATAGACTCCCATTGCATATCACTTTTATTCCTGTACAAGTATATAGCAAACTATGTTACACCTCTGCTCATGGCCCTCGGGGATAGGATTCATGGAATTCCATAACTTGCAGGGTTGAAAATCTTTATATTGGAATACATGTATATAAGAAAGTTCTTTCCAGGACCTTCAAAGTCATACATGTAGGCAAGTTTGTCCAAATATCAATGATATTGCTACTGCGATTAGGATTCCTAGTATTTTACATTTATTAGGTCTGCTAGTGGAAAATGCTACCATGACAGGGACGGGTAACCAAAAAGAAAGAAAAATTTGGGCCATATATACTAGATGGCAATATTGGAGAGTGTTTTTTTTTGGGGGGGGGGGTTTGGGGGTTGGAATATCGAGGTGATTCGTATGAACATTGTCCCCCAAGGGCCTCTTGTTAATTATAATTATTTCTGAATGAAACACGTAAATACCCCTGATTATTTTATCATGCAGAGTGATCTCCCCTAGATGGTCATATATGGTATTCTGACGAAATACCATTATGCAGTGAGCATGCATACAACGCAATTCCTTGTCTAAATTGACATTCTGAGCAATTAGATGCCCATCTATGACACATAATTATTTTTTCTCTCCTCTACAGGTTTTTATTGTAATAAGTGCGTAATTATGTTATACCATTGGTGCTCTATATTGCTCTACATACTTGAACTCGGCTCAGATCAGCCATTTTACTTTAGAGTACATGTAAATACTGTATAAAAGAGCAGTCTACCACGCTTGCTCCCGAGTAAACCGGCTCAGAGTGGTTTCAAGAAATTACACTGTACCTCTATATAACATATCCCTGGATTATTTTGGAATCATTTGATCTATCTACGTTGTTGCTGCAAGTACTCTTGTACCATGAAGGTAAGGACATATAAACACAAGAACATTATATGTACCATACAATGTTCCATTGTGTATCATTGTAAACATTGCTTTTCTCTTGATGCAGATACTTTAATCAATAATCTATACCTCATTAATTAAAGATTTAATTTAAAAAAAAACGAATTTTGAATAAAGTAGATCTTACAAACTTCTATTTGCTTGAGGTTTTTCGATTCTTCTAATTAAAGTAAAAACAACTTGCATGTATGTACAATGATGAATGTATTAAAATATTGAATTGCTTGAGTTATTAAATTAATTTCAAAGTCAAACTTAAAATCAATTTGATTGTTCCTTCTTAGATAAATCACAGAACATATTCATAAAATATATTTGGCAATATCAAAGAATATATATATGATTTGAATACATTTTGTAGTTGATATGCCACAGAATTCGATGCTAAAGATTTCGAAGAGAGAATTCATAATGGACCCGTTCATATTCTCGGCATCAAATTTTAGGGCACTGTTTTATTATTCTTAAAAATTCTCTCAATAAGTTAGGCACTCTCAAATTATAGGAATAAAGTGGGTCACAACAATAGCACGTGCTCCATTTGTTACAGATTCCAAAAATACTTCAGCACGCGAATCATACTGAATCAGTTAGCATAAAAGAGAACATTATCAGAAGCAAATATGTGCTTATTTCTTTGCTTTCTGCAAAAAAAATTCTTTAAATTCCAGAGTATGTTGACCTAAGTCGCAATTATTGTTTATGTTGATGTAAAGAAATCGCATCCTTGACATGCAATGTTCCAGCAGATGAATTGTTGGTAAACATACGTGGCAGAATGCCCTTTGTATATACCTAACAATGTCAGTCATTGACTTTCCTAAGTTGAAACTCTCATCACATCATTATTTGATTTTTTTCTCCAAAAAGTTGACTTTAATTCAGTCTTCTATAGTAAAGTAGACGAATATACATGGGGAACGTAATTAAATCGAATAATTATGAAAACATTTTATACATTTACAACTGTATTCTTTAAGCTTTCTTGCATAGTGATAAATGTGGCTGAATGCTAAGGATGCATGTTTGCAAGACTTGTGCGAGATCAAGATGTGATCAGGTGCCATGCATTGAGAAGTATCCCCTGTTGACCGGTCACACCAGCCGTGTGATCCCTCTCAAGGTCGGACAATCGGAAAAATTCCTAGATACTGTAGTTTACTGTGTAATTAATCGCTAAATAAAAAGTATATGCAAAACAACGGTACTCATAATATAATTCCAATAATCATGCCTTTAGCCTTATCCGCTTTCAAGTTTAACCAATCGTCCACCTTATGCCAAAATTTAAACGAGAGGTCTCTTTTGAGTGAACAAACACGCAGGAAAATAGACAAGAAAAATTATTTGATCAAATGCACTCCATCCAACTTCTTTGGCGCATTCGGAAGGTACTAATTGCTGTTTTATTTATTTATTCTCTTAAAAGGGGTAGTTATTTTTGCATATTTGTAAGAATTTACTGTAGTATTCAGAATACGATGAATAAAGTTTTCTTTTTGTTACATGTACATTGTGTTCTTTTTCCCTAATTGATGAGGTTTATAAGCAGTCAGAATCAGACGTCAGTGCATATAGTAGTGCTCAGTTTATCAGTTTCCCCTTTTTGCAATTAATTGCAACACTTGAATCATACATGAATTATCAATATTGTCGTTACCTTTAAGAATAAGTACAATTACCAAAAGTATTTAGTAATCAGTCCTTTTTAAATTTTATTTTTGTTCGGTATCAATCTTTCCCAAACTGAAAATCTCAAGCCTCCACGCTTGATATTGCTGATTTTTGAAACATCTAAATATCTTTTCCTTTAAATAACTAAGTCAAAAATTATTTGTAAAATTTGACCCATTTTGATTTCTCATGCTAAAATTGAAAAAAAAAAAAGAATTTCTAAAACTACTGCAGCATGGACTGTTGAAATGAAAAAGAAAGTACCTTTTGATGAAATATTTTACTGCTACTTTTTACGTCACACTATAGACGGGAACAACCATATCTTATCAATCATATACCTGTAAGCTGGCATACAATGTAACAATTAAAACATTTATTTACTGCATGTGTTCTTGGACATAATGCGTTTTGTCGATCCCTGGAACCAATCTGTTTGCCTTCTGTCTAACGGCCTCAGGCAATCAGTTTGGTTTTTAGGTCCGATGAAACCAACATATTGCCCTAACTCAATCATTGACTAGGTTTGAGGGCAACATGCACCTAAAGTAGGTCATAAAAATTATCAAAGCGGTCAAATAGTTCATAGATAGGTGCAATATTTCAGTGGTCCAATATAGATTTTTATGAGAGTTCAGAAAAAAAAACTACAGTGAATGTTAGATTTATTTAAAGAAAGCTTTATACGGTATATAAACAATTTTGAGGTACATGTACGTGTACGATTAAAACAATTTGCAGAATTGTCTGCAGGATTGTAAATTACATTTTCTGGATAATATGCAGACAAGAGGAGGCAATGATTTTTATTTGTTATAATCCATGATCCAATTTACAAGATTTATATTGTAAATCACTATAATTGAATTGAATTAAAATTTAAAGAGAGAAAGAGATATAATTCTTTAATATCAAGCAGGTTTACAGCTTTTTTTTAGGACCACCTTTCTTGGATGTCAGCGTCCTACAATATGGTTCAAAACAAATAACATTCCATTTCCGAATACCCCCGGTATTTTATATACGAGGTATATTGCACAAGGAGGATTTTCTACCTTTATGCACTTTAATTTGATCTTGACAATATTATTTAGTAGAAATATTTGGGACAATGTTTTCAGACTCATTGATGGATCAAGGTAAAAAAGGGACAGTTCATGATGTTGCATGAGCATTGGGGATAATATCAGTTTGGTCGACGTACTTTTAAATTGAAGGATTTATCTGTTTTGTTTTGATTAGGGATAAAGAGGTCATTTTTTTTTCAAGTTCTTTAAATTACGTTTTTAAGTTTTGAAACTATAAATATCACTTTATATGAAGATTTTGGTAACAAATTATTCATTTAGGTCTATGCAAAGTCATACATGTAAGTTCTGAAGAAATATTCCTAAAAAGATTCATGTTTATATGCGTAATGTAAAAAAATTTAACACACCCTATTTAATTTGGTATTCTCTGTATTCAATTGCAATATATTAACCCATTTTTGATGAGATCCAAACAACCGAAAATATACTCTAGTACATGTTGTTCCTTATTATTGATTTATTTTCAATAAACACAGTTCTTAATGGGGAAAACAAGATATTTGAAATGGTCACTTAAAAATATTTTTTTGGAATATTTACTAAGAATATTTACACGAGGATGCCGCCTAATGAGTGAAATTGACAAGCACTTAAAATGTTTATATTTGATTAAATTTTGTAGAAATTAAGTGTGTTTGAATTAGATTAAATTTCTACGGTAACAAGTAAAGTACCAAAGATCATTCAACTTTACACGTGAAGGATAATATTTACTTGACTTGATTTTTGCTTCAAAAGATAACATTTATTCGCTAAAGTAAAGTAATATGAAGGAAATATGGTAAACTTAAAAAATGGATACAAAAATATAGAACAGTTGTATAGTAAAAAAAAACCGCCCCCCCCCCCCCCCCCCCCCCCCCCCCCCCCCCCACTTTCAAAAAAGTCAAGATCATATATGCGACAAAAATGAACAGTTGGAGCAAAGTTATGCTATATTGCAGCTATCTAAAATAAAGGAAAACTGTTATGACCATGGGCCCTGAGAAATAATGAATTATTGAGAAATAACATACAAAATTTTAGATTGTATACTGGACTATATGCATGTGTCCCGATATTCAAATTCAAAATTTTCTAGGTGTAGTAAATATATATTCATGTACAGGTTTGTTGACAGTTTCTACAGAGCTTCTTACTAATGACTGATTGTAGTCTAAAAGCAAAATTGTTAAATTTTTATCTCCGATTAGACTCTAGTTTTGTCAGTTTAAAAAATGAGGCTATTTTGATACTTGTAACGCATAATAACTGGGATTTGAAACCAACATGTATTCTGGATTTATACGGAAGAAATCTATCATCATGAGAAAAATAGATTCGATGGTACACGTGTAGACGTAGACAGCTCTGTATTACAGATTTTTTTCGGAGCCTCCCCTCCCCCACATTAAAATCCGTTGCTACAGACCTCTATCAAACAGTATTTGGATTGCTTAAATATCAAATTAATTTGCGACCCTTGATGTACATAACAAATGCCGGTGAAAACTAGCTTGTTCTGTCTTTTAAAAGCAAGAACTAGTCCATGTAATCAATGTTTAATGTGTATATAAAATATATGTACATGTATAAGAGAGAAATTTGGATCCGAATATATAAATACGATATATGCGGATTTAAAAGCGCAATTTGCCAATGAATGGCATATTCTAATTCAAAATACATTTACAAAATTTTATCATCTATAAGACGTGGCAGGGTCCACGCAATTATAATTCTACTAGTTGCATGGGAAACTGAACTTGAACTCAAAATATTAAGCATTCTGGTGATGCTATCTTTAGAAAAAACTATTTTTGTCTGTTTGACCTTTAGAGGCATCAGTTTATATTTGGGCGCTATTCATATTTCAACCGAAGGCCAAATTATTCCTGGGGCAAGGATTGTTAGAGCCGGTCATTGTGGTAATCCTTTCAGCCAGCTACGGTTTGATGATGTCCACGTCCCTGACCCTAGCTGCTCTTGGATATTCAACGCGGCATGTCAGTATGAAAATGACAGATTGCTTTTCAAGAAAAAAAAAAACCCTCAATGCTCAATGGTCATAAGTATGAGATCCGGATAGCACCATATACGTAATTCGCTATCGCATCACGGCATCATCGAGGTTTCAGTCGAAAGCACGATTACAATTAAATTTACCGATGCGATGGCGATTGGGCGATGGTACGATAACACAATGATGTGCATGGAGGTGTGAAAATGCGATGACGATGATGCCATGGCATTTGATGAAGCGATGGTGCAATAGCGACTCGGTAGTGCCGCGATGACGATGCTGGAATGGTACAGTATACATGTAGGATGACGATGTTGTTCAATATCGCTCCATCGTAATATCACAAAATCGTCGTCGCACATTGCGCCTTTGCTTCTTTGTCGTCACGCCGTCGTATAATCGTGCCCGGACCTACTTAATTTTCAGTCGATGATCGATGATGGTTCGTTAGTGAACTCTCATGCAACTGTATGTGAATTTCATAGTCCACGGGTGGCGTCTCAATATATTTATGTGAATATACAAGTATTCTCGAAGCCCGTACTATTCTCAAATGAAATTTTAAAAAAAATGCCACTGTAACTTGTGCACTATAACTGCAATGTGTGCCATATATAAATTAATACAATGTTCAGATGTATGATGTAGGCATCATAAAACAAAGCATTAGACTTCTGAATCATTGGTTTTGCTGAGCATCAAAAAAATTTTACTAATTTGGTATATAATAGCGATTAAGACGTTGTTGCACTAGGGAAAGGGAGGGATAATATAACAGAAAGGTGCAGAGGTCTTGAAAACTGTTAAAATTTTATTTAAAATATGCTGGTCCAGGAGTCACTCCCATGAAAATACAATGCATCAATACCTATTTTTATAGCTATTTAAACGACCTACATGTAAACACGCTTAATATAGGCATAAACTACAATGACTTTAATGGGGAATATAAGCTGTTGATTAATTGTTTATTGCAAGGTCAAGTGAATGAACCCATGCATTGTTATATTGTACGGATATTGCCAGAATTTTTAGAATGAGTCCCGCTAATTCATTTTTTAATTTTTTTTAAATTTCTAGCAATACTTTGTGAATAATGTAGCAGTGTGACGCAAATAAAAACTTCATTTCTGACACGTGCATTACAATTGATAAAAAATAATAAATATATAAATAACAAATATTTGCCGATAAATTCATGGTATTTTATTACGAAGCTTGCATGCTGTGTATATTATATTGATTTATCTATATTCTTTTTCTAATGGTCAACTTACTTCTACTTTACATTTAAAGAATGAAGATGTATTATGAAAATTCCAAATCCTTTAATTTCGAATGAAGAGGAAATATTTGTTTTAAATTTAACTTCGCTAGATATCGAACGACTCTCATTTTTAGGGCAACCCTGTAGTGACGTAGAGGAAAATTTTTCGTAACCCCGAACATATATTCATGCAGTGACCGACTTTTATGTTAGATGCAAGAGACGTTGTGGAGCTCATTGTCCCTTTTGTTAATAAAAATATATTAATTTATATTTATAAAAGAGTTTTGGATATAAATTTAAAAAACTATCAATTTTTAAGGTAGGACATTCTATTTTTTTGTTGTATAAATGTGATAAGTCAAGGATTTTGCATTGTGAATAAAAGACCGCGTGGTTTGTGGTCGATGTACATGTGGGGTAGTTAAAGAGATGCCTGTACATGTATTTTTTTTAAACTGTCTGTCTTATTATATGCATTTCATTTTAAAGAATTGATATTGATATATTTTCTGATAATTTTCAATTAAAATAAAATGATTCTATGCTGCACATTATTTATAGATATGTATTGCATTTTTAATTTATATATATATATAATCATGATACATATATTTGTTGTATGCACAAAAGTATCCAAAATATGAAGAAAAAAACCCAGCAAATCTACAATTAAGGTTTTTGCAGGGTACTGTGTTATAATGAGTTCTCGAATTTCTTCCATGAAAACCATTAAGTCTATATTTACGAAACAAAATCCACGATTCGTTTTATACATACATGAAAAGTCTTTGTATTTTATTTTTATTATTCATATTAAAAAAGCGCAAAATTGTAAAGAACACGTAATGAAAATTTACCGAAAAAATGCAAATATAGACAGGAACGGAATTTTAGAGCGTTATCATCATGATCATACGGGATTCATTATTTAGTTTCGCAGTGACACATCCGGTGAAATTTACAGTGAATTCGAACGATGAAATTAAAAACGTCTGCTCACATGCTTTGGGGCTTTGAAAAATCAGGTTGTTTGTTTTTTGTTTGTTTGTTTTTGTTTTTTTCTTGTAAATATTATGCAGCTTTTAAAAGATATATCTGTTATTGTGACATAATTATTGTAAAGTTTAAAGAAGTTAATGATATAAATTCAAATTGAAATTTCGATTTGTTTAAGATTTACCAACATTGATATTTTTTGTGAAAAAAAAATACTCGTGGAAAAAAGCTCTTTAAATAGGATAAGTTCTGTTTAAAATATCTGTTTACAATCTGCACTTTTAAATGTAATTATCAATGTCAGACAGCAACTGCTTTGAGGGATCTTAACAACCCACTTTACTTTTTGAATTTATTTTATCTGACGTAACGTTAGATCTTTTGTTTACATCCTGATTGTAACGTCAGATTTAATTGACCCTTTTTGCCAAGGACTCTGTACCTGGAACTACGAATTTTGAATCAAAAAAGTTTGGATATCATAATGTTTACTATAGACGACTTTCACATTTACAAAAGTTATTCCCCTTTGCGGGGTCAACCGGCGTAAGGCACTGTTTTCCCTACTTACCAACTTTATGGGTCAGTGTTTTAAAAATAAAAACTGTATGAATATGTTCATTATGTTTTTCATGTTGCCCCATATTCTGACAATACAGGTACAGATCGAAATTGTCTGATAACGTTTGAAGATTAAAAATATTAACAGGTAACTTACAAAGGACAAAGTGGGAAAAATGAGCGTTACGCCGACAACGGGAGATAACTCTTAGGAATGCGAAATTCGTCTATTAAGTTTTGCCTGAATAAGGAGAGAAAGAAGGCTTGCATTTTTCACGTCTAGGCCTATATGAGTTGTTAAGATCACAAAATTCAACTTTTTTTAAATTTTCGGTAAAAAATATTTTTAAAAAACCCACTGCTTGTCATTTAGTTATTTTTACTTACATTTTGGGGGAAAAAAGCGAAATTAAACTGGGACAGACTCATAGAGTTCTTTTAAAGGATCTGGATGCAAGGGTTATTAGGCCCTGAACTTTAAAACTGAAATAGAAAGATGAGGCATGTTGACTATGAATTTAAAAGAGACAGAAGAAAAGCACGATGACATTTCATTGGACGAATCTAAGGTTAAGGACGACACTTGGAAAACTCCAAGTTATAGAGTATATATGTCTTATATTGATCTTGGTTTTATTCTATGCAGGGTTTGGAATTTACACTAGATACTGCAAAAATGAAGAAGGAAGATGCAGAGTCTTCTAAGAGTTGTTCTTCTGACGATTCCATTGTCCAGGAGAAGAAACAAATCCAGGATAGGGATGGCTGGAAGGGGCGACTGGACTTTATTATGACATGTATAGGGTACGCCGTAGGACTGGGGAATATTTGGAGATTTCCTTACCTTTGTTACAAAAGCGGCGGTGGTAAGTCATTTTGCATTGATAATTGGTATCTTATAATGAATTCTATTACTTAAACATGTTGAAAATGTGCATTTTAACGATTTTTTTAAAAACATGAATTTGTTAACAAAAAAGGAGAGAAATATATATATTAAAGGTATTCTCGAAATAAATTATACTTTTTGTTAATGAAAAAATGTGGCTGCTTTAAATACCGTCATTTACATAATACATAGGCATTCGGTTGTAAGTCAAAAGATCAACGACAAATAGGCCGTTTGACAGAGAAGCTCTGAAATATTTCGCCTGAGGTGTGAAAATCAAGAAAATAAACACGTGTTCTTTCTATAAACTTTGGAAAAAAAGTTTTAATCTCCGAAGGAGTAAGGGATATACTGTTTTATCCTCGTGTTTCTGTGTGTCTGTCTGTCCGTAGAAAAATTCGTCACGGTTTTCTCAACAACTACTAGTTGTAGATATTTGAAATTTTAGCACATTCTTTACTAAGGCATGCCATATGGTGGGATTCATTTTTGTACAAATCCGATGTCAATTTCCTGTTTATCCGTGTGTCTGTCCATACCAAATTTCCGTCGCAGTTTTCTCAGCAACTTTTTATTGCAGATGCTTGAAATTTTAGCACATTCTTTGTTTAGCCATGGCATATGGTGAGATTAATTTTTGTACGAATTCGATACCTTAAACTGAATTTTTTTATCTTCACATAAGAGAATATTATACCGGTATTCACACGTCAGACCAAGGTTATTACTAGTGCGCATTCGCTCACAGACTTTTTGTTTACAAAATGTTTTCATACCTTACGTGCGTAAAGAAAAGTCTGAATTTATGATTTATAAGCTGAGATTTAGATAATTGGAATAATTTTAATAATTGAGGATTATATACTAATTAAGTGTAATAGGGACGGAGGTGCAATGGTTTGACTTTTTTACAGACAGAATAAATAAAGTGACAGTTCTACATGTATTGCCTTGAAATCTGAATTAGAAGAGGAATGCATGTAATAATTAGTTAATCACTACAGTAAACAACATATTTATGGTGTTTTCATTGTAAATATTTATAAAGAGCTATTTATAAAAATATAAAGAGAGAGAAAATGCTTGGAACATTAAAAGATTGTCCTTTATCAGACAGTAAAAGATTTCCGTAAGTTGCAAAGAACTGTGGGACGAAATTGTCTATTACCGTGTTTTTTTTCCTTATGTAGGTTTTCTTGTGATCTTTTTATATCTTTACAAAATAACTACATGTTGTTTAAAGTAAACTTACTCACAAAAACGTGTAGAGGAAGTTTTTCCACTTATCGACAAAACGTTAACACCGTAAAATTGCAAAGGATATGTTGACCTGAAAATATTTACTTATTATAAAGACCCTCACTTGTGAAATTTAATGTCGACGAAATTAAAATGTTCGACAGCTACATACATGTATTTCATGACTTTTTAAACAAATATTATTTAATTTATACTTCAACTGGATGACTTAAACTGTACGACAGTAATAAGTAAAACCTGGTCGAGCTTAACCTGTTTTTAAAAATAAAAGAAAAAAATGGAAAACACAGTGATGAACGAAGGTCCCTAAAACACATTTTGACCTATTTTTTGCTGTGAAAGAAGGTCCCTAAAACTTTGACCTATTTTTCGCTGCTGAAATGCCCTGTATTGTGTTAGTCTTCCGTAATGGAGACCTAGAGATTAGCATTAGAGATATTTAATACTTGAAAGAAACCCCTTATCAAAAATATTTGGAATACGTTTTGTCTATTTTTCCGTAAAAAATTAAAATTAAAAAAGATGAGAACGGCGCTGAAGAGCACGTAATCAACAAAACAATTCTATCAGTCTGTAATGATTAGATCGATATTTTATTTTCCGACACTGCATTAATGAACTTCCTTTCTAGGATATATAACTTATTTTCTCTATATACACATGAAATACAATGCGTGCAAATTATTATGTTGCCTCAATTATTATTATTATTATTATTTTTTGTAAATTTACCCAATACCTAGTAAAACTACTTTTAAGGTAGTATATACATGTATTATTCCGTTGCATGCAAGTTTTTAAATTAGTCTATGATTTGCAGAGATATTTCAAAATTTGGAATCAAAAGATTCACTGTATTGTATGTAATGTATAAATAAAAAACAACAAAATAATGATATTCAGGATATTTTCTTCTTATTAATAATAATATTTGTTTTGCAGGTGCTTTCTTCATTCCTTATATAATGTTTCTAGTCCTTTGCGGGGTACCTCTGTTCTTTATGGAAGCGTCTTATGGACAGTTCTCTAGTCTTAGTCCTATTTCAGTATGGAGAATGTGTCCACTGTTCAAAGGTAAGATCTAGATCGCTATTGACTTGAATTAGCCGAAGTTCAGGCTAGAACGGCCAGTTTCCTTGTTACTTGCCCGGTTTCAGGTTTCTTCGTTACTTTACTTTGCCAAGGACTATATCTGTACATCATATCCAAGGCGAAGCTACTTCATTCATTGTATTCGTATGTTGTACTTTACGTGTCTGTTTACACATAACTTTGTTCACAAACACTCCAGCACTGCTATACTTGAATTTTCATTTGTTGATAAAAGTTTCCGCTTTTCTACGTTTTCCGGAAAGAATGATATTCTGTTGTATTTTAAAAGCCGGAAACTACACGCAGTTATCAGTGTATGACAATAAATAAAGGTGTAGGAAATTTCTCCTGCATTTTTCGATGAAATGAAAATCGATTCATGCATGCAACGTGTAGAATTTGCAAGCGTCAGCGAATATAAGCATGGAAAATTCCCACTCTTTTTCTCATTTGCAGTGTGTGCAATAGGAAGAATAGGGCAATTGGTGCAAATTAAACTGATAAGCACTGGCAACTGACATGTATCGAAAAAACAACAATGTATTCACCTTGTGAATGGGTTAGGTGGACTATTACAAGTACAATAGGCAACCTGTACATTGATACTAGCATAAGGCAATCTTTGACGTGCAATGGCCACTGATAGGCCTTAGGAAAAAAAAGTTTACTGACCCCTTTCCTTAAAACCACAGAGTTCATGAAGAGGTCTTTCTCGCATGTTTTCTAGATACAAAAATATGCATTGCAGAATTTATTCATGAATAAAATAAAAATCTGTCAAAGAGATAGACTCAAATAGTAATACACCACGCATTAACATTGCAAAGCTTAGCAAAAAATACACAATAATTTTTAAAATTATATAGAAATAAAAAAGACTTCATAATCAATTTTTAACATGTACACAATTTTTTATCTGAAAAAGAAATAACTCCAGGCTTCATTAATTTAGATCTTAAAAATACTAGAGTCGCCCACGTGGCGCAGTGGTTAGAGGGTCTGCTCTAGAGTCGCGAAGTAAGGAGTTGATCCTTACGTCGCGAGTTCGAATCCCACTGTGGGACGTGGAGACCGGTCCTTCGGATGAGACTGTATAAATCGAGGTCCTGTGTCGCAGTAGGTGCTAGCACGAAAAAGATCTCTCCTTGCTCAATGGCCCTTAGTGCCGAGTATAGGACAAAATTTGCAGCTCTCCACCGGCAAGTGGTGGCGTCTCCATATGATTAAAAAATTCTCGAGAGGGACGTTAAACAATATATAATCAATCAATCTATCAATAAAAATTCTAGACTACAAAAACATAACATTCTTTCTTTAAAATTTAAAAACATGCATTCCTTTTTTTCAGGTGTTGGAGTGGGGATGGTAATGGTGTCTGCAATCGTGTGTATATACTATAATGTGATTGTGGCCTGGACGTTGTATTTTCTGTACATGTCCTTTCGGGCTGTTTTGCCTTGGAGTACATGTGATAATGACTGGAATACGGAAAACTGCGTTGTTGGAATAGGAAATGTTCACAATCCAACTCGGACTAATGCTTCAGCCTTCTCTCTTGGGAATTCTACTTTCTATAATGCCAGTTCTTTGTTTAATGGGACGATGGCCGCAATGGCGAACGTTACGGCAAACGCTACGGCGAACGCAACGGCTCTTGCCAGCAAAAAGATGTCAGCGAGCGAGGAGTTCTGGACGTGAGTTGTCATAAATTCATTCTTTGTGGGAATAATTTATGTTGAACAAATTCTATGTTAAATCTCTTTTCGTTTTGATTTTATGCATTTTGTATATGCTTACAAAGTCTATGAATTCATAACCTGGACAAATAATTTTTTTTCTTGAAGACGTAAAATTCATTTTGAGTTTAATTATTTTCAAAAATTTTCTCTTTGCAGACGACACGTTCTAGAAATAACTGAAGGAATAAACGACCCGGGTACCATTCGTTGGCAGCTGTTGATCTGCTTGACTTTGGCGTGGGTCACCGTGTTCCTGTGCTTATTTAAAGGGGTCAAGGTTTTAGGAAAGGTACGTGGAACTTGTACCACAACCGAATCAGGTGTGATTAAAAACAAAGGTACACGCATAATAAATAGGACGGCCATATAAAATAGCTAGAAGTATTAAAACAGGTCTTCAGGTTAATAATAAAAGCAACCTATCCACTATCCTTACATAATGTCAGGAGCTGAAATTTTAAGTTTTGGCCTCTTCAAAACCGAAAAAATCTTGGTCATCACAGTGTGGATTGATTTTAGGTTGACATACTAAAACTTACCGGTACCTTCAACTTAAAATAAAAAAGACAACCATTTCGTTGTCATCATGTAACAGCATTTAACTTGAATGGATCAAAATATAGCCTTATTTCATAATTTGCTAAGATCAGTATTGATTGAAACATCCACAGCACTCGAATATAATAATGATCCTAGTGACTCATTCGAACAGGTGGTGAACATACTATATTTGTCTCTCCGATACTAAGTAGTTCTTCGAAAAACCGAATCATCAGAATTGAACATACATTTTCCATGATGGAACAAATGCAAAACGGTTCATTAAATTTGAAATGAAATAATTAAATAAAAATGTGCATTATCCCGATTAATTTATAAGGATCTTTTTTGTATTGTTCAACTTTTTAAAAATCTACACGGAGAAGAAAATCTTGAAGTAACAAAAGTACTTCATCATAAACTTCTTGTAAACATATAAATGATTTTGTTGATTGTTAATAAACCATTACTTGATACTTTTACTTAAGAACTTTTAAAGTTAACCTTTTCCGTAGCATTAGACACGTATTGTATTAAGGTTTTTTTAATTGTTTATTATCATTAGATACTTGTACATATTGAATTAAGATTTTTCTTTGTTTCAGGTGATGCATTTTGCAGCCCCTTTTCCTTATCTAGTCTTACTCGTATTACTAATCAGAGGGGTAACCCTACCTGGTGCTTTGAACGGCATTAAATTCTACATTTTACCGAAATGGGAGCGGTTGACAGACTACCAGGTAAATACACCAGACACAGAATAAATGGGGAAAAAAATAGTTCCCAATACAGAAAGCTTGTTCAAGGCTTCTTGAAATTACCATGTACTTTAAAGGAGCGTTTACAAATGTTATGGATGTTTCGCGAGTTTTTCGCAGCATGTATCTTGCGGGAAGATCGGAGCAAATGGCTTGCAATCGATTGAGAATTTGATTTTCTTTTTGAATATGTTTTTTAAAAAAAAGTTGTTTGCTTTGGCAGCGGTTAACAGATGGTATACGGTTTCAAAACAGTGGAAAACTTCTTTTGTTCATACCACGACACAGATATTGAATTTAAATGATAAGTTTAAATTTAGAGCAAAATATACGATAGAGGAGTGTATTTACTTCCCGCGACAAAAAACTATTTTGAACGTGAACCCAGAATATTCTCAATCGATATTTCGCAATAGCAATGATTTCCCTAAATCAGGCACAAATAGATATAATTAGCTAACTTGAACAAGAGGCTCGATTTAGCTTTCCTGATCTGTACATGTATATTTATAACAATATATGTATGATTCGTACATAGTCTGTGTTTGACAAGTGTTTGTTTAAATTAAAGTTTCATGTTTTTGTCTTCATCATAACCGCTCCAGTTACGTCCAAACTTATTAGAAAGCATTATTGCGTAAAGGGATCTATTTTGTATTTGGATAAATACATTTTCGCGCTTTTTTAAAAAGGGTATTATTAAAAAAAAGTGATATATAAAATTTTGTGTGGGATTCTTTTAAAAATCTATTTTTATTTTAGATAGTTTTGAATTTTTAAATTGCAAAACTTTAATGTAAAATATATTCTAAATACAAAGTGGGAACTTCAAAACAAGTCGAGAAGTGCAGAAATTTCAAAAGTAAATTAGCTGATAATTTTCAAACAAACGAGACAATCTTATATAATGTTGGTTCAAAAAATATCAAAGGATGTCAACTATCTGTTTTATAACCATTAACTAAGTGATACTTCTGTATCTTGGCAAATTACAGATACGAGATAGGCTTTATGCTATCTTTTCACTCTTGCTAGAGGGTAAAGCAACGTCTCGACAGAAAGAATTATTACTGGCAAAGTTGAATTCTGCTTTTTTGCCAAACAAAATACATTTAAGCACCATGTGAAGCCATGTGCACTTCAGAAAGTTATCACACCGAAATTCCTCAGAAAAGCTTATCTTTAGAAAAATTTTGTGAACACAACTCTGTAGCTGTTAATTGTAATGGTATGAATAAATAAAGTTGACATGTTTTTTTTTAAAAAAGAGGGTATAGAGGTTTATTCGAATTTTTCTATGAAGCACTTCAGTATCATTCATTTTTTTTTCAACTTTACAGTACATGTAATTATGCCTAATCATTATTGATTACATATTTGATTTTGATGTATATTAGGTGTGGGGAGATGCAGCGTTACAGATATTCTACTCAGTGGGCATGGCATGGGGAGGAATTATTACTATGGCCAGTTATAACAGATTTAGCAATAATATTTACAGGTAAGATCATCAACAAAATATAAAAAAATCCCTGTTTTGAAAACGAGGTATTGAAAAAAAATAACATTCATGTAGTGGTTTATTTTCAACATGCAACACATTTATGTATGAATTAAAAAAAAAACTTGCGAATAAAGTTTCATATTAGTTTTGTTTTCCAATATCAAGGTTAGTAGTGTCGGTCAGTAGACCATGATTAACCTTGGCAAATGTATTTTAAGTGGGTAAAATTTCATGGCGCGTGTTCATAATCATGTATGTCAACTCATCTATTTTTATTTTTAGGGATGCAATGTTGGTACCTATAATAAACTGCGGTACCAGCATATTCGCAGGTTTTGTGATTTTTTCCATTTTGGGATTCATGGCAGAGTCCGCCAATACAACAGTTGAAAAAGTCGTTAGTCAAGGTACTTGCATTAAATAATTATCTAAATAAACATACCAAACTCTTACATGGATCACGCAGATAGAAAAACAAAACAAATGCGATATCTGTTAAATTAATGTTCAATTTTCTCCAAATTCGATATAATAAATCTTTGATTTTCACACTGCTTAAATAATTTGTAATTTGCGGGAGGGAGAAGAAAACGTAATGGCTTAAAATACATATATATTAGTCAATATCAGATATAGAATAAGTTTCAGATCAAGGCATCAATGTTCAGTTAAAATTGTAAATCATTTTGTATCCATAGGGCCTGGTTTAACATTTGTTGCCTATCCAGAAGCTGTTGCTAACCTCCCTATTTCACCTATGTGGGCAGTCCTGTTTTTTCTGATGTTATTCACCATTGGTTTGGACAGCCAGGTAGCTAAAAGCTCATCTCCTACGCATTTATGTTATATTTTCTGTTCCCAAGTCTATTTGAGAGGTACATAAGCAATTTTTGAGTTTTAAAATTAGATTTGAAAATGTTAACGATGATAAAAATTGATGATTAAAAGGTGAACTTATGTATTTTTTTCAATTCATTGTGAAGGGCTCTTTTTTCAAAACAAAAGAAAACCATAAAAAGCTGTATTAGATAAAGAAAAGAATGTATATCAGATAGTATATATGTAACCATTTGTTAACTTCATGGCAATAGCATATTACATATGACTTTTTAAAAGTCATTTGAATGTGTCCAACATTTAATATTTCTCCATTAACATGATTAAGATGTGAGATGAATCAATTGGTAAGACTTACATGTCGAATAAATAGTGTAGAACAGTTGGTAACATTGTCGTTTACTGATTTTTATTTGAAAAACTAAAATAAGCATAGATGTAGACTTATTTTAAATTTCAACTAAAAATCGGTAAACAACAATATGATGGTTACATATGGAACATGTACATTTTAACAGAGGTTTCTGATTTTGAAAGCATTTACTAATTGTTATATACCTATTAAAACATTCTTAGAAAAATTCTAAATAAATAAGGAAATGAGAATAAAAATAAAATTCAATTTGGTGAAGACCGATTTGGATAAAAAAAATTATGTTGTTAAATCCTTTTAGCTTGTTTTTCAAAAAGAGCCAAGAAAAAGGGGGAAAAATGTGAAATGACACTCTCAAGTAGACTGAATTGAATATTTTCCTGTTACCTTACATTAACATTAGACAGAAAGCAACACCAGTCACAAGTATGTAAGCAGTATTATATTACAGATTGAGAATAATGAATATCAAACTTTTCAGAGGTGAAAAATATTCAGAATTAATATGTTTAGATATAAGAGTGTTTTACTTTATCAACTTAATGTGTAATTGATTAAATGTTATTTTCTCTTAATAAATAATAAAGTTTGAGTAATTAATACTCAAGCTAAAAAGACATTTTTACTCTTTCTGATTGATGGAAAACAAAGTTGCAACAAACTTTATTTAAACAACTCTTCAGAAATTGTTTTTGTTCACCATCCCAACACAGAAAACTCTTATCAAAAAAGTAAAATTAGATTTATCGCCACTTATTGTCAAAATCACTATAGGCATACATGTTTATATATATTCGTAGTATGAATTCAGAGATAAAAGAACAGGGTGAAATGAAAGTACCTGTATGATTTGTATTTAAAATGAAACTGCTTGATGCAAAGTCTGGAAAGCAACATTTGTACAGTGTACTTTGTTAGCCAGCATTGTGTGGTTTGTTGCATTGTTCATTTTGTTTCATTAAACTTCATACTCATACTAAGTAAAATCACATTGAAAATGTTCTAGCATTCTCAATTTAGTAAAAGGTCATCTTTCTTATAATTGCTTTTATCATGTTTTCAATTGTTCATTTTCAAAAAAAATCTATTCTGTGTTGGGAGGGTACTTAACAAAAATGTATCTTTCTTAAATGAAAATTAAAGAAAAAAAAAACAATCCATTCTTTCTAATCTGTAAGTTTTAAAACATTTCTTTTCACTGAAATAGAAAAAAATCATGCATTGAAAGAAGCAACTATGTTATCCATGCTGAAAAGTTCATTTACAAAATTAACAGTTTTTGTATACATGAAACAAACTATATTCTGTTAGAAGGTGAATGTGAAGCGCTTTACTTTGGGGGTAAGGTCGACCTTTTAATTCATTCAGGTAAGCAAATACATGAAACAGAGTGTTAGAGAAAAGATGGGTACATTGTGAAATTAATTATTTTCATGTCTATTACAAACACTTTGTGGAAATCCTAGCGTTGATAATTGAAAGCATTTTAGAAAAAGTATTACATACTTTTAAAAAATGTTTCTTTATCATGCTTTCTGGTTTGGACAGGGTGTTTTAAGCATATCTTTGTATGCTCATCAATCAAAGCATGAGTATTTATATGTGAACGACTGAATGTTGAATGAATGAACTTGAATGAATGAATGAATAAGAAAATGTTTAAATGAATTATGCTTTAGATTTTTTGCCAATAGGAGTGTAATTTTTAATGAAAGAAAGGGAGAGAAATACAAAGAGAGAGAGTATTGAAATGTACATCAACGAAAAAAAACAACATTTGTTTTATTGTGAATCCTCTTTGGTTATTTACCTTTCCCAAACAAAAGGCCCGGCTCTTGATTCTGTTTTTGTTATCATGAAGTGTCCTTTCAGAATCACACAACGATCCTTATCAAATTTTTTATGTTTCGGGGCTTGAAAATTTGGTAGTTTTAGTTTATATACAAAGTTTTTTTTTCATTTTTGGCAACATATTTCTTAAAAAGAATTCCTAAAATACGACCGTAAGTGTATTGACGTTTGGAAAAAATGACATCAAACCCTAATGGATAGAATTCATTATCTAGTTATGCATCAAAGAGGCATATAAATTAACGGAATACTAAACAATTTTTTAACATATGAATACGGAAACAAACTTGCTAAATCATGGACCAAACAGAAAATAATATTTTAAGAAAGAACATCGTGTATTTTAGGTTTAAATAAACATACACAAATTGAAATAATGAGATTGTCCAAACATACTACTACACGAATTCGTACACAATAAATCTTTTAGCTTCAGAGATTCAAAAAATCAGCACACATACTTCAAAGCTGTATATAATGTCCAAGAATTCAACCAGTTAAGTCTATATGGGATTCTTTAAATGAGACAAAATATATGTATCAAGCAAATTTAGCTTAGTACACTTCTAACTTTATCTGGATTCACTGGGCTTGAAGTTGGCTCCAAATATAGTCGAATTTGGACTAACTTGGTTTTTCTCAAACATTTCAAAGATAGTGTTGTGTGTTACATGATTTTGATTTCCTTCATTGAGACAGGTATGGTCGGCAACAGAAGCAAGGGGGCCTCGAACAGGCATCGCCAGGCTGAAAGTCACATAGGTTTTTATATGTCCATTTTGTGATCGAAACATAGATGTTAAATTGAACTATTTTAGGAACTAGGATATCGATATACGGGGTGAAAATATTCATACCACAAACTTTAAATTATAGTCCCCCTTTTAAAATTGTGAAATGGTGATGCTGCATAAAGTGAATTAATTTTATCCTTCCGAGGAAATGTTGAATTTATATTCCCAAGCATGATCAGTTAACATTTCAATGATATATCTTCACCCCCTTGACTTTGTTATAGTTTATTTAATAATACTATTAAAAGGAAAGGCCACTTTTTCTTAAAATTAAATGACTTTGCTTTAATGTATTTACCCAAGAATATGGAAAGCCTTCTACCCCAAATAGCTTTTCAATACTTACACATTTTCTAGATTAATATGGTCACAAAACTAAATTCCCTCTACCCCCTTAAACAGAAATGCATCCAAGTCAGACTGCTTGTTTATTAGTCATATACTCAAGGTTATGAATGGTGATTTTATAACTTTTATGTACTTTTTTCAGTATTTATAATTGCTTTATCTTATCTAGAATAACGTATGTGAAATAAAATAATAATATTATGTAAATTTTGATTTTAAATGACAATGCTTTTAGATTTGATTTTTCCAAAGATATGACTGAAGCAATTATAAATATCTGATCGTAATGATATTTTTGTTGCTATCATATTTATGAACATGCTAGTGTTGAAAGGAAATAGGGTTAATTAATTGAAAATTCCATGTTTTAGTCATCAAAAATTATTCTGTTTAGTTTGGTATGGTTGAAACCTGCATATCAGCATTTTTGGACGAATATCCACATTTATTGCGAAAGAGAAGAACACTGATTTGCTTCATAGCCTGTCTTTTTGAGTTTCTGATGGGCCTTCCTTGCATTACACAGGTGAGTTAAACATATATACGTTTTCATAATAAAACTTAATTTTAAGACTGCAAAGACATGAAGAAATGTTAACCACCAGCTTTTAATATAAAATTGTCACTTGAAAAGAAATAAATGAAATGATAGAAGTATCTGACAGATTCTTCAAAACTGTTGATGTAAAAAAAATTTCCATTTTCAGGGTGGAATTTACGTTCTGCAGATTATGGATTGGTATTGTGCAAGCTTCTCGTTAATGCTTATCTCTTTGACAGAATGTCTTGCAATTGCATGGATATATGGTAAATATTGAGATGTCTTCTGAAATTCCGTCTTTATCTAGGTGAAATCTAGATGAATCTGAAAATTTTTTAGACTTCATAGATAATTGTATTGGTTCAAACTAATGGAATATATTTACATTTTCATTGCTTCATAAAGTTCCTGATCAGAAAAATAGTGAAAATTTCTTAAAATCTCTTGATGTGTTGAAATAGATTCATGCAAATGCCAAGAGTTTGCAATTTATCAGATAATTGTTAAATTATTGAATGGAATATTTCAGGCACAGATCGATTTTACAAAGACATTGAGTTAATGCTTGGACACAAACCTCATGCCATTTGGCATATAATGTGGAGATACATTACACCAACTATAATCTTGGTAATTTTATTTTGTCAAGTATTTTTTATAGTGTTGTCTTTACTAAAGATACCTTAAATCAACAATTTTTTTAAAGAGAATATTAGGATGATGTTCACTAAAACATTCACCATTCAATTTATTTTAAAAATGCTCTTTGAACAGGGCATTTGGTTATTCAGCGTGATCACTTTAGGACCAGTCACTTACGATGGGAAAGCATATCCTACATGGGCCATAATTTTTGGATGGTGTCTTGGTATAGCATCAATGCTTCCTATTCCAATTATTGCCATCACATCATTATTACTTTCTGAAGGATCACTTCGTGAGGTAAAAATCCTTTTTAGCTCACCTGAGCCGAAGGCTCAAGTGAGCTTTTCTGATCAAAATTTGTCTGTTGTCTGTCGTTGTCGTCAGTGTCATTGTCGTCGTTGTTGTTAACTTTTCACATTTTCGACTTCTTCTCAAGAACCACTGGGCCAATTTCAACCAAACTTGGCACAAAGTATCCTTAGGTAAAGGGGATTCAAGTTTGTTAACATGAAGGGTCACGCCCTTATTCAAGGGGAGAAAATTCAGAAATAGTGAAAATTTGATGGTGTATTTTAAAACTCTTCTTCTCAAAAACCACCGTGCCAGGAGAGATGAAACTTATAGGGAAGCATCCTCAGGTAGTGTAGATTCAAGTTTGTTCAATTGTTCAAATCATGACCCCCTGGAGTAGGGTGGGGCCACAATGGGCAATCAAAGTTTTATATAAATATATATAGAAAAATTCTTTAAAAATCTTCTTCTCAAGAACCACTGTTCCAGGAAAGATGAAACATATAGGGAAGCATCCTCAGGTAGTTTAGATTCAGATTTCTTCAAATCATGACCCCAGGGGGTAGGGCGGGGCCACAATGGGCAATCAAAATTTTACATAGAAATAAATAGGACAATTCTTTAAAAATCTTTTCTCAAGAATAGCAAAGGCATGAATGATCATATTTATATGCAAGCATCCTCAGGTAGTGTAGATTCAGGTTTGTTCAAATCATGACCCCTGGGGGTAGGGTGGGGCAAAAATGGCCAATCAAGGTTTTACATAGAAATAGAAAGGGAAATTCTTTAAAAATCTTCTCAAGAATAGCTAAGGCATGAATGATCATATTTATATGGCAGCATCCTCAGGTAGTGTAGATTCAGATTTGTTCAAATCATGACCCCTGGGGGTAGGGCGGGGCCACAATGGCCAATCAAAGTTTTACATAGAAAAAATATAGGGACATTCTTTAAAAATCTTCTTCTCAAGAATAGCAAAGGCATGAATGATCATATTTTTATGGAAGCATCTTCAGGTAGTGGACATTCAATTTTGTTCAAATCATGACCTCTGGGGGTAGGGCGGGGCCATAACATGGAATCCAAGTTTTACATAGAAACATGTAGAAAAAATCTTTAAAAATCTTCTTTTCAATGATCAGTCCTATTCATATGGAAGCATTCTCAGGTAGTGTAGATTCAATATTGTTCAAGTCATGACCCCCGGGGGTAGGACGGGGGCACAATGTAAGTTCAAATGTAAAAAGCAATAAAGCCACAGGTAGTCAGAGAAATATGCAAGCATCTTTAGTTAGTGTAGATTCAAGTTTGTTCAAATCATACCCTCTCCTTTTTAAGGATTGGTTGGGACCACTATTAGGTTTAAACTTAATTTCCATAATAAACTGATTTTTGCTTTTTTCTTAGCCACATTGCTCAGGTGAGCGATGTGGTCCATGGGCCTCTTGTTTTAATATCACTATTGCATGAAATGTAACTACACTGTTGTGTAAAGAATAAAAAGAAAGTGTATAGATGAAATTTTGATCTGGACATTCTTATTTATATATTTTATTGAAAATATCCTAATGAATGGAGTTAGTGCATGGATAAATAAAGTCATATTTCCTACATTTAGCCCATTGAGGAAAAATTACATATAATTGTCATTGTGTTACAGCAATTGTTTAACTTTTAAAAGGAAAGAGTTGCTAATAATTTCAATAAAAGATTGTCTTACATGAAGTTTTTAGGGGAAAAAATGATTGGTACATGTTTTGCGCTTAAATAAAAACATTTGAGACTTAGCTAAATGAACTGACTACCAAATTTTCTTTTGCAGAACTGGAAAAAGTTAACAACCCCCTTAGATAGTTGGGGGCCCAGTCAGCCTGAAGATAGAGAGAGATACCACGCCTCTTTATCACATTCAAAAAGTGGTTTATTTATTGAGATAAAAACAGAGGAGGCAAATGCCTCAACACCTTTCATTGAGAAAGGAAAACCATCAAGTTGACTCTGAATGAATATGTTCAAACTATTAATTTTTCTTTAAAAGATAAGGAGAAAAACTCCCAAGAAAACACAAAATAATTTGTGCCATTCAGGCAAGATTTTCAGGAGTTGTATGTGCATATATATATAAATTAAAATATATATATTTGTATGACGTTTTATCCTTAAAGTCGTTGAAATATTCCTCAAAAGCTTATGTTGTTATAAGAAATATCAAAATCATGCCAAGAAAATCCAAACATGCAAGTTGTCAATACATATAATTAATTGGCGCTTTGTAAGATATTACGTCAGTCATAGTGTTATTATTTACAATGTACAATGTGAGTTTGTGTTGGTAGATTTAGGAATGGCTAGCTAGTCTGTTGTTTATTTTGATATTAAGGAATATAACAACATATTGTATTCTTTAATTTAGTTTCATATATTTTTTTTGCTTTTTATAAAAGCATGTTTTTAAATACATGTACTCAAATTATGATTCAGCTATGATATAGCACCAATTTTGTTTTTTTTCTTATTGTTATAGCTTGATAAAAAAGATTTTTGCGTTCCATAAATCATTTTACATCAGCCATATACTTGTATGAGTCGATTCTTCCTATTATGGGACAGTATTGCTAAATTATGTGCCTTCAATGTTTGTACAAAATGAAGCACTATTGTTGTCAATATTGTTTCTGTAGCATTCTTTAGGCACATTTCCAACTCAACGCACTTTTAAAGATGTATTAGTTTTAAAACCATTAAAGCTGAATTCAAATGTTTGAATATTTTTTTTTAGTTTTTCTAGTACTTATTCATTCGTTTGTTTTTGTCTTTATCTTGTAAAACATCAATGCAATTAGCTTTTAAGTAATTACATTTATCATTACAATGCTTTAAATACAGGTTGTATCTTCAATCTGTTTTATTTTTTGTTACATGTGAATATGCAAAGCATAATATTTTTATCTAATTTACAGCTGTTTTAAAATTAATTTCTCAATGTTCTATTTTGAATGGATGTCTAAAAAGTATTATTTTATTTGTTTAAAGCCTGTAGGTAAATTATAAGAGATAAAATGTGTTAAAACAAAGAAAGATAAGACCCTTTAATCTTAACTTGTAAATCTGTTATGGTTTGAAATTAATAGTGCTATTTCCTTAATGTTATTGAGGTTAACTAAAATTCATGTTTTTCTTTATTTATTTTTTTTTTTTTGCATCTGTTTATCTGAATATTTTATTTTACTGCCTTGAATGTTATAGCAGGTTAAATGAATTTAATTTTGAATGATTACCTGTCTAAATATGAATTTGCATGATATAGATGTTTGAAAAATCACTTGAACCAAAAGATGAATCAAATTAAAATGATTAAATTTTTGTTATAAAATTGTCTTTTTTGTTTTGCTTGAATTATTGCAGAATTATGACATGAAGAATTTCTTCTATGTTAGATTCTAAAGTTTTGATTATTTTAACTTGCCACACAAACGGCTCGGGTGATATTTTGTTTTAAGTTTGCAGCTAACCTGAAGAGCATTCTTGCTACAAACTATCAGGCCTCAGGATCATGAAACAAACTTAGACTTAAGTCAAATCTTCAATTATCTATAAAAAAATTCATGAATTATGGAATTTATTTTGATAACAACACTTCTGGGAGACAGTTTTTACTTTTACAACATTTTATTAACAAATAGAGATTTTGACTTAAGCGTAAGATGTTTCATGATCCCAGGGCCTGGAGATGATGGGTATTTAAGTTTATTTTATTGAAGTGAAATGCCCTCTTTCAATGGGAGAAATTCAGAATTCGTAAAACTTGCATCTTTCAAAAATCACAAGAAGCACGTGCTCAGAAAGACATAAAACTAGTGGAAAGCTTCATCCAATAATTAGAATCAAGGTTAATGAAACCTTACCGTGTTGTGGGGTGGGGGACACTTTGGGAAGTAAATTTATAACATATGAATAATTACGGAAAAATCACTTGGATTTGCCTTTAGGTAAAACAAAGCCCTTGTTTGTCATGGTTATACAGTAACCATCAGGTAGTGTAAACTCAAATTTGTTCAAATTAAGATTTCAGAGGGAAAGGTGGTAATAATGAAGGATCAATTTTTAAATGCATAGATATATATTTAACGGAAATTAAGTTTAAAAGTCCGCTGACACAAAAAAGTTTCGAGCATAGCAAGAACTGACCTCTTAACACAACAGAGGTGGAATCAAGTGGGATGGAGGAGCAACATATCCGCCTTGTGCCGCTTATGCCGCTTTTCATTATCAGACAAAAGCAAAACAAAATGAAAAAAATTAGTACAAAAAAGGCATAAAAATTTGTATGAAAATGTCAGTCAGCATTCGACTTTGCAAAAAAGTGTATTTGCTAACAAGATCATTGTTTCTGCAATAGAAAAAAACTTTTCCACGTTTTGGAAATCTTTCTACTTAGAAAATGCTTTTTCCAAATTGAATCAATTAGGAGACAAAACTCTGCATAATTATGCAAATGATTGGTTTATGGCTACATAAATAGGGGGTAAGTTGGCTAAAAGAAAGGCTAAAGGCATCAAGATTCTTTACAAGTTATAGTGTTGATTTTCAATAAATGACAGTATTACCTATTAAACTTGATAAATTTCTTTATAAAATGCCCTATTAGGGATTCATTCGATGACCACCTCTAAGGTTTCAACAATTCACACACATTTGTTGTATTTGAATTAAGTTACGAGTATGTACAGTTTAACTTTACTTTGCCAGCTTCAAAGAAAACATTCTGGAATTACCTGTCCTTTCAAGAAGCTCAGGTATTTGATATCATAAGTGCGATGTTTTTTCTCAACTTCGCGGTGAATCTATTTATCTACGATTTTTTTTCAACTCGAAGATTCGAAGAAAAACTTTTAATTAGAATATCTTAATTCTCTTAAAGAATTAATTGTAACTTCGTTAGTTATTTTTTAGCCTCAAAGCTTTCAATTTTGATGAGTCATTACCGGATCAGAAACTCTTGGTTAGCGAAGATGTTTTTTTCCAAATGCTCTTACTTTTCTGATTTCTTCTCTAAGCTTCAAAGTTTGCTTGCAGGTAAAGGGAACCGCTGTCTCCCCGAACCTTCTGCGAAAAAAACCCAATTTATTTAAAAAAATTATATTTCTGTTGCAGCAAAAATAGCATACCTTGTTTGCATGGAATATACTGTGCAATAACATATTTTCGTGGGGTCAAATTTTCGAGGTTTGAAAAGAAATATAAGAGATTTGATTTCGGGGTTGGAGTGTTGAGTGATAAAGCAATCAAAATAAGTGTATCTTTTATTATTGACAAATAAGCAAAGAGGAAAAGAACATTTCTATTTGGGGACGTATTTCCTTTGAATAATAAAAATAACCTTACATGTACCATAAAAAATTTCCATCAACCCAAAATTAGAGAAGGGAAAAATTGTTTTTTTTTAAAATTGTTTTTGTCATAGTTCCCTAATCTCCGTTTAATGTAGGGCGGCGCCGAGAGAATTCAATCAGCAAGTTTTTTAACTTGCCCACATAGCCGAGCTGTCATAAGCGCGCTGTTCCTGCTCTACTAAGAGATCATAATTATATACATGTATCTACATGTATTTAAAAAGAAACTTTTTTAATTTACGTAACATAAGCACGTTAGCTTCTACCTGGAAAAAGGGAAACATTAACTTCCTTTGGAAACTTTCAATAGTAAGTAACGCCAGACGCCTGTGTTCCTAAATTTTTATCTAAAGACAAACCTTCCAGCATCTGACGAGTTCAAATTAAGAGTAGGAAAGGACATCTTCTGCTAATCAAAGTGTAGCGCGGTTTTTACAATAGAGTTTTCCCCACAACATTAACATTAATACGATGGAGAACAAATCGTTTGATCTAGATGACTGGAACAAAGAATACCGGTATGTCAACCGATACACTGCAAACACCATCATTTTGCCAATGTATCTCATATTTGGCGTTATTGGGAACTTAACTGTATTAATTGTATATTCCACCAGAATGCATTCAAAACAGGATGACAGGTACTTCATACCTTTTCTTGCTGGTGTTGATTTTGTGGGACTTGTTGTTTCAACCTCTGAAATTCTGATTGAAAACAATGAACCTTACAAATTTCCAGGAAACTATCCGTGCAAATCTTTACATATGTCGACATGTGCATCCAAAGTCTCATCGATTGTCATGTTACTAGTAATAGCGATACAACGATACCAGAAGATATGTCGCCCATTTGGATTTCAGATGAATTTTGTCATCTAAACGGATCCACATCTCTTATAGTTTTGCTTGCAATTGGATTCGCTTTGCCGATAACATTCCTCTATGGAATAGTAGAGGTATATCATCCAACAACAAATATAATTGGTTTCCGCTGTAGTCCAGTTCCAAATACCGACACATTTCGAGAAGCTTACCAGGGTATAATTATTACAATTGAAGCAACCTCAGTGATTTGCATGTCTTTTCTTTACGCATTAGTTGGGTATACGTTGATTACGAAAATGAAATCACCTCGGAAAATTAACCATTCGGTGGCACCGACATCTCTTCCTTTAAGTAAAGTGGAGAAAAGTACAGGAAAAACAGAGACCTTCAACACTATCACTGAATCCAAAACAACGGAAACAATGGAAAGTAGGAAAGAGTCGAAAAGTCGTACAAGAAGCAAAAGATCTAAGGTCTTACCGGTAAACAATATTCCTTGATGTTCATGGTTATATCTCTTGTCAGCATTCTTTGTTTCTTTCCGCCTTAGATATTTATGATTCTAGAAACTCAAGACAAAACATTCTGGAATTACCTGTCCTTTCAAGAGGCTCAGATATTTAATATCATTAGAGCTATGTTTATTCTCAACTTCGTGGTGAATCCTTTTATCTACGGTTTTATCGACTCGAAGTTCGAAGAAAAACTTTTGAATGCCTTGCTTCTCTTAAAAAATTAATTGTAACTTCGTAAGTTATTTTTTAGCCTCACAGCTATCAATTACAATACATGTGTTTGTAAATAACGTAACTCTATGATGGATAATATATGCCATGTTCGTTCGTTATGACGTGGTTTTTAAATATCATATTTAATAAGAATTTAAGAATTTTCAATGTCGTGTTGTTACTGATGATTTGTGTTCCTTAATTATAACATTATTGAATAAAACCTTGTAGAAAATGGGATTTAACTAAGCAAATTATTTTTAAAATTTAACATAGATGACTTAATTTTCTCCGAAATCCTACTGTATATTACCTGTGATCTTACATTTTTTACCAGCAGGTTTCGACTTGTACACGTACATGTAAGAGGGTGAAATTCTTGGAACAAATCAATCAAACTACAGGTTTCTTGTATCAATATCACAATAAATGGACTGATTATTGTTATTATTAATTAAAATTGAAATCTAGATGACCTGTATCATTATATTAATTTATGGATTTTTGTAAAATAAAAATGGGGACAACGAACAATATTTAAGCTTGAAACAAAGCCAATTAGGAGCTGACCAAACACATCAGATGTGGTATAGGAGCACTGGAGACGTGAGCATCTTCTGCTGACCGTTCACAATCGCCCTTTGCTCCTTGCTATGATCGTAAAAAAGGAAAATTACTTTGACAATTAAGCGTGTAAATAATGGCGTAGCAACTAGTAAATAAAGGTCATTTGACTTATTTATAGGTTGTATTTGCTGACAAGGTCATTGCATAGAACAATAAACTTGTAAAATGAGATGACTGCAAACGAGATTGATATCTTTGTTTCACCAATATGTTTATCAATAGCTTACCTTGTTTTAGAAATTGTTTGGGCGAAAGCTCTTGATTATCTAATCAACTAAAAGACATAAACCCCATAAGCAGATGATGAGGTTATTTTGCTATACCAGTAGGGGAGGTCGTTTAATATGTAATCGCCTTATTTTATTAAGAAATAAATAACAAGTTTATAAACTTCAATGGGAATTGAAGTGGGTCGGTCACGTGATCAAATCCTGTGAAGGCCGAAGGCCTTCTCAGAAGATTTGATCACGTACCGACCCACTTCAATTCCCATTGAAGTTTATAAACTTGTTATTTATTACTTATATATACATTTGAAACAGACAATTGAATATTTTCGAATTTAATTATTGCAGTAACCGTCCGTCGTAGATTTTGAAAAATGACGCAAGGTGTAAATCGGCTTGCATGGCGGTTACGCTTCGAATAGGCTAAGGAATCTGTTTCGAAGGGAATATTTTGTGAAAGGCTACTTGTGATCAGTAATAGTGAACAGATTGTTGTCTGAGAATATTTTTATTCGTGAAAATTGATAATCGATGCTGAAAAGACACAAGAAACACGTCCGAAATTTGATGTCCATGATAAAAAGTTGGAGGAATTTCGGTCGCCGGAAAGAGATGGATGGATCCGATGGATTGAGACACTTGTCCGAGCCAGTTAATTTGCAATTTGATCAAAAACATTCTACGATTTCAGTACCTAAAGGCATACTTATTGTAAAACACTGATAAACACAGAGACACTGGCGACAGCTTTACCATGTTTACATGGAACTACGAAAACACTGAGGTGTTTGGCAGCTGTTCATGGCATGACTGCAATGATATTTTCCAACAGATTTACACATTTATCGTGAGTAGAATTTAAAGATAAAATAATAGTTTATCATGAAAATTTAACGAAAGGTCTACCCAAAAAATAAGGATGAACGTTAAAGACTGTGCAGCTGACAAAATTGAAAAAAAATGTAAACAAACGCTAGGCCTAGGCCCCTAACGTGTTAGTTTTCTCTATGTACACAGGTTGAATCGATAGCCAACAATCTGAAATACTTTTTTACAATGTAAATAAAATAATTATCATTTTACTTGCTTATTTTGTTCATTTTTGTACATGAAAAGCAAGTAGAGCAGCTCATTTTATAATTTATGTACTGGTAAATATTATTGCGCCGTGTGATTTGGTCACGTATTGACCTCTGACCTCTGACAAACTTCATACAGAATTGAAGATATTTTCTCTCTGTATGTTTATATAATAGAGAGATACCACAAATGTATATATTAAAGTTTGGTTGCTAGGACACATTTAACGTCTTTTTGGGTAAAATGTCCAAAAATATCGAACAGATGTGTCAGACTCAGTGGCATCTTTAAAATCTAGTTTTTGCCAGAATCGTTGACTTTTTGGGATTACGGCTAACTTTGACATTCAAACCTGCATGTGTAAAGAGGAACGGAATTGATAAATAGATAAGCAAACATAAGAAGTCGTTATAAGTATGGTGTTAGGGACACTTATATGACTACAAACAAAACAGAAATTACGTTGCCTGGAGGTTAGTATCTCCTTTTAATTTTATTTGCTGAAGGAATTACTAGGAATAAGGAAGGGAAAAAGATAACACTTTGTGTGAGTTGGCCAAGATGGGAAGGATTGAGATATTGCTACTCAAACATAAAAAATAAGAGCCTAGAAAGACCCCGGATCCTTGACTTTTAGACACCGTAGGACCGATTCAGATGTTCATTCTGTATAGAACATTAAACAACCTTCTTCCTGATGCAGGTTATTAATTATTGTATGTAACTAACAGTGGTTCATAATTTTAAATGAAATAGGCCCTATATAGAGGTAACAAACTGTATTCAAGTCCAAAAGTCCAATAAACAATACAAAATAGGAACAGAGCAAACACGGACCTCCGAAACATCAGAGGTGGGATCAGGTGCCATGGAGGAGATGTAATGAGTATTCAAGCAGGAGTGAGCATCCCCTGCCGACCGGTCCCATCCGCTGTGTGTTCCTTTTTCATGATCGGAAAATAGCGGAAAAATCTGTCAACAATTCAGTGTGTAAATACATTTATTACACACTTAGTAATAAATACAGGTTTTTTGCATATGCGATATGGCTGACGTCACAATAGCCGTATCAACCCTGCAGGGCTGATATGGATTTGCGGGGCTGATAACCTATATCAGCCCTGCAAATCCATATCAGCCCTGCAGGGCTGATACGGCTATTGTGACGTCAATATCACACCCTTAGTAAATTAAACCACAAAAACAGTACTTGAGATCATACACAATTTTTGGTGGGTTCATATTCTCTTAATTTTAACTTTTTGAAAATAAGGTTAATCTTAATTTACAAATACATGTAATAGATTATTTTCAAATTACGGATCGAGTGTATTGAAATAGAAGTAGAAACAAACCCAAATGGTATGAGACAATAGACCATGTATATACATGTATGTAAGAAGTCCATGCATGATTATTTACTTATTTTCTTCTCAATTTAATGCATGCTGTATATTTTATTACTAAGTATATAATAAATATATTAATACATACCCTTTTCCACATCACATCCTGTATCAGCCCTCGACCAATATCAGCCCTCGGGCCTTCGGCCCTCTGGCTGATATTGGTGTCTCGGGCTGATACAGGATGTGATATGGAAAAGGGTATGTATTATTCTCTATGTAATGGCCTAACAACTAACATGAAAAACGGCAGTCAGCATTTGATCCAATGATAAACTGTATTTGCTGACAAGGTCATTATATCGAACTTGCGATATGATGACGTTAGACGAGAATGTTGATGTTTTTGTTTCATAATAATGCTTTATTTTCCATACTACCCTTTAGATGAACATTCTTCAAAATATGAAATAATAAACTGTTCAATACCAAATCATACCCTTTTTAAGCATTCAAAATTATTCTACTTTCCTTCTGCTTAAATATTGATATTTTATCTACTATTAATGCTTCAGCTGATAATTTATCTCCTTCCTCGTCCGTTATTAATTTCTTTGGAGGTTTTCTTTCCGTAAACATTTTTTTCTTTGTAGTTTAACTTCCTATAAACAAACTACTGCATGGTTTTAAATGATGCCGATCGCCGTTGGGTAGTCCCGCTTTCAACAAAAATATAATAATTGTGATGTGTTCAAATTAATTGCTTGACGTTTAAATGTTTTAAGTGGCACGACAGTTTTGTAACGTACGGCGCCGCTGGAGGGCCAGGTAAAAAAAATTTTTTTATTTGTTCGGACAAATTAGAAATTCGTTCGGACAAATTAGTTATTTGTTCGGACGAATTAGATATTCGTTCGGACAAATTAGAAATTTGTTCGGACGAAGTAGATATTCGTTCGGACAAATTAGAAATTTGTTCGGACGAATTAGAAATTTGTTCGGACAAATAAGTAATTTGTTCGGACAAATAAGATATTCGTTTGGACAAATTAGAAATTCGTTCGGACGAATTAGTTATTTGTTCGGACGAATAAAATATTCGTACGAACGAATTAGTTATTTGTACGGACGAATTAGAAATTCGTTCGTACGAATTAGTTATTTGTTCGGACGAATAACAAATTCGTTCGGGCAAATTAGTTATTTGTTCGGACGGATTAGATATTTGTTCGGACAAATTAGATGTTCGCACAAATTATCTTGTAAAGAGAGATATACAATTTGTCTATTCAGGAGGATCCATCCCTTTTTAATACATAAATAGCTCTTTTGACCATGACATGTGCACACGTTGCAACTAGACATGTGCTGTTAAAGTCGGGTATGTTGATTGTAAATATTCGGAAATGATGGTTCTATACCGGTATATATTGTAGGCCTAAAGTCTGCCATTCTGAAAGTATATTATCTGAGAGCCCACTAGTAAATTCAAAGGGTCAGTTACTTCTTATCAAACATCTTTTCACTCCCATCCCTGACAAACTCATAAGATTTGTCACAAATAAACATCATCTGGTTCTACCGGACCAACTTTTGCTGGTGGTGTTAAGGGGTGCTAGTGGTCAGTTACCGCTTCTTTGAAAAGATGAGATCCACTCCTTAAGGTTTTATTCATACCGCAGGCAATTGGTACGGGGAAAAGTTGGCATTGAAAAAGTAAGCTCCCCCCCCCTACGAAATAGGACTGTCAATTTTGGGAAATTTTTCGTGTGTACCTTTTTTTTTTTTTGCTTGTCAACTTTTTTTTTGAAACCAACCCCTTTTATGGGGAAAATAAATTATGAATGAATGTCAAAATATTTTCCTCCCCCCCTTTCCAAAACGCTGATACGTGGCTTCATTGTATTATATTAAATAAACTTCGGACTCAAAATATCGAGCCTCAAAAATTATTCGATGGGTCTAAATTTTTTTAAGATGGGGCTTAATAGCTAGGACATTTGTTGTTTTGCTTCTATACCGCTGTTCCCACATTTAAGTATTTTGTGATAAAGGAACAAAAAGAGGGAATCTCATAAGTCCATCTCCAATGGATTCTTTCTAAGATCGTTAAAAACTATTATTAAGTATCTATATAAATTTTATTTCATATTTAAATTTCAGAAAAGCGCGTGAATTAAAACATGCAGGTATAATATTGACCAAATTAATTACACGTCCCTTTCCGGGAAAAGGATAAAAAATAGATGAATTCATGTGCGTTCCTAAAAAGTGCAGTAAAATTTAAAAACACATCATAATTTAATGCAACTTAAGCTTCTCAATGATTAAGACAATCAATCGTTTTTAAATAGAGGAAGGGGGGGGGGTTGTTACTTGAAAATATTTTGACATTCATTCATTCATGATCGATTTATTTTCCCCATAAAAGGGGTTAGTTTCATAATTTCCCTTTCTAGTGAGTCATTGGCCTATCAAACCTTCGAACTGGTACTCAACTGTAAAAGTGTATAAACAAAATTAAGAAATGCTGAAAGTGAAATTAAATAGTTTGTTCGACTATATGTACCTCTACAATAAGGGGAGGTGGCAATAATTATGCTCTGTAAATCAATGGACTAGGGAATATACCAGATTGACCGGTTGACATCTTAATTCATTCTCGCGAGTCATAGGAACAACTTGAGATAAATACGAACAGGTTCATTTTTGTGAAGTTTTCTTAATTTACAAACAGGAATATTTAATTAAAAACTCAATGAGGACCCTTTTTTCATTTTATACACCGCATATGTACCAGATTGATTGATTGAATGTTTTACGCCGAATCGGCAATATTTCAGCCACATATCGGCGACATATGTATCAGAAATGTATTTCAAAATTCATTCACGTCATGATTAATAAATGCAGGGTAATGAATATGTACGAGGGTTGATCCAAAAGTTCGTGGAATTTCTTTCTAAAATTTTATCGTGATTTGGTGAAAGCAAACAACAGGCATATTTCTAATGTAGAGTCATAAAGCAACAATACTGGAAAATTTCACAACTTTCCAATTACCAATAAGGTCACACGAACTTTCTGAAAACGGATTGTTGTGAAACCCGGGGGAGACTTTGACGTTTCGTTAAGTTTGATAGGTCACGTCACGTTATAGAAGCAGCTCACCCTAATGTACAATTCAAATACGTAATTCTACAAATGCTGCCCTTTTCTCTATTTTTTTTTTCTCAAGAAAAGCCTGGGTATCCTCTCGCACCAACTTATCTTCATTTTTCGCTCATATTTCAAAATACTCCCCATCTTTCCATATGATGTTACAATTTCAGTAGCAATGTGAAGAACAGTACGTCAGCCGACATCGTCCGTTAACGCTTTTAATTTATGTACGGGGATAAACACCCCAAAAAGCGGTCACACCTTTAATTAATGTCCATGGACGTTCTATTTTTCTAAAATTTGTCATATGACACTGGAAAACCAGTAACTAAATGCATCTAACTGGCCTAAGTCAATAATATACGCGTTTAATATAGAGTGATCCCGAAATTTTCACAAAACTGATGACTTGACCGAAATTTGACGTTGTCTAGCAACTTCAAGATGAGCAATAAATCACAAACTAATAAACTAAATATAAAGTAAAATCAGTAAAACTCTCACACAAAGGTTTATAAAAGATCAAGCAATCGTAGTAATGACACAATATTCCTTTAATATACCACATCGGGTGGTTTTATTCTCATTTCTCGTATTTTAGAATTAAAACGATAATAAACGCTTTAATGTCTCCCCCGCATTTCCAAACAACCGTTTCCATGGCAACTGCCATAAAGTTACTATCATAAATATTTAAAATGTTTTTTTATTTAAAATATTCAGCAAGTGTCTATATTCATAAAAATTATAAGAAAAAGATCATTATCAAAACGACTTATCTTCAAAATATTTATTGAAATTGTTGTTCATTAAAGTTATTTTGCAAAGAATCAAAATAAAATGAAACGTCTTGGTGCAAATCGCACATTAATCGCGGTGTCCTGACAGTTGTTCACATTTTGTCTAATTTGTCCGAACAAATAACTAATTCGTCCGAGCGAATTTCTAATTCGTCCGTACAAATAACTAATTTGTCCGAACGAATATCTAATTCGTCCGAACAAATAACTAATTCGTCCGAACGAATTTCTAATTTGTCCGAACAAATAACTAATTCGTCCGAACGAATTTCTAATTTGTCCGAACGAATATCTAATTTGTCCGAACGAATATCTAATTCGTCCGAACAAATAACTAATTCGTCCGAACAAATTTCTAATTCGTCCGAACGAATTTCTAATTTGTCCGAACGAATATCTAATTCGTCCGAACAAATAACTAATTCGTCCGAACGAATTTCTAATTTGTCCGAACAAATATCTAATTCGTCCGAACAAATATCTAATTCGTCCGAACGAATTTCTAATTCGTCCGAACAAATATCTAATTCGTCCGAACGAATTTCTAATTTGTCCGAACGAATATCTAATTCGTCCGAACAAATAACTAATTCGTCCGAACAAATAACTAATTCGTCCGAACGAATTTCTAATTTGTCCGAACAAATAAAAATATTTTTTTTAGCTGGCCCTCCAGCGGCGCCGTAACGCATTTAAAATTTTAAATTGATTTAAATGTACTTGTACTTACATTTACAATTATACTAGACAATATCTTTTAATCACCCTATGTCTGCGCCTCAACTAATGCGACTTTTGACTTTTTGATATACTCGCCTAGAAAACTGTTTTAGCTTATCTAGCTTTCAGGACTATGCTGTTCTGTTTGCCAGTTGCTTATTGTTAAAAAAGATAATCTTTAAGTTTTTACGTCACATTTTTTACATCCACTAGTACTGGATATTTTTCCCTTTATTTTTCAAGAAACCAATCAATTTTTAATTCTAAACAGTAATAACCGTTATTTTTAAGTCACTCCTCAGAAAGCTTTCTTAAACAATAGGCTACACAAAATGACATAGAGAAGATCAATAATACAATATTTCACATAATATTTAATCCTATGCTATATGCTTACGTATGTTAAGTTTTTTTTTCTGTAATGACTGTAACCAGTAATGCCTGCATCAATAAACAATGAAGGCTTTTTATTTTGTAAATATAGATATGTAAAAAATTAAAAACTCCAACGAGTTACTATGAACATCACACTACTGGAAATAAGGGAAAAATAAAACACAACTAAAACAATTGGAGTATACATACAAAACAACCTCTAAATGGGAAATTACTTCTATTTTTCTAAAAACAGTGTTTTATTCCAAAAGGAGTTTTAATATTTTAATCAATATATCACTTTATTTTTAACTGTGCTGGATCATTCTTCAAGATGTCCCATTAACAGAAAAGTCATCTCATTGTTACTCTTGCTATGAAAAGAATTCATAGACACATGATGAACGAACCATCATGATTCAGTCAATGTAATGTTCACTGCAAGGTCTGGAAAGGTCACTGAATGGCACAGCTCTAAATAGCCACAATTCAGTCACGTTTTAGTAAACATTCAGACACCTTTTACATGTAGTAAACATTCACCTTTTACATGTAGTAAACATTCATTCACCTTTCAGTAAATATTCAGTCATCTTTCAGTAGACATTATGTCATCCTTCAGTAAACATTTTGTCATCTTTCAGTAGGCATTTAATCATCTTTCAATAAACATTTTGTCATCTTTCAGTAGATATTTTGTCATCTCTAAGTAGACATTTAGTCATCTCAGTAGACATTTTGTCATCTCTCAGTAGACATTTTGTCATCTCTTAGTAGACAATTAGTCATCATTCAATAGACATTTTGTCATCTCTCAGAAGACATTTAGTCATCTCTCAGTAGACATTTAGTCATCTCTCAGTAGACATTTTGTCATCTCTAAGTGGACATTTAGTCATCGTTCAGTAAACATTTAGTCATTTCTCGGTAGACATTTTGTCATCTTTCAGTAAACATTTTGTCATCTTTCAGTCATCTTTTAGTTAACTGAATGACAGCAATTCATTCTCTGAGACCGAATGATTTTTTTCTTACAAACTCAAATTAAAATTTCTTGTAATTATTTTTAATCACAAAATCAATATATTTCTTTTATATTTATATTTGAATCTTATATTCAAAGGCTGTTTCAAAATAAACTTTACAGCCCTGCATTCCATTATCATTCCAATAACATCGCTAGCTTCACTTGATTTAATGGACAATGCTAAAGTTTTAAATGTTGATCACCATTGATCGATATTTCTACTCGATTGGATAGAGGAATACTACATTGCATATGAAATAGAGGACCCAGTAATACACTTATAATACTGGCCAATCACATAAAGTAATTGTGTTCCAATGCAGCATTTTAAATAAGACGCTTAAGCAACATGTGGCCAGTTAAAGCACATCGCAAAAAGTATTCTTTCAATGAAATCAGTATAGAAATATGGTGCTCAACATTTTACGCTTGACACGCTCAACTTAACTAAATGACAAACAACTACATGAGAATATTGGAATGATAGTCTGTATGATTTGGGAGAAAATGGTTTTGAAACTGGAGAGAATCTAAAAGTTATTACATGTGTACGTACATATGTACGATAAAAAATAGAGTTACCTCTCTTGACTCATAACACGTCTACAACAATAGCATATATATACATTTGTGGTATCTCTCTATTATATAAACATACAGAGAGAAAATATCTTCAATTCTGTATGAAGTTTGTCAGAGGTCAGAGGTCAATACGTGACCTAATCACACGGCGCAATAATATTTACCAGTACATAAATTATAAAATGTCCTGCTCTACTTGCTTTTCATGTACAAAAATGAACAAAATAAGCAAGTAAAATGATAATTATTTTATTTACATTGTAAAAAAGTATTTCAGATTGTTGGCTATCGATTCAACCTGTGTACATAGAGAAAACTAACACGTTAGGGGCCTAGGCCTAGGCCTAGGCCCAGTCTTTAACGTTCATCCTTATTTTTTGGGTAGACCTTTCGTTAAATTTTCATGATAAACTATTATTTTATCTTTAAATTCTACTCACGATAAATGTGTAAATCTGTTGGAAAATATCATTGCAGTCATGCCATGAACAGCTGCCAAACACCTCAGTGTTTTCGTAGTTCCATGTAAACATGGTAAAGCTGTCGCCAGTGTCTCTGTGTTTATCAGTGTTTTACAATAAGTATGCCTTTAGTTACTGAAATCGTAGAATGTTTTTGATCAAATTGCAAATTAACTGGCTCGGTCAAGTGTTTCCATTCATCGGATCCATCCATCTCTTTCCGGCGACCGAACTTTTCATCCTTTTTTTCAACCTTTTTTCATCGACATTCGGACGTGTTTCTTGTGTCTTTTCAGCATTGGTTATCATTTTTCACGAATAAAAATATTCCCAGACAACAATCAGTCCACTATTACTGACCACAAGTAGCCTTTCACAAAATATTCCCTTCGAAACAGATTCCTTAGCCTATTCGAAGCGTAACCGCCATGCAAGCCGATTTACACCTTGCGTCATTTTTTCAAAATCTACGACGGACGGTTAGTGCAATAATTAAATTCGAAAATATTCAATTGTCTGTTTCAAATGTATATATAAGTAATAAATAACAAGTTTATAAACTTCAATGGGAATTGAAGTGGGTCGGTACGTGATCAAATCTTCTGAGAAGGCCTTCGGCCTTCACAGGATTTGATCACGTGACCGACCCACTTCAATTCCCATTGAAGTTTATAAACTTGTTTTTTATTTCTTAAATAACATTGCCGATATGAATACAGTAAATAATCAGCCTAAAAGATCAAAGCTAGTAAATACTGTTCCAATTCCATCTAAAGAAAAACAGATCAACTAGCTCCTAATTTATATATATGTATTTTATTTCAAGATCAACGTTATTGAGTTTTCTTCTTTTCTTAAACCATTTCTTTTCTTGAACCATTAACATCCCCATTACTTTTCATCAAATTACGAAAATTAGACATGAAATTTTAATACGGTTTTTAATACCGTTTGTTTGCCATTAATTCTAAGTCTGAAATAAAAGAAAAAAAAATGATTTCCTCATTCAAGCATATTTATTTACATTTATGACCATTTTTTACATACAAGTTTATATACATATGCGTATAATGATGTTATGGCAATGAACCAAATTGCTCAAGTACACTGTGTGCATATTTGAGCTCCATATTTCCTCAAATTAACATATTTCCGGGATCCACCGGTCCGTTCAGGTCAGAAATGACCCATATTACAGCAAAATGCTTTTCAGTTTTGTTGACGGAAGCAATTTCATTTACTGAGTATATCATTCAAGAAGTCAAAAGGAGTGTTACGGAAAATTTTACTCTATTGAGTTTTATTTTTAATGTAAAAAATGCGATGAATACAAGTTACATCTTTATAAAATTGAGAAAAAAAATTATTAATATGTAAACAGAAGAATTTTTATATATAGTTTTTAGATATAATAAATGTATATAGGGATCCTTAAGCTCCAAACCGGAAATCGTTATTAAGGAAATTCTGATTACAATTTATTTCTATTTTTTCGCAGAAATTATTTTGTTTCCTGCTGTTTTCGGTCCATATCCGTACCTTTCGGTGTAACGTGCCACTGTTGCATATTTAGTCTTCGCTAGGAATTCATGCTTCTTTGATTAACAAACTACGTATTAATCTGATTTCGATGAAAACTTTTTGCTCGATTGTTTTCGTCCTAAGAAAAAGTTTATTTTTGACATTTTCAAAGTCAGTTGGCATTAAGGTGAGACATTCGCAATGACATACCAAAACTTTTAAAAAAGTAAATCAGAGTAACAATCCTTTGTGTCTTTATTAAGAGTAAAATATAGAATTTTAGTGAATTCTTATTTTTTTGGATAAAGGATCATGGAGCATCGAATGATTTTACCTCATTCACAAGCAATCGTAAATAATTTTTTTTAAAAATATAATGAAGGACCTAGCCAAAGATTTCTTTTGTAAAACAAAATTTTGAAGTTAAAAATGAATAAACTGTAATGAATCCTTTAGTCTATTGATTTATCCTGTTTCAATGAAATTGTCCTAAATGATTTTAAAAAAAAATAACAGAAATTTTCTACTTGAAGGTACAGTGTCAACGCCATTTGTCGAAATTAATAAATAAAGCAGCAGTTGATTTGACTTTGTTCTATATGAATTCAGAATTTGAATCTACAATATCAAAAGAATTTTACATAGTCTTCGAGATTTATTTTGACTGAGTGTCCTTTGGAAGACTTTAAATGAGCTTGTTCCCCTCATGGTCTTTTAATAAATCATATCCATTCAATAAAAGAACGGTGGGTCTTCATTTCCACGAAATCAAGCCTTATATATTCTATGCCAAATGTGGTTAGATTTGGTTTGATGATTCAACAGAAGAAAATTATAAATCAAGTACCAAAGGGACATAAACGAGATGGAACAAATGACCAGAAGCTTCAAGTGGATGTAAAAATGCCAATTTTTTGATCGCCTAAATTTAAACAAGGAAGCTCTGACTTCCTCCCAAAGTGTGTAGAGACAGTCATTTTAAACAACAGAATCTGAAACATCACCCACATTATCAATCTGAAGTAAATATAAAGTATAAAACTTACGCTACCTAAATTACAACAGATAATAAATTTTTTGAAAAAAACTTGGCTGATGATGATGATGGACAACGGGACGTTTGATGTAGAGGCCTGGAATGAAGATTATGCTAGAAGGTACACCGTGAGTACTATTGTCATGGTACTGTATCTAATCCTTGGAATCATCGGGAACCTGTTAGTTCTAATAGTTTATTCTACCAAAATGCACTCGAAACATGATGACAGATACTTTATACCTTTTCTTGCGAGCGTGGATCTTTCGGGATGTATAATTTCAACCTCTCTTATCTTAATCGAAAACAACCTGCCCTATAAGTATCCAGATTCTGCCACTTGTAAATTTTTAAATGTGTCAGCCTGTGGATTAATTATCTCGTCCATGTTTCTGCTTCTGGTGATATCGATACAGAGGTACCAAAAGATATGTCGCCCATTTGGATTTCAGATGAATTTGTCATGTAAAAGAATTGTTGCTTTTGGAGCCCTTCTTCTTGCCTCCGCTTTTGCATTTCCAACCATATTCCTTTATCAAACTGTTGAAGTTGATCATCCGACAAAAAATATCACCGGCATTCGATGTGGCCCAGTACCTAACACAGAGACATTTGGAGAAGTTTATAGAGGAATTGTCATCACAGCAGAAGTTATCTCCGTGATTTGTATGTCTGTTCTCTATGCATTGGTTGGTTATACTTTGGTGAAAAAAATGAAACCTAAACCGAAGAGCAACCATCCAATAGTACCAACATCTACGCAGTTATCAAAAGCTGAAAAAAGCAAAGAAGAATCCGAAACGTACGACAGCTTCACCGAATCACAAACTATCGAAAAGATAGGAGTAAAGCCATCACGCCGTTCGGTGAAAAACAAGAAGACAAAAGGTCTAAGTGGTAAGCAGTACTCACTAATGTTCATGATGATTTCTCTTGTCAGTTGTCTGTGCTTTTTCCCACCTTGGATACTTGTTCTGCTGGAAACAAAAGACAAAACATTTTGGAATCATTTGTCGTATAAGGAGGCCCAAGTTCTGATCATTGTAAGAGGATTATTCGTTGTCAACTTTGTAGTTAATCCATTTATCTATGGATTTTTTGATTCAAAGTTTCGACACAAAGTATGGAAATGTCTTTCGTTCTGCAGAATAGAGGGAAATGTCAATTGTGTAAGGCCAAAAGTTAAATAAAACAAGTATAGAGTTTATTCAAAGAATTAAAATATTTTTGGTCAAAGGATAAAGAACAGATTAAATTTGGAAATTAGCTGAAGAGGAGCTTGAAGTATTTACTTTTTAATTTCATGTTCATCAATAAAGTACTGATACAATTTTCTTTGTTTTTGATTGTTTATATCAGTGATCTGAAGTTTGCACGAATCTTTCGTGGGACCATTTTTTGAATTGCGTTTCAAAAATATACACAAAAAATATGTTCAATACTACAAGCCTGTTTGTCACAAAAACAGTTAATATAACTCATGTTCGTCTGTCATTAGGTCTGATTTCTTCTTGCAAAACCCTAGCCTATTTTTCAGATGTGTTTTGAAATAATTATAAATTTCATTTTAAAAATCATTTGTTTTGTATCAGAAAGTTTGGTTTACTTTCAACCGGGGGAAATATAACTTAACGAGGCATTCATAATTTCCGTAAAAACAGGAAATACTTTTAAATCAATCATTTTGTAAACGCAGTTTTAAGTGTATGCATTTATTACAATTAATATATAAATAGAACAAATCTCCTTGATAGTTCCTTATTTTTCAAGAGAAAAATTCCTGAAATTCGATTCACCCACTTATATATATACACATATTATCGCATATTCTCTCTCTCTCTCTCTCTCTCTCTCTCTCTCTCTCTCTCATTTTCCTGAAATGGATTTATTTAAGAATCTCAAATTGGCAAATAATTCTTTGAAGGTGTACATTTGAATGTCCTGACTAAAATACTTTGATGTATGCACATAGTCATTCGGTTTCATATTCCAGTTATTGCAGTAAAGATAACTCGACACATATTAATTACTTACTTCTAGGAGTTAATAAAACACCCTGCCAAATTATCCCCTTATAAATAATTCAAATTATTATAATTTATTATTATTTATCAATAATAATTTTATTTTTAAAATCTAGAATTTAGAAAGTCGTATGAAAGTCTAATGGAGCATAAATAACGTGTTACTTTATAAACGGTAGAATCTGATGATTTTGGATTAAAATGATACTCATGTATAATCTGCAGCCGTACCCAATTTACATCTCCACAAGAATACTTAAAATAGGTGATAGATGTTAAGTATGCACTTCTCTGTAATAATTACAATTTAGTGAACTGTAGATGTTCCTAGATTGATTGTTAACAAAGGTGCCAAGTATACCTCTTCGAAGGCCATGGGCTTTTATCAGTCTCTTCTTTGTTATTGTGTGATAATATTTAATTTTTTTCTATTGTGGTTTTGGAAAAGACAGATAGGTATTCGTACCTTATTTATTAAGAAGAAAGGGTAATCAGTTTGTTGTAGTATATAAACATATGCAAATAAATATTAAGACACTTTGTGTTATTAAACAGGTGCTCATTAATTCATTGATTGATCAACAAAAAGAAAATTGAGTGAAATTTAATTACCGTTGATTTTGTTAACATAGACATTTTCCGGAGTCTTTCAACTGTCTGCTTCTTCAATTTCTGTAAACAATGCACTTGACCTTATATCTAACGATCAATTGAGAAAGCTGAATGATTTACAGTTAATATGCCAATAAAACAGCAACCATTTCAGACTGTATTCATCGTTAGAACATTATCTACTTAAACTTTCAATAAAAATAAGAATGATGATCACCAAAACTTGTATACAGACTACTTTTCTGTTTATAATCAATTGAAACTGACTGGAACTGCAGCTGTGTAAATATATATATCTTTATTCTCATTTCCCCTTCCATCAAAGGTGTCCAAAACCTTCGGAAAAAGGGATGCGTTAAGTGTGATCGTTCCATTTTTAAATATCAAAACACTCAAACTTTTCATCACCTTGAGAAAATTAACTACAATGGCTGATATCAGCATGTCTAAAATAAAATTGTGCGACCTATTATTTTGTACATGTACAAAGTTTAAGAAGTGTACATGTGCAAAAGACAAAATTATAGGCAGTGTTACTTCTGATATTTTTGCACATAATTTCTAGAAATGTTATATTCCACATGTACAATATTACTCTTGTTCAAATATTTTCCAAGTACACTAAAACGTTTGAACCCATGCATTTGACTTTGAAAAACGTTATGAAACTCATATATGAGACAATACAAGGTCACCCAATTGGTTTCTTTGCATTGCCTATTATTGGACGTTTCTTCCCACTATGCTATAATTTTTACCCCCGGATATTAATGAAATTTAAATTTTAGTCCTTTCTTTAACTTTCTTCCAAATTTAAATTTACAATAAGATTTTTACAAAAAAATTAATTACCAGGAAAAATGTAATAATTATTACAGTCATTATTCATGAATTGGTTATCCTTTCTTTGCTATACATGTATTTATGTTATAGGACAAAGTTTAACTATTATGGATTTGTTGTGTTTTAAATTGAATGGCTTCTACCGCTTTTTTATAATAAATAGGAGACCCTTTACTTGAAATGTACAAGGAAAGTTTGAATTTCAATTAGAACTTGTCCATAAGCTCAAAGCTTAAACAAATCAAATTACTATAATGTTCAATGTTTAGGGCCAATACTTATGCCCTGTTCACACGGAGAGTTTAATTCGAATTAAACGTAAGTTTACTGCGAATTAGCTTCGCATAGCGTTCACACGGAGAATTTAATGCGAATTAGTTTAATACGAATTAGTTTACTGCGCATTAAATTACTTCGCATTAGCTCCGTGTGAACGCTAAGCGAAGCTAATTCGAATTAAATTCTGACGCATGCGTAATAGCAAAATTTAGTCAAATGCCACTTGTCGGTGGTCAGCTATAGGTACTTGTGCTATTTTTGAGTGAAAAACTAAGGAAAATTTTGTTATAATCATCAAAATGTGCATACAGACACTTTGCCATTATGTCAAAGGGATCTGCTTTTGCATAAGGTGACGTGATCTGCAAATGACGTCATAATAGCCGTGCTGACGCCGGGCTGCAGAAGTAAAATTTTAATTCGCATTAGTTTACTTCGAATTAGCTGTCGTGTGAACGCAATTTAATTCGCATTATTTTAATTCCCATTAATTTACTTCGCATTAATTTACTGCGAATTAAACTCTCCGTGTGAACAGGGCATTAATTGAACGAAAATGTCTACCTCACAGAGAAAAGTGCTTTAGTTGCTTGAAATTTTCCCATGAAATATAAGCCTATTCTGGATTTTATAAAAATTTCCTTCAAGACATTAAGATTTAAATCATGCAATAAAAACACTCATGCAAACACTAATATGTATAAGTTAATTTAAATTGCAAGATCCTTATTCAAAATGAAGTACTTTGATATATTAATAGCACGGAAGTATAATTCCTGTAGGGATTCCTGGAAGAAGGTAAATAAATATAAATCTAACTACAGCCTTGTTTCAAATTAATTGCTTTAACCAAATTCAGTATTTTTGATAAATAGTGAAAAATTTCGATTTATTATTCAGAACAAAAATGGTGAACAAAACAGTATATGATTTATATGATTGGAAAGAGGATGTATCCGGAAAGTATATTCTAAGTACCTGTGTTCAATCCATTATCCTAGTGGTGGGAGTCATAGGAAATGCTTTTGTCATCACTATTTACACATGGCATCTTAAACCGAAAAAAGATGATAGGTACTTCATTCCCATTCTAGCTTGGATTGATCTTCTGGGATGTATATTTGCCTCTGCGAAGAGTTTGGTCGAAAATCAGTATCCTCTGAAATATATCAGTTCTTTTTCATGCAAGATCTTGAATTTTGGAACCGCTATTTTTATTGTCTCTTCAATATTGTTACTTATGGTTATATCAGTTCAGAGATACCAAAAGATCTGTCGACCATTTGGATTTCAGATGACTCTAAAGGTGAAGCGTATTGCTGCCATCTTAACAATATTACTTGCTGGAACACTTTCAGTTCAATCGTTCATTATGCACGAAAACGTAAAGGTTTTTCACGAAAACAGAAACATTTCTGGTTATGAATGCGCATCAGTCCCCGGGACTTTAAAAGACAGTTTTCAGTACATAATAATTGTAATAGAGGGATTTTCTATTGTTTGCATGTGTCTTATGTATGGTCTTGTTGGACGCGCAATAATGAAGAGGTTTGGCAGAGAAGAGGACGTTACGTCTGACAAAAACGGGGAACCAAATCACAACTCCAGAAACAAACTAATATCTAGACGACGATTTTCCTTAATGTTTATGTTGATATCCTTGGTGTCAATCGTCTGCTTCATTACATCATGGACTTTCATACTTCTACAGCGGAAGGACCCTGCGTTTTGGAGAAAGCTTTCTTTTGGACAGGCTCAAGTTTCCCTGATCTTCAGAAGATTTTATATATTGAATCACGCAGTCAATCCCCTATTTTATGGGTTTTTTGATCCTAAATTTCGGCGCCAAATGAAAACGTTATTTTATAACTTTAAAAGGTACATCACGAGAAACGTGCGTGATGTAAAATTGGACCTCAGTGCCGATTCCAGCCAACAATCAGAAATGTCTTAGAATGTTTGCGCAAGAAACTATGTAAGTAATGTTTTACTAGTAAAATGTATAACTTTTTGAGACTTTTCAGAAAGTACTATTAATTGTTAAATTCCTTATACAGTGTAAGAACAAAGATTTTGATACGTTAAGATTATTATAACATGCTTGAAAGATTTATAGCCTGTATACTTCGTCTAGTAATTAAGGGGGCCGACTATAATTTTCATTGCGCAATATTTCGCGCATCATAGTAAAATGTAGCGTATTTGCTGTTTTAATGGAACCCTTTTCGCTTAATTATTATAATTAAACAAAATTAAGAAATTATACGTATAAAAATGTAACAAAATTTGATATAACTGATTTTTAAAACCGATTTTGCAATTGATAGGTAGTTTGACGTCGTTTCAATGTGTTTTTGACGTTATGATATTCTGTACCTCTTAAAGAAAGGGGTAATAAAAATATTATTAAAGAAAAAGTAAAAAACATACGCTATTGAAATTTAAAACATAAAAATTTGAGAATATCTCCAATATTTTTATTATGTTTTCATGTGAATCCATTGTGTACGTCATATTTTGTAGTACTCTATAAAAAGAGTAAAATTTGCTAATTTTTTGCATTTTGAGATGCCCCCTCTGGTAACAAGACGGTATAATTTTGTGTTTCTTACATATATTGTATAATATATTATTACTCACCAAATATTATTGTTTGAACAAAATGTCTATTGTAGTATTTGTATCATTTGCTTTAAAGTGCTAAAAATTGGCATTTTCCTATATAATCCTATAGTAAATGTACCTGTATTTTGAGACGGTCCCTCAAAAATACCTGGACGGTAGATTTCCCCCAAACTTTGCATGTACACTGAAGATAATGTAAGTTATATATGGTATAAAAATGAAGGGTTTCGCTATTGTAGTTTTCACACAATAAAACTATAGTCGGCCCCCTTAAAATGATTACCAAAAAACTGATTTTGTCTTAATTTTGTAATCCTAAATTTTATCGATGCGTTCTTGAGAAGAAGCAGCATCTGAAGGCGGATTTCATAGATACATGTTTATTCCAAAACTTCACTGAAACAGAACAAAGATACGTATTTCAAGTATGCCAAGCAAATTGCTGTGAGAGAAAACTCAGAAAATGAGATGATGGTTTATGAAAGGAAAACTGACAAAATGCTTGAAATAAAATAAGTTTTAAAAAAACGCACGGGGGATTAGCTTGTGAGACTTAATAAGTAATATCCAAGTTCAGTAAAAGGTTTAGATTCTATTCGTATTCATATAAAATGGCTAAATACGTAGATTACGTTTATACACCATATGGAATTCATCTCATTTTCGGATTGAAAGGAACAACATGGATTATATCTAAAATTTGAGAAAAAAATTGAGAAAAATGCTTGCATTTCCAAGTTTGTTAAGCTTATAAATTAAAGCTATCATCAGAACTACATGTATTTAATTTAATAAATCGACAATTAAAGTCTCAAATAAAACTGAGTAATTTGATCGATTTGAGATTTACTGTCATTTCTACTGCATACGGGGACTACATTGACATTTTTCTGTAACAGATGTGCTTTGATTTGATATACAAGAGTGTGTTTTATGTATGAAAAGTTTATAAAAAGGGAGAAGGTTCTGACAAACAAGTTGAGGAAACAAGAATGTAAGCAGTCTCGTTTAAAGTCAGCACTTCGTAAGTTCTATGGTCGATACGATGACCATTTTCAACAAATACAATTAATTTAAATCATTAAGTCGAATGCTAACTGACGTTTATTATACTAATTGTTAGGCCATTATATACACACTGAATTTCACTGAATTGTTGACGAGTATTTCCATTATAACTCGAGCATGATAAGAAAAACACGGTTGGTGTAACCGGTTTTCAGGGAAAGCTCCTCCATGGCATCTGATCTAATCTTTAATGTTTTAGAGATCCGTGTTTATTCTGGTCCTGATTTAAATTGATTTTATTGTTAATTGGATTTTTAAGCTTCATTACTGTTCGTTATCTCCATATATCTCGTTCTGCTGAATATATATATTGTAATTGATTGATTGATCGATTGTATACTGTTTAACGTCCCTCTCCAGAATATTTCACTGATATGGAGACGTTATATTGTAATTGAAGAACAGCTGAAGGAATTTGGGAATTGGTGGTCATTGAAAATAAGCCTAATCGGGGAAACTTTTATCAAAAGGTTTTCCTTATAATTGATTTTTCAAAACAGACTGAAAAAATAAATCATGCATAGGGCTAATGGAGTATTGATATTTATTCTTTGTAACAACAAAAATAAAAATCTTATAAAAAATTTCACATTCTGTGTTCTTCCCTTTCTTGCGAAATCATTTAAAATATGAGAAAAAAACATCAGTTATATTTATGATATAAAGGATTAAGCTGCTGTGTAGGAGGTACTTGAAACAAATTGAAAAGCACATAAGTATGAACAAAATTGTATTTTTACAACACAAATATTATTGATGTATTTAACTCTTCAATCAGATATGAATATGAACTGCAGATATCATGCCAAGGCATTTTAAGCACATTCAATTGCTCTTTTTAATCTCTATGTGGATTCTGTTATTTATAATGTAATCACAGTGATTAAAATGGTGTGCATAAGAGGACACCAATCAACTCCAGTGTGTATATTTAGCTGCCTGCTTCCAGTGAACAGCTGCAACTAAGATTTGTAAAGCGATGTTAGTGTCAATCAAAATCATAGGAAATATCGCAGAGCGTTATTAAGTTGTCACTTCGATTTTCTTTACGATGGCAAGTAATCATGTAGAGTATCGTTACACGGTTAGTTATTTCTACTTCTGTTGCCAGGCTATTGGTTTAATTGGTCTCAATCAATCCAATTAATTGTAAACTTTCAGGCAATGAAGATTAGTGTCATTGTGTCAAAGTCATAAACATTAGACCAATGGAAGGCTCCTATGAACTGAAATTAGAACATGAAACTTTCAGAAAAGGCAAAATTGTTAATAGCCATTCCTTGTAACAATGAAAACATTTTGGGGGTTTGAATCACCCAAAGCGTGGAGACCGGTCATTTTGTGGGGACCCATGTCGGGGGCCCATGTCGCATTTGGTGATGGCATAAAAATGACCCTCCATTGCTTAAAGACCTGTGCCAGGACTAAATTCGCAGCCTATTACCAGCCAGTATGGGCGTCCCAATACAAGTGAAAAATTTCCGAAGGGACGTTACACAAACTAAAAATTAACATGGAAACAGACAAATCAATGTGCAAGAATGAAAGAATCATAAATTAATTTCTTAAACATTCAATCATGTTAATTAAGTTACGTATGTCCAATATGTTTTTTAAAATCGAATAGAATTTACAAACTTGTATAAGCACTGGTATAAAACAAAGTAGAAAATTAATTACCAATAAAGTAAGCAAAAATACAAAAAACTTAAAGCCAGGCTTGCGACTGCAATCAGTGTGTGAGAAAAGATTAACAACGTAGATAAATTGAGTTTTGTGCCAAATTTATTCTGATAAAGTGCAGCGATGCTGTGATTATGTGAATGTGAACAAAGATAATGCACATTCTGGGTTATTACATGACCATCATCACGGGCACGTGGATCACAGTTCAAAGACAAATCGGTGAAACAGATGGATACTTCCCCCGCCTGTTGAATTTAAGAGGCAGGTTCATGACAAGGTGGTTTTCCCCTTTGAGAAATTAAATATGGAGATCATGATCAATAATCAAGCTGAAAAATCCATTGAAACAATACAAATCGGAAGCTGGAAAAAAAAACCCAATCAGAAATAGGATGAGGCGCCTTAGAGAAGTAACCATCCTCTGTTGACCGGTCACACACGACGAATGCTTATGGTCATGATCAGGCAAACGGGAAAATTCGTAGCAGATTCGGTGTGTAAATAACGGTTTGACAATTGGGATTGAAAATTTTATGTAAGTGCTGAAAAGAATGACATATGTCAATCCAAACAACATAATTCATCACATTTAAGCCATGCTCACAACACTAATTTGGTCAGAATCCGGTTTATTTTCTTTTCAAATAGAAATATAAGTAGTGAACTTAACAAATATATTTTCTAATTTGTTTAGTATTTCTATACGAAATATAACCTTGAACCAGAGCAATTTATTTTTCATTATCTTAACGTTTTTGGATGCTGTAATTCATTGCACCCGGGTCACAAACATTGAGTACGTGCTGAATGATAGTGACATGGGAAATATGTTACAAAGAACTAATGTTAAACGAATCTGTCGAATGAATTGCATTAAAGATACATATATATGTTGTAACCGCTAATATATTACTTTTACAAAATGATTTAATATATGTGAAATATAAAGGTTAGCTACATTGAATTCATTTAAAGCTTCTGAAAATATCACGTTGTATATTTTGTACCTGAAATCAATCCTCGTGATACAGTTTGCGTTGCTGTATGATGTTTTGTGGGAAATTCTGGAAAGCCACATGTAAGAGCAGTTACTTTCTCGCTTATACTTTAAGCATGTTTTACAAAGATATCATATGATTTATTTGTTTTCTAAAAATATAAACAAATATAATGTAAATAAATCAGTGCCAATCGTAATTTTTTCACATCGTTTTATGTTCTCGTAATCTAAATGTTTTCTGAAGCTTGACGAGAATCCCTTTAGAATCTTAAAATTTGAAATCCACAAGATAAATGAAAAAGTACGGTTTCGATATTACAGACAACTGCTTCTTGAATGCTAGTAAATTATAAATTACTGATACTATCCTATTTTGAGATTTGTTACCAAGATATAATTTTGTCTAAAATCACATTTTTCTGTACTCACCAGTACTTTGAGGTTAAAGGATGCTTGTCTTCATCATTGACAACATTTATATAGTTTATTAGAGAGCAGTTCTTAAAGCAAACTTGGTATATTAAACATTTAACATTTTACAATTTTAGCAAGTATGTAATAATTCTATTATCACGTGCATTTATTGGTATTTTGACTAAAATATTTCAAAGCAATTGTTAGACTTTTAATTTTCTGCTAGATTTAAGGACAGATGATACAAACGAAAAATGGATGCCTGGATTGGTATACATTTTTTTTGGCCTAATTTCATTGCAAATGATGCAAATAATAAATTTCTAGAATATAAAGAAATTGTAAACCTTCTGTGATGTTCAAAAGTCTGCCCTTCTGAAACCATTCTTATTAATCTATACAAATATTTTTCACTTTAAATTCCATTTTTGTGCAATTTTGAATAAAGAATTAAAAACTACGCGGTGAAAGTTATTCATTTTATTCATTTGAACAAGACCCAAGTTGTTATTTTAAAATTCTTTGACAAAAGTTTGTTTGTATCATCTGTCCTTAATTAGGAATTATTCTTTCGCCCTCTTCAATACACAGAGCTCAAGTTTGACGTGACAGCTAGATATGTGATGTTTACTTCAGTAAGGCACCAGATTCCATTTCTGGGGTTTTCTATGATCCGTTATTGTACTGTTTGGACATTTGTATTGTTTGTAATGATTTTTTTTTATCGATCGATCACTGTTTGTTAGCGTGTTCATCTTGTTTTTACATGACTTAACAGAATTGATGGCCTCAAGGAAGAATGGCAAAAGCATCAAAGTCATTTTTAGATTGGAAAAATTACAATTCGCTCATATACACTTTCATACAATGTACCTCTTAACATAGTCGACATAGAGATACGTCCTTTATGAAAAATTAAAGGATAATGTTTCAATGATCGCCCATCTCTATAAGTATCAACATGTGTGTATTCTGGAAAATTAATTGCTAAGTTCATTGGTCGTATTCATTAAGCCCATGTAGCTTAGTGGTTAGAAACCGTTGGTAAAGTCTAAATACAAGGTCAACCTCTCAGCATGGGTGTTCGTGCATTTTGTGCGGTAATTGTACAAAGAAACTTCTTATGAAATTCTTTAACAATGTTAAATTTCAAATATTATTTTCTTTCGAAATAATTATCATAAAAATGTATTTATTTATCTACCATTTCGAAATAAGATTTAAGATACCGTTATACAATGTATTAATATTTCCTCTCTGAAATATAATGCAGTATTTATAAAGGGGCGGCACAATTATAAAAGCTGTAGCGGAAGTATTGATTAGATTAAGAAAATTACACAGCGTCGAATTTTCCTATTTTAATAAGATTGTTCTGCATACTTTGGCGCCGTAGCAAAACTAAAGAGATGTTAATCTGGGAACTTCAAATTCAGATATATAATGAAAGGAAGGTGATTTGTGCATAAATTCTTACACTAAATATCAGTAAGTATTTTTCATTGTACAATACAACTATTTAAATGATTTCTCTTCCTTTGTAATATTTATATTAATTGTAATTTATTTTAGGGCAATATCTTTTAAATATATTACAGATTTGGGAATTCCCAATTATTTTTATAATGATGTATTTCCCTTCACTATTTGACAGGTACATGTTTCTTACCAAAATCATATACATTTGATGTATTTTTTTTAAAATTGAGATTTGTCGAGGACATTGCATGCTGTGGAAATTGAATAATCAAGAACCGTAGGTGATACTTGTAATGAAATAAAATGAAATGAATTTTATATCCTGAAATAATATTTTTATAATTGATACGAACTTACATACCAAAAACTTACCAACCTACCAAAACGTACAAAAAAAAATATTTCTCTATTGAAGGAGATTCTTTCCACCTGCAGGTAGATGAAATTTCAGATTTTAAGGCAAAAAATAATGAGAATGCGTGCAGAGAAAATGAATCTTACCAAAAAAAAAAATGACAAATGAATTTACAGTCAACATGGCCAACTAATGTATTACAGGAGGAAAACGAAAAGAGGATAACAGGAGAAGGGTGGGGGCTCTAATATCAAAAATCATGCTTTAAACTTTATTAACTTTTCAAAAAAAGACAAAATGCACGTACGATACTTCATCATCAATTTTATTGTTTCGTTTTGAAGTGATTGTCTCCTGTATTATATAACATTATGTTTTATCAGCCTTTGTAATATATATGCAAATTCTATCAATAACAATCCTTAAGTAAGATGAAATTGTAAAATTACATGTAATTTTAAAAAAAAAAACATTGTCATTTTTCTATGGCTTATATAAAAAGTGTGTTGTATTTAAACGTTGCTAATTGATTTCAACCCACTTAACTTTAAAAGATCGGGGAAAAAAATATCTCATGTTGTTTAGTGTTTGACTTATAGGTAACATCTTGTTAATTCTCGTCTTTCATTTATCATGAAGTTCAGATCGACCATATGTTAAAAAGTCGAACATTTACCCTGTGGAGATAGTGATCGTAGGTTGCAGTACTCTATGGTTTATAAGTTTCAGGCACTCAGAAATTTAAAGCAATTTTTAATGGTTTTCCCCCGATCGCTTATAACTCTTAAAGAGATAGTCAGAGGTAAATTATTGTTACGTTTACTGCAGACTTGTTTCATTTAAGGTTTAAGAGGATCAATCTTCATTCCTTTAATCTTATTTCACTCTTCATTATAGCACAATTTTTTCTTTCTTGAATTTTAATTGGTTCATTAATGTTTTAACCTACTCTTAACAACTTACCGTGGGTATAGATTGCTTTAGAACAAAGATTGAGAAAGACATTGCAATTCAACATGTTCAACGTTACAAAATAAGCTCTGCAAAAACCAAAAAGTATTAATATGAACAACATTGGAATAGTGCAACAAAATCACAAAGTGGCTATTAAATAATCTCATAACTTATCATAATTCTTTCTATGGCAATTATTCTACAGATGTCTTAGGTTTCAATTAAGGGCATCAACGCATTTGCATGAATGATATTGATATGAATATGTTAGCTAGGTCAAACAAATCCCCGAGATTTTGCTAATGAAGTACTTGATTTACATCAAACAGTAACAAATTCAATGTTAACTTGCATCCTTACGAAGTAAATACTTTAATATCCAGCAATCTGTAAACTCGTTCATTCTGTCGATATTTTGCCTCGGAGTGCCCCATCCTCAAGAGTGTCTGCATTAATCTGGAAAGCTTTTCATGTGGTCATTGATGGAAATGTTTCAGTGTTCTCCATATAAGTGTCAGTGGGGAAATATTGGTAATGCATTAAAATATAAAGTCGTAGATTTGCATGATATGACCTAGACTAGTGATAAGTTTAACCTAATTACAGCTTGGAATTGGGGGAATGGTATTGGTTTAAAAGTATCTTTTGTATTCAGAAAAAAATGACACACATCTAATATACATCTTAAGTATAGTTATGTATTATCATTCTTGTAGACCTATGTTTGAAATGTTCCTGCTAGACTGCTACTGTTTTCATGTAATGCCACTTTCATTCATAAGCACATGTAACGTTATTCTTAATCTGTCTTGAAAATGATTGAAGAGCATCGTTATCAAAATTGTTCATCACATTCTCTCATGCATTGGATCAACAGTTTATTTACAAGGACATAGTTTAATGATAAACATTAAAAGTGGGTTTATATTTTATCAAACCAATTACTCTCGTTCCTACGGTGCTGCTAGATAATATTGTTTGTATTCATCTTGCAGGTTTACAAGAAGACACAATGGGCGTTGAAACATTAAAAGACTGGAATGAGGAAGAATCGCAAAAGTATACGTTAAGCACGTGTATTCTTTCCTTCTACTTGGTTATTGGTTTGGTAGGAAATACACTAGTGATTATATTATATAAAACCAGAATGAATTCAAAAAATGACGACAGATATTTTATTCCCGCAATAGCTATCATTGATCTTATTGGATGTGTGTTTTCCACAACGCTATCTCTGTTAAATAATGAACAACCCGTAATGTTTCCAGGTTCATTTTCTTGCAAACTCATACAGTTCGGAACGTGTTCATCCATAATTGCATCACTTTTTATGCTGTTAGTAATATCTGTCCAACGGTTTCAGAAAATATGCCGCCCATTTGGTTTTCAAATGAACTTGAATCACAAGAGGTTGGCTACAACTATAGCCGTCATATTGGCTTGTTGCTTTTCAATTCCCATGTTGTTGTTATACCAAAACATTGAAGTTACACATGAGACGAAAAATATAACAGGGCACATATGTGGATCCGCCCCGGGAACTGAGAAATTAGGTGATTTTACGAGAGCTATTTTAATCACCGTCGAAGTGGGGGCAGTTTTCAGCATGACAGTCCTATACATATTGGTTGGTCGTAAGTTGATAGAACAGTTCAAAGTTTCACGAAAGCTACATGACATTAACTCCATATCTGGAACAAGTAACAGCGGGAGTAATGAACGGACAACAATACGAACTGTTCCATCAATTGATGCTGAATTGACTGACAATTTCAGCAATGTTGAAAACGATAAAAAGGAACTTTTTCAACAAGATATGCGAAACGGTAAACGTAGAAGTACCATTAACAGGTCCAAAAAGAAACCAGTTAGTAATGGCCGTCGCTACTCCATTATGTTTATGGTGATATCTTTAGTTGCAATTGTTTGCTACATTCCACCCTGGACGTTTGTTATTCTGGAGGCCAAAGATTCAGATTTCTGGAGAAGTTTGACCTTCGATGAGGTCCAGGTTTTCTTGATTATTCGCAATCTTTATATCGTCAATCATATCGCTAACCCTTTCATTTACGGGTTTTTTGATCCAAAGTTCAGACGTGAGGTGAAAAACTTGCTTTGTGGGTGTAAAATTCGATAGTTTAGATGATGGTATAATTTTCGAGATCCCTATTATGATGACTTATTTCATGTAAATATACTTTCAATGAACACTTGTACATATGTAGGAAGAGTTAAATCACAAGCCTAAGGTTAATTAAGACGACCTAACGTGTTTATTATGTACATGTTTTATACGTAATCGTCATTTAAAACATTCTTTTAGTATAGTTTTCTACACTAAATTATAAGCTATATTAAATTCTGAATTGTTATGTCCGAGTTCAACATTTATTCATGTTGAAACTATACAGTGTTTAATACAGAAATGTTGGATCCGTCCATATGTGCATATGTTTTGGGGAAAAAAGGGGGAAAATTTTTCTACAAGATAATTGTTGAAAAATGTAAATTATAAAATTTGAATAGAACATTTAAATGATGTGAATAATTTTGCTTCTCTCACTACTGTAACGACAAAGTTAAGCACATGTATCATTATTTAAAGTGTAAATCGCCATAGACTTCTGAATGCTGCCATACTTTTAACATGTGATCATAAGATGCTAAGAATGCTCCAATGTTTCATAAACAGTCATAATTTTTTTTTTAAATACAGCATCACATCTGTTCGCAAAATATTAGTTTTTTTTTGTAAGAACACAATTCATATTTACAAATAAAAAAAATATATAATTAAACTCGAATAATAAAAGACAAGCAAATAATACTTTTGAAAAGTGTCCAGATTAAAATCAGAAATATTGTTATAAATGGATGCATAAATAGTTCAGACCATGATGAAATATATGGAGATAACGAACGATATTCAATCTCAAAAGTTCATTAAACAATACAAAATAGGAGCAGAGAAAACACGGACCTCCGACCTATCAAAGGTGGGATCAGGTGTCATGAAGGAGTGAGCATCCCCTGCCGAACGGTAACACCTGCCGTGTGCTACTTTGGGATTTCAGGGAAAATCCGTGGTCAACTCAGTGTGTAAGTAATGGACAAGCAATTAGTATGAAAAGCGTCAGTCAGCATTTGACTCGATAATAAATAGTGTTTGCTGACAAGATCATTGTGTCGACCATAAAACTTATGAAATGATGATAATGATTATAAACGAGACTGTTGTTATTCTTGATTCATCAACTTGTTTCAATAATTAATCTCGTTTTAGAAATTGTACATACGTAGAGCATGCTCATGATCGAATCAACTGAGAGATATAAACTCCGTATACAGGTGATGAAGGTATATTGCTGCATAAGTATGGGCAGCTGACGATTGAAAAGTAAAAGTCATCACGTTTATCATAGAGCTTGTTTGTTAGTTTGCATTTAACGTCCTTTTCGAGTAAAACATACAAATATGAAACAGGTGTGTCAGACTCGGTGGTATATAATATCTCAATATCACTGGGATATGTCGTATCGACATAAGATTTGAAATAACCATTTTTAATTGATAATACGTCATTGATATTTCAGTACATAATTTTGGCAAATTCTGCTTCATATGAATATATAAAGTTCTTCTTATAACGGTGCAAAATTGGTACCCATTGGAATTCCAATAGGTTGTTGGAAGACCTGGTCTCTAAAACCACATAGATATCGTCAATCAGAAACTCAAGCATCTTTTTTGATGTCAACTTCAGAGTACTTGTGTGTACAATCAGACTGTTTATTAACAACATAATTTTGCAAATGACCAATGACAGGGTAAGTAAATTTTCGAGTTCCATTTTATTGATAAAGCAGCTGTCGATTATATCAAAAAGCCTGGACTTTGAGTTATCATGGGAAATGGTTAAATACGTAAGTTTTGAAGCTATTGATTTTGGTAAAATTTTGTGAATTCAGTTTTTTTCAAAAGTTCTTTGGAATTTTTAAGTATGCACATCTGATTTACACCACCTCTCGAATATACGAGGGCTGTTCAATAAATAATGTCCTGAACTATATGACATACATTACAGATATCATATGACATTAAACTTGACTTTCTCTCATTATTGAATTTTTCATGAATTTAAAACAGTTTATGTGACCACTTTTCATCACATATTTTCATCGTGAGAAGCTAAGAAACAAGGGCTTTTCGAGACACTGCATTAAAATTGAATGGTAAAGAATCAGTAAACTAGAGTGAAAATAAAAGCTTCATTAAAGCTGCCGTAAACTTGTTAAAAATCCCAAACAAATATTCGCTGAAATATGTGACATTTACAGCAACAAATGCCTGTTTTATAGACAAAAGAGCAGGTAAATTTCAATGATAAAAAATTATATAATGGGCATTAAAAATGGGTACCCTCCTTGCCAACAAAAATTATAACAACTTATGTACTGTTCGCCAAATTTCAACAAATAATATTTGATGATGCATGATTGACTTTAAGACACATAGCAAATTTGATAGACATCACATCGGGGGTAGTTTACACTGTATTTAAGAAACTTTTGACGGTAAAAAAGCTTGATACCCAAATGTCACCCTATATTTTGAAAAATGAGTTAAAAAGACAGCGTGTACGAAATTCTTAACAATTATTTTAAAATATCAGTAATTGTAGTTATCCACGTCTGTTTTATTTTCAAAAAGATATTGGAACATGAATATATTGCTTAAAACCCTAAAACCAAAACTTACCATAAGATGTACTTGATAAAAACGGCGAATGTCTGATGATTGCACAGGTATGCAAGAGCACAAATACAGATTTATATGTAACTTTCTTAAACATTAGTGGTATTGCTGTTCAAAACCGTATTCGGAGAGACAGTTTAATTTCTGGAGGAGTCTAGAAAGCATTTTTTGGCCAAAAAATCAAAAGGTTTATTGGAGGAAGGACCCAGAATCAGGAATCCACTACACTGAATTTCTTCAAGACAGCGTCCAAACCCGCATACCCAGAAGAGTAAAGGGGTTTTCGGGATAAACAGAAAGTTAATGTTTTTTCACATAAACAATATTCGCTAGATCTTTGACCGTTTGACTTGTTTCTATTTCCAAGCTTGGAAAAAAACACCTTTCAGAAGGAAGAAACAAGTCCGGGAAATCATTGGATCTGCCATTTTCCAGTATACTAAGGGTCATACCCAAAAATGAGTTCTAAAAACGACCAGAAATTGGATGAAAAATGTTACGGACATATATTTTACTTAAAAGAGATTAATTAGTAAAATCATGAAGACTAAATCATTGAAAAGCGTCTTTTGCTTCTTTCTGAGCACCGAGGACATTATTTATTGAACAGCCCTCGTATTGTCGCACAGTACGTATGTTTTATACATTTTCCAGAGAAGAAGTCATCCAAGTTCGATGTTTGATAGAGTTCTTCAAACATTTAGGATGTCTAAATTTATTTGGTCATTCAGTCTTAGCATTCCAAATAATTCCAATTAATTTGAGATTACTTTAATACATGCATTAAACGTACAGTGTTTCAGTGTAATCATTCATTTTTAATGATTTCGCGTCTATAAATATGTAACTAAATCATGAATCTTTAATCTAAAGTGTTCTTGTTGTGATCAATTTTTTTAAACAAGATCGAATAAAAAAGATCAAATGCTCTAGGGTCATATTTTATTCCATTCGGCGATCAAACGCTATGCATATCTTCATTTCACAAAACCGACTAAAAGGTTAATCCACAAATTTTGCAATTTATCAGGAACAGATTTTATTGTACAGGCGGCTCTTAGAAATGTATACAACGTGCTTCTGAATGATAATGGAAGTCAGAACTCAGTAGACAGGGGATGGAAGATGGCAGAAACTGATTTACAAATATTTGTTCCAGAGAATAATATTTGTTTTCTGTCACTTAGATTACAAGATTTCAGATTTTAAGAATGCATCTTTATGAAAAGCGATTCAGTGATTTAACGATAAAATTGGATTCCTTACGAGAAAAATTATTTGCTTCATCCCCCTTCTATTCTTTTGTAAACAGAAATGTTATACGAGGGGTGCTCATCTTCGTATGGTATTGAAATAAAACTCTCTCTGTGTTTGTTCGAAGAAGCATGTTAGATCGTACTTCGCAATAGTGTTTATTATGACTAGACAGTGTATCGCAACGTCTCATATCAAACCGCTGAGTATATTGGTTAATGTCATCAAGTTTCAGGGCTGCTATTTTACCATCATGCCACACAAATTAAGCTTCTGTGAAGCAGAGATGTCTGAATTATTGCATTTGTATTAAGTTGTTTCTGACATATAGAGGATGTCTCTAAGAAAGTATTTTAGAAAAGACATAGGCACACATTGGCTTTGAAATACACATCTTAAACAACATTTAATCTTCAAAGCTACATTGTTAGGTTTGGGTTCATAATGTCATTTAGTTTCAGGAATGCAGGAATTAAAAAAAAATCTTTAAGGACAATTCTTTACATTCAGGCTTTCTGTGATAACTTTGAAAAATAAGATAACAGATATAAGTCAATATCCAGGTATAAGTAAAAAGTGTATTTAAAACATTTTCCATCATCAGTATTATTCAAATAAGATGATTAAAAATTATAGTTTCATGAGAAAAAGGGGAAAAAAATGTATCATCATAGAAAAGTTATAATTTCTTCAATATTTTTGTTCGATATTTGCCTCATTTACATTAAAATAAATAAAATACAATTTTATCCCGATACATGCATCATTGTTTTGCTTCTAGAAGGTGTCAAAAAGTTGAAACATGAAAATGAAAATTTTAAATGTCAGTGCAGTAGATGTACATTCTCCGTGAGCCTAACGTCACACGAAAGGTTGATAGTCAGCTTTTGGGTAAACTGCGTCAACGCTCAATTTACTGAACATGTATATGTTTTGATATTGCTGTATGTCTCGGAACGGAGCCATTTTTCATCAGATTATTTTGTTATGTATAGTGTTTGGACAAGAGGGGAAATTGTGATTTTGATGACCCTGCTTTTCTAAGGAGTAGGACTCAATATTTCAAATAAAAAATTGCAATCTTCAGCAAGTTTCATTTTAACCTTTGATATATATCAGGTAAACAAATGACGTGATTAAATTAAGAGATGAGGCTTTTCAAGTTCTTGGCCTCTTCATTAAGACAGGGAGTTAGACCTTAAACCTGTGTCAGTTGTATTCTATTGAAAATACTTTAGATTTGTAAAATTCTTTTCTTACCATTGGTATTTTGAAAGATCCTGTTTTCTTGATTGCCATTTACATTTCGACCCCTATCAAACTGGTATAAATTCATGGTAATGGTACCAAGTACCAAGTAAAGCTAAGATGGTCATATGTAGAAGTTATCCCGCTTAAGATAATTTTGTAGATCACTGATTGGGAGAAAACTAATCACATGACGCCCTGATACTTAAATAATATATTACAATTTTAGAAATACTCTTCTACTCAATGACATCAAGCATGAAACAGTTGGCATGTTTACAACAAGCAATAATTATTACTTTTACGAATAGTGTAAAATTCTGTCCTCTTGGTCCAGGGTTCATGTCAAAGATTGAAGTTAATATATTGAAATTTATTTAACACTCTATCTTATCTTGTTTATGTTTTAACCTTTAGGAGACATGCAACATAAATTTGATATTGATTTCAGATATTTTACCACGCTATTGAAATTTTGTCACATAAAATCAGAATTATTCCACTTCCAGGCAAAACTGTAGTGGTCATACTGAAACGGAAATTGGTGTTGTGATTTAGTTTCGTTTTAACGTTAGACCTACGTTCTTATATAAATTCTTAAACACTAAAAATATTAATTCTCAGATCATATAAGTAGTATGAGACTGCCTATATACGGGGCTGCACTGAGGTAATACATGTTGTATTACGGGAACCCAGGGGACCTTTCTGGTGACGGAGTGGATAAACATTATTGCATTTAAGACCAAGGCACTGCAGGGGCACTGTTTCACAGTACACCAATGCACGTAAGACCTAAATAAGGCAGTCACTTGGTTTAGAGAGAGGTGGCACCACAGAATGTGCCAAGATGCAGCAGTATATTTATGTTGAAGTGATACAAGAATTTTATTTGCACGTTACAATACTTTAAGTTATTACTTATATCAACATTAAGACATAAGAGTATATTTGCTTACCAGACAAAAAATTTAATTTCCAACACTGGCACTGTTGAAGTCTGACAAAGCATTTTGCAAAATGTGAACGTATATTTATGTTGAAGTCAATTTTATTTCTTATAGACCAATGGGTTAAAATATTAAGCTAACATGCAATAGACAGTTAATTCTGTTTTAGGTGGCTAGTTTATTCTGTTTTAGATGGCAATGAAAATATCGCAAAGATCTCTGAAAAATTGGACCAGGAAAAATAAATTAAATAAGGAAAGATACCATAACACTAAATTCGAGGTTAACAGATAGGTGGTCTATCCCATTAGGAAGTTGAAGTGTTTAGCCCACATAGCATCCCGCATCATCTTTCCCTGTTGATCAATAAGATTTCCGCATGACCAAGATATACAAACGTAATTTACTGTGTCAAAAGATCCTTGAATTACTATCTAGCGTATCTAACAATCTGTTCAGCCCACATATCAACTTCTGAGCAATATGGCTATGTTTTTTTTAAATACATGTTCATTAACTAGACCAATCAATTCTCCTCTCTGATATCAATCTTCTTTCGCCCCAAATTGCACTTCATCCCAAAAAAAAAAATCTTCGTTCGAATGTAGAAGACTTTAATAGAAGAAAATACATTTATTGATAAACAACACAAAACAAAAACAAACCGAGCATGAATTATCTAATGCAATGTATTGACGTGTTGTAATAAAAGAAAACGAGACTAAAAATAACATTCAAAGAAGGAGACATTTGCGCAATATCTTGAATTGCAGAAGTAATTTATCAGTTATTGATATAATTTGTGACCTAATTTGATAAGATTTATTGAATAATATTATCTTAATATAAACAAACGTTCTATATAAATATGGTTGTTTTTATATCGGAAAATAGAAAAGAATTTAGGATCTACATAAATTATATCTTTTTGCATTAAATCCATAGTCATGATATCAACAGACCCTATATTATTATGCATTTTATGAATGATGTGTCAATTGCGTGTAATTAAACGTCTTGTACATTTTTACACTGTAGTACGTTTTGATTATTTACAAAGGTTGGACAATGCCTTTTTGCATGACGGGGCCGTCTATATGCAGTAGGAGAAGAGGCCATACTAGGTAATCACATAATTTACCACTCTTCGTGTACTCTTTGTAAAAATCTCTGTTCAAAGGATCTTCCCTTTGGCAGGTAAAATCCAAGAACATGGGGACCTCTTGCATTCTCATCATCCAGCAAATGGAAATTGAGGCTTTTATGTAAATCTCACAACTGTGGATATATTCGCCATATTTGGTTTGAAATTCTTTGTCAGCTAAGATTTTCTGTAAAATAATATTTACTAGCAACGCAAAAAAAAAAAAAAAAAGAATAAAGATATTGATACTGACATATTTCTTACAATGAAAATTATAATTTAAAAGGGCATATGGTTTCTCATTTTCAGGAATGTTTTATATACATGTATTAGCATAGAAACAAACGATTAATTATATTGTAATATTGCTAATATCGGTTAGGCAATAGGAAACAGACGATTAATTACATTGTAATACTAATATTGATAAAAACGTGGGCGTTGGATAGGCAAGTAGTGCATGATTCTCTAGGGTTAATTGAGATTAATTTATATCACTGCTGATTAAGTATTGGATTTTTCTAGATGAAATTCGTTTAATTAAGCAAAAGATCCATATTTGTAAGCAAACTAACACAAGCAAGAAAACTGAGATGCTGATTATTCAGAATTAATATCATATATACCTTCTGAACTCGACCAACAGAGTCAGTTCCACACATTAGTTGTATTTCCTTTGATTTTTGTCCTTGTTCAGCAATCACATGTGGAGAATCTATCTACATGTTTAAATCATCAGTGGAAATTGTAAAACATAGTCCAAATATAATGCTAAGAAGAAATGGACATTTTTAAAGACAATGATACATGTATTAATACCTCTTCATCAAAGTATATTCCAAACTGTCCCAGGTGATGGCGCTGTTGTTCACTTATTATTTCGCAGCTGGTATAAATATTCTATGTAAAAAGAGAGTAAAACTACAAGAATACAATATTATTATATATTTATTTTCTAATTCTTTTAAAACCATTAAATTTGTTTTGAAATATATTCATCTATCAGGAGCTTAAGGGATTATAATATGATATTTATTGAGTAAATCAAACTACAAAACAGATTAGACATAATGTTATTGTGGAACGTATAGATATAAAGCTATTGCTTTCAATAATAATTATAACCTGTAGAAGTTCTAGCAATATCTTGACGGTTTCTTCCTCGCTTCTACCAATGGCTACTTTCTCGAAAGCATCTGACCACTCGTTGTCATAGAGTTCTGAGAACCTCTCAGCTACGTTGAGTGGTCTATTGTCATCACTTAAGTCTGTAATGGAAGGGTTCCCATCCCTAAGTCGGGATCCCGCAATGGTGCTTAATCTAGTTAGAAAAAATAGGTGAGTCATCGCTGCATTTTGTGAATCAATATATATATATATATATATATATATATATATATATATATATATATATATATATATATAGAAATATATATATATATATATATATATTTGAATGTTTGTAAGTAGTATTTTGGATCTTCTTTATTACCAAATATTCTTCTGTGTAATAAATATACATATACATGTATTTTTTTTTAAATTTTTATGGTATGTAGGTATGTTCAATTTGATAGAACTTAAAGATATGCGAGAGTCTGTATTCGATAAACCCGTCTTCAAGATTCCTATTTTCTGCTTAACATTATGTTTAAATGTAATATATTCTTTTTATGTTCCATACCTTATAAGCAGAGATTCTTTTTCTTGTTCAAGATTAGAGACTTTCAGTTCCAGTTCTCGATGAAGCCTCGTATGTTCCTGAAGAGTTGACATCAATGCCTGGTTTTGTGCAGTAACATTAGTTATTTCTTTTTTCTGCTGCTCAAACTTGGTGTACAAATCAGATACTGTACTATCACTCATGCCTTGAATATCATCCATTCTTCCTTTGTTCTCAATATGAGATGCTTTTTTTCTGAAAAGGTAACATGCACAATGTACAACAAAAAAAACACATGTAATACAATGTACATGTAGTTAATTATTCAGCTTCATTGTATGAGAAGAAATACGAATATCTAGTATATCCCAAAAGAAATTAAAAAAAAGGAGATCCTTACTTGTCCTTTGCATATTGCTTCTTGGCATTTTCGGCATATTCCATTATTTCATAGATCTTTAAAAGTGCGTCCCTTATATTAACGTGAACGTTGTCGTAAAACTTTGCATTGGAATTTAATACACTGTTCTTTCCAGTGAATTTTTTGTAGCAGGTTTGTATTGTATCAAATAATGATTCTATCTCATGCAACCTTGAAAAGAAAAAAAAATATCAAGAATGTAACGGACAAAGTAATTATTTATAATAAGAAAATAAATTATTGTAACTTTTTTGTGCTATTTTCTATTTCTGTATGCATAAAACTAAAATCAAGTGACTTATTAAGCTTTAGCATTTTGTAAACAAACACAGTGGAAGATTGATTTTAAACCTGGATAATACGATCGTATGTGAAGTTATAAATAATTTATTTTTTATCACAACTCATCAGATAGAAAAGGTACGATAATAATTACTAGGTGATCACTCACTCCATTTGTTTTTCAGTCCTAATTTCCCTATTTTCTTCTCCATGGTTAGAGAAAGGTTGCTGTCGTTTGAAATCTTTGAAATTATCTTCATATTGTGTTGAAATATCTTTAAGATCTCTGTCTTTGCCAATTGTTACTTTCATCTTACATTTTTTGCAAAAGTTTTCTTCACCTTCAGTCTCATTGCATGAGTCGCTCTCTTCGGCCTTACGATTCTCAGTAGTCGAAATCACGTTTTGGGGCACATTTTTAGTTTTGTCGCTGTTCGGAGTCTTTTCCACACTTTCTTGTCTTTTTAAAAACGTATCTGTTGAATTTGTTTGAACAGGTCCAACCATCTCATGCTTTGTGCCATTAGAATCAGGTAAAATACGACTCTCCTCTTTGACCAAAAATGTGACAAATTGTCCATCGTTTACTTCGGTGAAGAGTTCATTTTGATTGTCAGTTTCGTGCACTTGCATCGGATCTGGACTTTCAGGTCGTATGCTGTCGTCAAATTTTTTGTATTGACCATTTAAAGCCTGAATTCCTTTAATTGTTCCACTCGAAACTTCTTTCTTTTTATTTTTGAATAAGCTGTCCATATTTCAATTAATCTGATAAGATAATATAATATATCAATTATATGAATAGTAATTCAATGTGTTTTTCTACTTTCTTTTTTCACGAAAGCTTTTCAATGGGAATTGGCAATATATATATACTATGACAAAAACTCTTCAAATAATGATAAGAAAAAATCAAGAGGTCTTTATGCACAATGATTTTGAATGAAATCGGTAGAAGTTTTAATAGATGTATATAAACGAAATACAAACCTGTTCACATCGAGACATGACAATGATTAGGACGTAATATGTCCTTTCCTGTATCTAAAGAGATAAAAACAGCAGTTCTATCTCTTCCAAGGATACCCCTCATTAGATGTGTGTTTACATGTACGTATACGACAGTTTTAGAATCATATTTAAACTTCCTTCTTCAAAACAGCTATCAGAAATTCCCTTAAAGAATCATTCAGTCGTATTTTGGATTTTAAATAAGATCATCATACTATTTTTACCTATGGTCAAGGATATTAAAGTTAGAAGTATGCTTGGTAGATAAATATAACCGTCACTCATATTGCATGAAGAATTTAAATTCATAAAAAATGTGTCACGAATGAATTTTTCAGACAAATTAGACAAAGTAAAAATATAATGTAACATAGGTTTTCAAAATCATTGTCAGAATTTAACTATTGAAAAATCAAGTTAAAATCAAATTAAGAACCAGTGTTAATCAAAGTACATGTTTTTTTTCTCTTAAAAAATAGAAGCCCATAAATCCTGTGTGTGTACATGTAACATATATATTCTTTAATTAGATCGTAGTTAGGAGACACACCAGGAAGGAATTTCAGTGGTGAGAAACGGTTGCTGTTTTTAATCTAAAGGAAATGAATGCCAGCGAACTGATAAAGTTCAGGAGGAAGAGAAATATGTACATGAAGTTATTAAATTAAAAATCATTACTTATAAGTGTGTCCCAAATATAAACTTTTATGTATCTCCTTCTTGAATATCAGATACATTTTGTTGATACAGAAAAACTCAGTAAGGAATGCTCGCGCCGCATGTATGTTTTCCAACGGAAGATATAAAAGTTGGACAAATGTCTCCAGATCTGAGAAATTCTATAAAACGTACTACTCTGGCCAATGCCGATGTGGCCTCAATGTATGATATGAATTAATATAAATATTTGTTGCAAAAAAATCATACTACGTTCTCATTTTAATATGATCACAATTTTATCTATCTTGTGCATGTGGTTTTTAGATTAAAAATAAGGGGCTATTTATAATTTTTGAGAATAGATAGCACTCAATCTATTGTAATAAGCTTTTTGCTAATCTTAACAATTTCGAAGATAAAAAATATCTTTAAAAGGGACACTTCATAAAACCCTTGCATGTCTGGCAAAAAGTAAGAAAAACGCAGTATACAAAGAAAATTCTTATCAAGAACACAAAATACAGACAAGCAAGGCCTTCGTTCACAACGCTCCCCAGCCATATTTGTACATATTTGTCTTGATTCTTCTCTTCTGAAGGGTGCATGGACATAGATTTGAAGTTAATATTTTTTGTATAATATAATGACATATATTTTAATAGCATTTCACACAAAAACATATTAAAAATCTTATTTCATTTTAAAGTTATTAAAACTTAAAATTTTTAGACGGGTTTGATTGAAACATCCTTGCACTTTTACAAATTTTAATTTTATTCTTAATCCTTAGGAAAAGTGGCAATCATGTTGTGTATTAATGAAAAATATTAAAAATTTAATCCAGAAAATTCAGAGTGGAAATGTTCGAAAGGAAAACATACATACAGTATATTTCAGTCAGTGCAGTTGTGGTGAGCAGACTTTAACAATTGAACGCGACCGGTGAATCGTAAACACCAACAATAACATAGCTCGTGCCCTGTTTTAAAAAACTGTGTACGTATCACGGGTGTGATTTGCTAAACTCTGTACACATCACTTAGTGCGAAATGACGATACTTGTGAAGGGGTTTTGCTTTTTAACATTTCTACTCTGAATTTAATTACTTTTCTGGATTAAAGTTTTAATATTTTTCATTTATACACAACAAGAACGTCGCTTTTCCTAAGTATTAAGAATAAAAGTAAAATTTGTGAGTGTGCAAGGATGTGTCAATCAAACCCATTCAAAAATTTAAAGTTTCAATAACTTTTAGATGAAATAAAATTTTGATATTTTTTAATTTTTTTGTTTGAAATGCTATTAAAATATATAAGTCGTGATATTAGAAAGAAAATATTAATTTCAAATCTGTGTCCATGCACCTTTCATGGACATTTTCTTTCCTACTTTGAATCTTCTATTTTTCAAAGATTAATAATTATGTACATAAAAAATTCTCCATTTATCCTTATAAAATTTTAAAAATCCCGACCTATGAAATATTAGATATGATACCAGTGGTATGATTTAAATTGAATGAAATTTTTCATGGGGATAATAGAATATTAATGTATATATTACTGTGACTTTTTGTATACTTTGGTCCTTGAAGAAATTATTTAACTTTATATTTCAAAGGCAAGCTTTGATACCTACTGGACCCTTCCGTTTGCCTAAGGCTTATAAAAATAATGATGTGATAGGTGTAGTATTTGTAATTGAGATTTTGAAACATTTTCCGATATATTCTACTAATCATTGAATTTCTTCAGTGGTTTTCCGTTCAAATTTCAAAATCTGATACGTTTTAATCAACTTATTATGGAAACAGGGAATATAATGAAAGCTTATGTCTATTACTAGTATAATTGATTTTAAAAACAACAAAATATGATGGTACTTAATATCATGTGTTCTCCTAGGTCTGTTATCTTGATGACAATATTTTCATAGAATGTGACTCAGACAGAATGTCCGCAAAACAATTTTAGTAAATATTCCATTCATGATTTGTCGCCCGTGTGGCGCAGTGATTATAATATCTGTTCTAGAGTCGCGAAGTAAAGAATTGATCCTTACGTCGCGGGTTCGAATCTCATTGTAGAACGTGAAGACCGGTCCGTCGGATGAGATCGTATGAAGTCCTGTGTTGCAGTAGGTGCTGGGACGAAAAAGATCCCTCCCTGCTCAGTGGTCCCGAGTGCCGAGTACAGGACAAAAGCAGCTCTCCGCCGGCAGGTCGTGGCTTCTCCATATGAGTGAAAAATTCTCGAGAGGGACGTTTAACATATACAATCAATCAATCAATCCATCCATGTTTTTATTATGGTCTTTGTATGATTTAGCTTTTGTGTTTTTTTCTAAAGCGGTTAAGAATTGGCACTATGTTTTATACATGATTGTAATTTGGCTGATAATAATCTCATCTGTTTTCAGTTGGGTACATTGACAATAGCTGGCTAATTCTCTACGGCTTCAAATAATTGAGTTTAATTTGTACAGAAAATTATATACATCTACTTCTAAAAAGCCTCTAAGAGTTAAGCACTGTCTCCTTCCTAAAGCATAGGTTTGAATGATCAGCTTGAAATAATACACAGCGGGCATGAAAATACACTTTAAAAAGTATATAAAACACATTAACGGGGTATATTTAAAATGTTTTCTGAATACGTATGTTTATTTATATATGTATTTTACACACAACAATATCACAGCCATGACGAATTACACGGTAATGAGAAATTTTTTAATCTATTCTTTAAGTTGGTTGCAGTACACCTTTTCGGTACACAGTGCCATTTTCGTACATCACTGCAGGCCACACAACATAATCCACCACAGTCCCAGATCTGGTATAATGACTAAAGAGCATTTTATCAAATGGTTCCCCAGCGGCTGCATTAAAGTGAAGTACAAGGGGCGGATCTTGTATGTTCATAAGCCAGCACAATTCGGAACAACGATGTACATAGTGTTTTAGTTCGTCACCAAGATTATCTATTCCAAGTTGCTGATCAATTCTCTGCAAATGGACAATATCTTATTAGTAAATAGTCAATTAATTTAAAAGTAATAAAAAGATGAAATTCTCTATTGTAATGCTATAATAACAGGTTTTATAAAATTTTGAAACTTACCTTTTTGACAAACTGATATATTTCCATTGCATTTTCTTTCTGAAATGATTTGATCGCTTTCCGTAAGGATTGTGGTATTGCCTGTAATACAATATATCAATAAGAATGTCTCTTTCATGTAACCTTTTATTACGTATCAAGAATAGGACCTAAAATAATAGACTATCTATAAGCCTGTGGTACTTTGAATGCTTACCCTTCCATTATCATCGGAATCATTCCCACAAAATGATGCGTCTTTTATGAAGTTTCTCCTCTGATCCATGGCCGAGGATTGACATGTCTCAAAGACATTCTTGTAGTAGAAGAAATAAAAGGATAATAATAATTTGAAAATAATAAATGACAAAGAAATGATAAAAAACGACAATGGAATTTCATACACAAAGTTATATATTTGAGAAAAAACATTACTTAAAAAATGTGAAATATAGTTTAAATGGTCTTTGTTTACATTAAGAACCTCTCTACACTGCACACTAAAGAGTTCTGATTCTAATGTGTTTTTCTGAAGTTAGAGTGATCTGCCCTTAGAAATTAATTCTGAAAAATAGAACTTTACAATATATTACTGAATTTGTAATGAATTCAAGTATTCTTAACATTTTAAAGGGCCAATATGAATTAACTGTACGTGTTATTTACGTGTATTTTCTCTATTGAAATAATTAACAGTGATTTCTATTCACTGATACTGTGTGGTCTTTGAACATTTTTCCCGGGGGTAAATGCCACGCACCATACAGCAAAAATTAGATAAATAAGCTCGATATTAACTCCTTTATACAAAATATTTTTCTCAATGTCCCAAAAAAAATTTTTGCACTTGTATAGAGAGGGTCCTTAAACATGAAAACATGGAAATGTTGAATTTTATATAATTTACATGGAAGTAGTGTAATCTTTTCTCCTGTTGAAAATCCGGGGTGCCAATAACTTTACCTTCAAAATATTTCTTAGTTGATCGATTGCCTGTCTTTCAGAAACATTTTGCTTCAATAGTTCCTCCAATGCATTGGTCCACTCGTTGTCGTACAGTTCTCCAAAAGCCTCTGCTAGTTTCATTGGTCTCTTGGTGTCTGACAAATCCTGTATGCTGGGATTGTTGTCATATACTTTAAGACCTGCCACTTGGCTTAACCTATTACAGTGTAACAGTATAGGAATTTGAATGTTATTCGTACAATTATGTAACGTTGTAGAACAATATTTTTTATAAATAAATTAAAAAGATCAAGATCGGGCAATCTTTAGAAAATTGTTCGTTCTACCGTTAAAACTGGTCCGACTCAATTTTTTTTTAACTTTAAGCAAACAATTATTTTTGTATACATTTCAGGAAATAGAATTTAAAATTTTCGCATTGGTACTGAGATTTTCTTAGGAAAAAATGTCTAACCTTTCTCTCGACCAAATGCTTTTCATTATAAGTCGGAAAATGGCAAACGAACATTTTTAAGTTTGCCTTTGAAAAATTTTATGTTAATTAAGTTATGTACAGATATTGATTATATAATTGAGTACCTGGTTAAGAGACCTTCTTTTTGTTGCTCTAATAATGTGACTTTTTCTGTAAGCCTTTTGTCTTCTTTCTTTAGCTGTTCTATTTGTCTATCAAGCTGTTCAAGACGAAACTGGAGCTTTTCATTTTTATTTATTTCGTTGCAGATAGCTTCCTGTTCTACCTTTGATTTATCAATGGCTTTATACTTCTCAATAGAACTAGAAAAATTCATTTAAAGTAAGAAAAATACAAAAATCTGAATAACAAAATACATTTTATTAACTATTCTTAATGTAATAGCAAATTTGTAACACATTTCTGAGTTAAATGTATAAATCCCCCTTGTCTTAAAACTTAGTATGAAAACACAAAACTCCCTAATTAAGTACTAACAATACTTATTTGAAATGCATTTTATTAAGGAAAGATAAATCTGCAAAAAGAAAAAAAAAGAACTAGCGAAGAATTTACCTCCGTAAAGATTCCAGTAAATCAAACACATTTTCAGTTTTCTCTCTTAGATGAGTACTTTGTATAAATCCTATATTGTCATCTTTCACTATACATGGAACGTTAAGTAGTATCACCCACTGTTCACAAGTACTGCGATCGTCTGCCGAGTAGTCTTGTATACGGTCCTGAATCTGAACAAGTTTGTCATGTAAAGTCTCTATCATCATTTCAAAAAACTTCTGTGGATCGCCATCAATAAATACCCTGAAATTCAGAACCAATCTAATTCTGTTGATTTGTTTACTTTTTGTTCAATGTTTCACTTAATATTGATAGAGTACACCCACTTGCTGGTGTAGGACTGCAAATTAGATCTGTTTTTGTCACACTCAGTGATTTTTCTTGAGCCAGCGCCTACAGCATAACAAGGCCGTGACATCAGGAATTAGACTTTACAGCGTGAGTCCACCAATCACTCTATGCACTGTTTTTTGACTAGCGAACTTATTCTTTTGACAGTGTTAGATTTAGCAGAAAAAAAACTGTTTGAAATAGACCTGGGAAATATCAAGGAATATCTCTTACTATATGCTGTCTGGAAAGCCATTCATTTGCTCCTGAGATTATATTCTATAAAGCAAATCGCAGACTTCACTAAATTTAGATCTAACTCACAGATTAAAGTATCCATTTATTTTAATTCAAAAGGATAAAAGTGTTAAATAGCATAATTGTATTTGAAAAAAAAAATACAGAAAGATTTTCCAATAGTTTAGATTAAAATTTAAGATTGAAGATAAAAAAGTATTTTGCTTTTCACATGAATAAAGAAAATGAAAGAAAGACACAACAATGTATGTACATGTGAACATACCAGTCTCCCTCCTCCTCCATTCTGTTGACTAAATTGTTTCCTTTCAGGTAATTAAAAAATCCCTTGTTTCGTTTCTTTAACGGAAGTTATTTTTTTAAATTCCAAACCTACTAAATACACTTGTGCACGTGACATATTATAAAAAGAATACATAATGTCCTAGATATGTGCCAATTTTAACGTCGAGTTGACATAAAGATAAGCGTATTGATATGTTATGTTCATGATTATGCAAATACAAATTTTATCTTCTTGAGTTACATGTAGTAGTTTACTTGTACTATCACTAATCAAGACTAATCAAATCTACATTAATTGACAGTTCCTTTATTAGAACATTAATTGCTAGGATAATACCGACTGTTTTCTTTTTCTTCGTTATCTTTTTCAACTTTCCTCCACATACGTACTTTCAGTTTTTATTCCCTCTCTAGAATGTGGCCAGGGTATATATTTAGTGTTCTTTTGCACTTTTGACATTTTTATTAAACGTTAGAAGCAAAAACATATTGATTGCAGCTATTTAGAAATGCATCAATAATTTATCAGGACCTTTCATTTGATCTTGATCTCACCTTACCTAAGTTAGCTTTTAGTTCAATTTTTCACAAACTAGAAGATTTTTTTCTGCAAATTTGATGAGAGCAACATTTTCTGTTCGTAACTTTTATTAAACAATACGATTAAAACTAAGTAAAACTGCGTCAAATACATTTACATTTCACAATCCATATTAATTTTTACATATAGATCCCCATCTTTAATATTACATATAAAGGTATATATGTATATATACACATGCATTGAGTTATCTTATTTTTTAACAAAGAGTATCTGTTATGCAATCGTAGTGAAGATAAATCTTTGTTGTCAAGAAAATACTTGCAAAATAATGTTTTCTGCTCTTTTGTCTTTGTTTATCATGAAGTTAAGGAAGCTCTAAACAATGCAGACTAAAGAGCTTTACTTATAGGAAATAGAGTACAAAATCCCACGATGAGCCCATGGTATTATTTGTGACACAATGTAGAGTAGAGAGCTGAATAGATGGGCATTACCTGATTGGCTGAAATGAGGTATGTGCATGTATTTTTTTTCATTCCAAAGTAAAAATATTTATGTTTGAAATAAATGAGGAATGTAGGAATATTATAAAAAATACAGAAATACCAGGAAAGATTGTAGGATCGAGGGATGTCTTTTTTGGCAGTGTTATTTAATGCCGATAGCTGTAAGTTGTTATCAACTGCAATTTTGACCTACACTCGCCATGAGTCCCTAAATTTTTTGGTTTTTTTTTTTATAAGCGATTGGATTAAAGTTTCAAACGATGCCAAGGATTTGTCTAAAATTAAATTAGTATAGTACTGAGAGGGCAAATGGTTTGTATAGAGTTCTATGTAAAAATAATTACTACTCTTTTCCCTACATAGGGTAGTTTTATGCAATTTGAGTGATCAGACCCTAGAAAGAAGATTTTTTTAAAACAAAAAATGCTATTTACAGTTATTTAAACGATCTGTTATAGACTGAAACATTTTTAGCATTATATAAGACAAAGAAAAAACAAGAAAAAACAATTGAGTTCATTATTATCATTAATTATCATTAATTTTCCCAATGTAAGTAAACAGCAATAATTTTTGTCAATAGTCTCTGAACATTTTTCCTGCGGAAATAAGCCAGGTAACAGATTTTACAAATGAATGAAAAAGTCTCAATATGCACATATAGTTTTCTCAAAGCCCAAAAAGCAGCTTCTTTTAGTGTTTAGAGTTCTTTAAAGAATACTTCATCTCCTTTTAAATTATGTCCCTGTGGAAACATCAAAATTCGGGGGTGACTAATGTTTTTTTTGAATTTCGTGGCTCAGCGTTATCCACGAGATAACATCCGAAGAAACAATTGCTTAGTTAGCATAATTATTCAATGTAACTTCTCTATATAAGTTACCCTCGAAATTTCCTTCATACAAACAAATTAAATTTTGTTTGTGTACGAACATTGATCCAAATGAAATAAATTTTTCTACAATATTTACCAAATAGTTCTGTTTACTTGATATATATGTAAGTAATAAGGAACATAAATGTAGCAGATCATCACTTTCTTATCCAACGAACATTAACTGATTTTGTATTTATATTGATGAAACAGCCTATCATTCTTATATTTTTATTGAAAATAAAGCATATTATCTTCATTGCATAGTGATATATTTTTAATTACAAATAAAAAAAAATACAAAATTATTGAAATGCCTGATGGTCATAATTTCATCGAATCCAAATTAAATATTTTGTAATATCAAATACAATCAAAAATCACAGAGTATTTCAGTCATATGAAAAAATAGCATATACATTGAATGTTAATTATATAATAATGATCCGTATAATTATGCCTATTAAAACAGTCAGTATGATAAGAAGTAAACATCATTGTCTAATTCAGTACTTTTGGTTGAAGGACTCCTTTCTGAACCAAGGGTCCGTTCTCGTGAAGAAACACAGCTGGCCAGACAATGAAATCTACTCTGTCACCTTGTTTTGTGCAACACAAAGTTTTTACATTTATACTTGATAATATTGTCCTGTCAAAATCTAGCATCATTGGTGGATCTTGGATAGACAGTATATAGCACAACTGTACAAAAATATAATAATTATTTAAATGCAGTTTAAAACTTTGTGGAAAATTTCGTAAATTGGGACATATTTAAAATCTGCTGGAGCTACAAATATAGTTCAAAATCAAGTATATTTTTAAATTCTCAAAATGTGATTGAAGAGGATTAAAAAATTTATATAATAATAATACCTTGTATTCTAATATAAACGTCAATGTGAGCAAAAGCGACTAATGCCGTCATCATTTTGGTTGAAGATCAATTACTTTGGAAATTACTTTGTCTCCTTGTTTTGTGTACATTCTTCCGGTGACATCTTAAGGTAAACAAAGTTTTAAAAAAAATAAAATACATGTATCACGATCTACTTGACAGCTTTAATATTGTTTTATTCATTTAAAGGTGCATAGGTTTAATATTTTTCATAAATGCACAACAAGATTGCCGCTTTTTCCTAAGTATTAAGAATAAAATTAAAATTTGTGAAAATGCAAGGATGTGTCAATCAAACCCATCCAAAAATCTTAAGTTTCAATAACTCTTAGATGAGAAAAGATTTTTAATTTATTTTCACGTGAAATGCTATTACAATATATAAGTCGTGATATTATAAAGAAAATATCATCAACTTCAAATCTGCGTCTATGCATCTTTAATTGATATTTAATTTTTGTCATTGAAAAGAAGTTTATTGTTTTCAAATTCTAAAAACAAAATGCTTATTTTTTTCCAGACATAGATAATTATTTCACAAATATTTCCAAAAACAAATTGCTCAGTTTTTAATCTCAACCTCTAATTGCACTTTGGATTTAGATGGTTTTGCAATGGCTTCTATCAGGTTCTCTCTCTGATCTCTAGCATATCTAAGGCAGCTGTTGTAAATTTCCTGCAAGAAACGAAATAGTTTATGAAATATGAATAATGTTTATTTCTTTTTCATTCAAATGAAGTGTATATAATTTTAGCATCAATAAAAATTACCTTTAATACTTCAAGAAGCATTTGAATAATTTTTTCTTCTTCAAAGTTTTCCCCTTCTAAAACTTCAAACACTTCTGTCCATTCGTTGTCGTACAGTTCGCTGAACTTTTCTGCCAGTTTGTTTGGGCGATTTTCATCTGATAAATCAGCTATACCAGGGTTATTTAACCGGAGCTTATCACCAGCCACTGCACTAAGTCTAAGGAAAAATCAAAAATGAAAAAGGCTCATTTTTAAATGAAATAGTAAAAATTTTATAGCAAAAAAAAATTATCAACAGAAAGGATATACTGTAGAAGTATTTTTTTCCGCGTGGTATTAATTTACGCTATGTACACGGTCTCACAAATTTTCCGCGGAAATTTGTCCAAGCGTACTTAATATAAATGTAAGGCATGTAGTGACAATCTAGAAAATCCGCGTAATTTTCTACCCGCGGATTAAACAGAAATTGAGATTCTGCGGAATTATGACCCCGTGGAAAAAAGTACGTCTACAGTATACTAAACCCATATGCAGTAGCTGATAATCATTGAGGTACTTGTGTTTATAAACATTATAAATCATGGTATTATACCAAGCTATCTTTACATGTTACAAGATCCATCAAAATCACGCCTTTGACAATTTGCAAACAAAATTTTGAAAAAAAAACTATTTTTAAAATAGTTAATTATGAGACATATTTGCGGATTAAGGAGTTGATTCCTACTTCGCGGGTTCTAAATGTGCCGACGAATAGTAATTGTTGTCTTTATTTTTAAATATTATCTCTTTTTAATTTTTATGCCCCGTTATCGAAAATTCAGGGGTATATAATTCTGCCTTGTCCGTCTAGCTATCTGTTTATCTGTCTGTATAGTCCGTTTAAAAACATTTATCTTGCGCATAACGTTTGAGTGGGTGGAGCTAGGCTTTCCTATTTCACAGGTGTATCCTTTCTTTCGGTATTCAAAAATTTTGACCCTGACCTTCTTATAGTTTGACCCAATTTTCAAACACAATTACCAAACTCTATCTTTCGCCATCACTGGTACTAAGTGCCGAATACAGGTATAAATTTGCAGCTTTAAATAGGCAAATGATGGTGTCTCCATATAAGTGATAAATTCTCAAGAAGGAGCTAACCAACAAACAAGCTTTGTTGCTTATTTCTTGTATTAATATAATAAATGTAGAGTACTTATTATTAAGTTACTTTTTTAAAATAAAAAATAAGTAATTTTTCTGTAATGCAGTAAAAAAAATCAATTTCTTATATATTTTTTTAAATTAGAGAATGCAACGATGCCAAGAAATTTGACGAAATCCTGAACAGTAGGGCTAATTGACTTGATAATTACATAATTTCGTCCATTTTAAGGAAAAGTTTAGAATGACTTCTTGGTCCTTGCTTAGTCTATGTAAATTAAAAAAAAATCTTTTTTAAAAAGTTTGAACCTTGTAAGTGCTTTCTCCTTTTCACTTTTTTCTTCTTCAACTCTGAAATAAAAGGACAAATTGAATATACATTTGATTGTATAAGAAGTAAGTCAGTAATAATTAAACTGACAAATATTTAACTCATTGCTTATATTTCTTGTGCACATTTTTCATTTGATTACAACAACAATGACCAACATCTAGATGTTAAGAACAAGTTAAGAAGATTCATTAGGTCATTTCTTATTGTTACAAACGTACCTCACTTAAGTAAAACACACTTCAATTAAATTTGTAAAATCAGTGGACGCTTCAAAATATATACTTGACCAGTTTTATTTTATTTTATAAAAAAAAAACGTACTTTTTCAATGCATTCTCTTTTTCGTATCTTTCTTCTTGAAGTCTGAAATGTACGTAAAGGACATATTATTAGAAAAACTATAATAATGAGAGATTCATTTATTCCCCCTGTGTCATGTAAATATCATTTTTACAAGGAAAATACAGATCATGACTTTGTTTCATATACAAATTTTGCAGTGTTTATTTTAAATATTAATCTTCAATCGTTCGCTATATTTTATGGTTTTAATGATATTGAGAGAAGTTTTATGATTCTTTAATGACAAAAGATCGACGAGATAAAGTGGTCTCAGTATAAACTATGTTAGCTTTGGATTGAAAGTGTAATCATGTGACAAGCGTTTAAATCACAAACTGAGTAAAAATAAATAAGACTGCAAAAAACTATCAAATATAACAGCAGCCTACTTTGAAGCCTGAGGCGATATGTTTTTAATTACTCTTTGGTCCTCATTAGCTGCTTACAAATTGTCAATGTAAAAGTTGCCCAATTATAAGCACTGATTATGGACAGAGACAGCATGAATTGTACAATTTCAACGTGATCTGCGACCAAGGCAAGACTAAGGGCTCAGGATTGTCATATTAAAGCTATAAAATGCTAACAGTTTACGAGTTTGTTTGTTTCATGTACGATATAAGAAAGGTGAAATTTTAAAATAAAAGAACTCTGGTAAGAATTAGTGTAAAAATGCATAATATCTACCTAGTTTCCAGTCTTTTGATTTCGATCTGGCTTTCATACAGTCTATAATAAAGAAACATCGTATAAAATATTATCAAAAATACACATCATTTATGAACACTGTATACTGGGTACCGGTATTATGTTGAAGCAGAAATAAACCCTACTGGTATTCCTTGTTTTCTTTAGAATATCATTTTATAAGATCTTGTATATGAATAGGTGCCTCCAAAATGTGGACATTTCAGTTTAAACTTGATTAGGAATGAAATGTCTTGGAATTAAGTCAATTTGTGTTACAAAGAAAGACGTGTTTCAATGCCATCAGACATGCATGCATGCTTCGATTAGAACAACTCATTTAACACGGTTATAAAATATTTTTTATATCAAACTTGTTTATGGTGTACCACTAAAAAGCTGCCTAGCAAGTTTAAAAGCAAGATGACAATCTTGTTTGGAATATTAATATATTGCAGTAAGAACCCGATCGTGAACCCAATTATAAAAACTGCCATAATTCAAAAATTATGAAAGCGAAAGCAAATGCAAACCTGGTCTGTTTTAGAAAAAAAGTGCGAAAAACCAAGTGGACAGACTGACAGAAAGAAGGACAGTCAGACGGACAGTAAGACGAACTGACAGACTCAGAGGACACCTATAGTCCCCTCCGGCTCCACCGGTAGGGGACAAACAATTCGTTTTCCTGTAACCCCCTCCCCCTTTCATCATTCATTATATACAGTTTGTTTTTAATTTTAAATATAACATACTTGATAAATATTAATTTCTTTTTACGATAGTCAGGTTAAAAAGCATATATTAGAACAACTTGGTTAATGAATGGTACAGTTTTATCACATGAAAGTTTTTTTTATCAAGTTCTATTTCTTTATGGATGTACATGTAGACCTTATATATATATATATATATATATATATATATATATATATATATATATATATATATATATATATATATATAGATTACAAAATTATATGCCTAACATGATTTTTTTTAAATTTTCATATGCTAGCAATAAGTTTTTTTGTGTGTGGTAGATAGAATTTATTGCAAAGAAAAATATATATACTTCGAATTTGATAAGTTTTTCTCTCTTCTTTCATCTTCAAGGACTCTTCTTACTTCTTTTAAATCCTCTTCTCTCTCATGAAGTCTTACATGCAAATTTGTACATGTATGTATTATTAATAAAACTTAACTTTTACAGATGCATTTTAAAGGGGCATAGACACAGTTTCAACTGAATTTTCTTTAAACCAATTTTAATGTTTGCGATTCCTTACTAAGGTAATTCTAATGATCAGCAAAGATATGAACATCATTAATTTTGTTGATTTATAAACTAAAGGAGATACAGAACTTAATACCCTTCCTAATGTAAACAAGGCTTGTTCCCTGTTTTTGTTTACATATATAAAATATCATATGAACAACAAAATGCAATTCAGCAAATCATAAGAAACTGTCTAATCGCATTTATAATTAACTTCTTTATTGAAAACATCTGCATTGAATGTACATATATTAGTATATTTAACCTATGTAAACAAAAACATGGCACAGGCCTTGTTTACATAACAAAGGTTTGTCACTCTAAAACTGTCTTGTATCTCGAAAATTGAAATTCAAATTTTTGATGTTTATGAGAAATAACTTAGTTGAGTAAGTTAAAACATAAACATAAAAAATGGATTTTTTTATTAGCTGAAAATGTGTCTATGCCCCTTTAATGCATGCCTTTTAAGTTTTATATAAAAAAAAGTATGTGTAAGTATGGATAGATAATTACTTAGCTTCCTTCGTTTTGACATCAGTCTGGCTATCAGACAATCTGTAAATAGATTTCATTTTTCTGTACATGTGTTTTTCATGTGCGAGAATACAAGAATGCTAAAAATAAAGACTTTATAAGTACTGACTTAGTTTGTTTAGTCTTCGGAAATGCATGATGAATATTACATGATACTTAAATCGATGATGTCATTCCATTTCTAGAGGAGCCACATTAGCCAAAGGGTCCAAGACCTGATGAAATATAATTGCCCCGAGGGTCTATTTGACTAATAATTTATATTTTTATAGTACATTTAATACAATTAATATGCGAAGTCATATGTTTTTCTTTTGTATTTCAAAGTCATTAGGTAATAAGGCATTTTGTAGGTAATAAGTACACCATTACTTCATGTAATCTTTAGTAATTCCCATGGATACTTATTGCGCCCTGTTACTACCAGATCTTTTTTTTATGTAAAGCAGAAATTATTTAAAAGCGTCAACAACAAAACAGGCAAAGTTTCTACATGTAGTTGTGACCTAGAAATTTTGATATATCAACGAATTTTAAAATATAAATCTTTTTTTTTCATTCCTCTTTACTTTGTCAGTAGGAGTAAGGAGCTAACAACGATCATTTTGATAAAACCGATGGCATCGACTTTTTTTATTGTCAATTTCCTTTATTTCACAGTAACAGAGTAAAATCGTTGTCTTACTATGATCAATGAAAACACGACAGAAAGAATACATCATATATATTTTAAGTAATGTACACAAAAAAAGTATTAATTGCAATAAACAATCCTTGCATGTTTACCTGACATGTAGGCTTACGCATTCTTCTTTTAGCTTCTCTACTTCTACTTCATACTGGAACCTCTGTTGACTAAAAATGATAATGTAACTTTTACACACTTTTTATTCATTGCATTATTAATAATTATTTTGTTTTGCTTAATATATTAGTAGGGATTGTAATATCAAACTAGAAATGATACATGATTGACAAACTGTCATTCACCATTGAAGATAAGATTTTGTTTCATCTTCTATAACATTAAAACATCATCTGCATGTAAGTTTACCTTGTTTTCATCTTTACATTCTTTTCTATTTCTTATGATATAAAACTTCACGCATTTATGAAATATAATGATTACATATAATTATCTTAATGTTGCATTGGTTTTATCACAGAAAAAGGATCCTGCAGTAATGATAACAAAACAAATTTTAAAATGAAGTACATGTAGCAGCAAGGTATTGAAAAGTTTGAATTTTTATCAACTGAATTTGTTATATAAATTTTACATTTGCAAAACTTCGACATTTAGCAATTTGTTAATCATGCTCTATATTTCTACAAGGGAAGGTAAATTTCACAAAATGTCATACGTTTGATGAATTGGGCACTGGAATGATGTTTCGTAAGAAGACACCTTGTTACGCTTTCTGAAAAATCAGCTCAAACAGTATTATAATCAAATTAATACCAAACGATGAAGAATACCTTTCTATGGATTCCTCATGAGGTCTATTTAATAAACGTGGAAGATGAAATCCAATCGGCTTTATGCAACATCCGTACAGAAATATACATAGTCCTGTACAGATGCTTTTGCAAAAGATGCATCCAAAGGTCGCACAGATCGCGTCGAAAAGACATTGTTTGAACCTGAATGGACATCTGCGAAAATTAAATAATGGAATTCAATACTGTTGTTTTACATTGTTTTGTTTTGAAATAAAAATGAAATGATAATTCACTTAGAGGACTGAATATATCAGGAAAATGACATTGACCGAAGTACGGACCTGCATTTTACTGAATTTATTTTAGGATCTTAAACTGTCGAACTCAACTCATTTTAGTTTATTGTTACTAGGATTTTTAGTACATGAACTATATACATTTATGCATCTATTTAAGCATTTAATTCATATTTTTGGATGTCTTCCAGTCCTACAACACACCTGGCCGTGCCGACAAATTATCATACCGCGCTAACGCGCGGTATTCAATTTGTCGGCACGGCCAGGTGTGTTATAGGACCGAAGACATCCAAAAATATGAATTCAATGCTTATATTTACATTCCCTAATTTTCCTTCTTTATAATTGCTTATTTCGTTAGTCTTAAATGTGAATTTAGGGCCCTTCAAAACTGTCGTGGTTAATAGATGTAAGAGCTGTTTGTGACGTCAATGACGTTAGATGACGTTGCAAAGTTAAATGACTCAAATAAACATTGCGAGGAAAAAAGTGACAAATTAAATCTTAACACACATTACATTAATTTTTATGTTATTTTCAGGGTTAAAGTTTTTCATTAAATTGAAATAAAACATTTTTCATTTTAGTGTTCTTAGAGTATTGAAAATGCATATAGTTCCTACTGTGTATTCTAACGCGCGGTGACAAGGTTTCGCGTGTGTTATAGAAATTTGAACGTCGTGGATTTCTAATGGATTTCATAAGGAAAATTAAACTGAATGTAAATATTCAAAAATGATTTGAAGTAGGACATTACTTTGTTATTTTGGAAAAGTTTATCATACTATGTTACTTTTCTAAAATCACTGGAAAAACATCGCTGGTTATATAAAAGGCCTGTAATTATACATAATTACTCAGTAAATTGTTTCAATTACATGTACTTTTAAGGTCAGACTCTTAGAAATGAATATATCCTAATATCTTGTCATACAAATTCGACAAAACTTTTCTAAACTTGTGACATGATATTAAGTCTCTTCCAAAGAAAAAAAATGTTTGTATCATCTGTACTTAAGAGTCATCTGAGTATAATACAACAATTAAATGGACCCAAAGAGTATAAAATTTTGATATATTAACAAAAAAACTCCTCCTTTTACAAAATTACTTAATCCCGGGTCAATGAAATTCAAGTGTTTGGTAGAGACACCCACCCTTACCATGACTATGAACTTAGTTCCTTGGCTCAATTTTCAGGGGCGGAGGAGATGATTTTCGACGAATTAATGCATTTTTACTAAACTATCATTAGAGGTTTACCTTCGGTGTCTTTGACCCAGGGGCACGGAAATTCAAAATTTTGTTCTCATTATAGCTAAGTGTTTAGTTAGTGAGTCTAATATCCAGGAACAGAGATGAATATTTTCAAAAAATTAAAGCATTTTCACTATTTATCTCATGTTTATCCTATAATAATAATAATAATATACCTATGGAAAATCAGTATAGGTCGATATGTGGTAATAAGGACTCATGACAATTGATATTGACCGAAGAAACAGAAAGTGATAGTGACCGAGCCTGCGAGGTCGCTATCATTTTCTGTGTCTGAGGTCAATATCAATTGCCATGAGTCCTTATAACCACATATTGACCGTTCACTGAAGTCCATAATAGTTAAATTATATAATCACTCAATTTGAATGCACAGACATAGTCCTTACTGAACGGACTTGGCTGTCATTACGTCATAATGGTTAAACTCACGCTTCTTATATCATGACGTCACGTACTACGTAACTTTGGTGCAACCGAACGGCGTGTCGTGCGATCCGCCGACGTGCTTTCGCGTCGACATAACAGAAGGAGGAATATCACTTGACGTTCTTTCAGCCAATGAAAATTACGAAACAATCTTCTTATATAATATTTTTGATATCATACAGTTTAATGCAGTTGTGACGTCAAATATTTTTTGCGTTGGTGTAATAAAGTAACATAAAGTGGAGTCCTACAAAACAGTACATGAATTAAAAAATAAATAACAAGTTTATAAACTTCAATGGGAATTGAAGTGGGTCGGTCACGTGATCAAATCCTGTGAAGGCCGAAGGTCTTCTCAGAAGATTTGATCACGTATCGACCCACTTCAATTCCCATTGAAGTTTATTAACTTAAATTGTTATTTATTACTTATATATACATTTGAGACAGACAATTGAATAATTTCGAATATTATTAGTTATTCAGGTTCAATCAAGGGTGTACGGGGATTTACCCCGGGTTTTATTCCATACACCCTGGATAACGAATTTATTTCCTTTGTACCTATAAAAATGCTTTGTAAACATAAGAGTGTGTCTCAATCTATCGATTAGATATCGTGACGTCATGTTATTTGGTTTTTATCATAGAGAATGTATGCATTGTGACGTCACGTTTTATTTACACCCGGCTCAAGTCGGGTGCACGGATATTTACACCCGACTTTGTAACCAATCAAAGCTCGTGTTACAAGCTAGATAGGAAATAATAATTATTGCACTAACCGTACGTCGTAGATTTTGAAAAATGACGCAAGGTGTAAATCGGCTTGAATGGCGGTTACGCTTCGAATTCATCAGGCGAAGGATTCTATTTCGAAGGGAATATTTTGTGAAAGGCTACTTGTGATCAGTACTAGTGAAAAGAATGTTGTCATGGAATATTTTTATTTGTGAAAATTGATAATCAATGCTGAAAAGACAAAAGAAACACGTCCGAAGATCGCTGATAAAAAGTTGGAGGAATTTCGGTCGCTGGAACGTGAGGGATGGATCCGATGGATGGAAAAAAAACTTGACCGAGCCAGTTAGTTTGCAATCAAGCGTTACATTTGATCAAAAACATTCAACCTACGATTTCAATAACTAAATGTATAATTATGATGTAAACACGGAGACACTGGCGACAACTTACATTGAACTACGACAACGCCGAGATGTTTATCAGCTGTTCGTGGCGTTATTGTGATGCTTTGATATTTTTCAACAGATTTACACATTTATCGTGAGTAGAATTTAATGAAAAAATATAGTTTATCATGAAGATTTAATTTAAGGTCTACCCCCAAAAATAAGGATAAACGTTAAAGACTGTGCAGCTGACAAATGTGACATAAAAATTGTAAACAAACTTACAAAGGCTAGATCTAGTTCTATCGGTATATATTCTCTATGTACACAGGTTATATCGATAACCTAAAACTGTATGAAATACTTGTTTACATTGTATATAAAATAATTATTATTTTACTTGCTTATTTTGTTCATTTTGTTACATAGAGGAAGTCATTTCATATTGATGTATCGGTAGATATTATTGCGCCGTGTGATTAGGTCACGTATTGACCCCTGACCTCTGACAAACTTCATACAGAATTGAAGATATTTGTTCTCTGTATGTTCATATAATGAAAAGATACCACAAATGTATATATTAAACATTGGTTTTGAAGTATTGAACATGTGATAAAAAAGAACTTCCCATGGTTTTTTGTTGGACATGATTTTTATCAACCTCGTTGTGTGTTTTTATTTAAAAAAAACAACAACACACAACTCGTTGGATAAAAATCATATCTAAATACAAATCATGGGAGATCCTAAATATAATCAATAAAGCCCCGCACTAACACCAGCTCCTTGAGCCATGAAATTTGATAACTATGTTTTTGGTTAGTTTGTTTTCTATCCGGGAGAAGATAAAATTTTCAAAGAATTAATGCTCTTTCACCATACAATTTATAAGCCGTGATCTAACGCCAGAGACCTTGACTATGTCGCCTTAAATTTCACTGCTTTGGCATAGGGCTCAATGCTTATTACGATCATGCTAAACAGTTTGACTGCCTATTTCCAGGTGAAAAGAAGACGACTTTCATCGAATGGATTAAGGTATTCAATCCCTAATGGGATCAAACTCAGTGAAATTGAATTCATAACAGATATCTAGGATTGAATGCTCAGTTTATTTATACATACATGTACTTCCCATTTGTTGATATTAGTATGTATAGTGGGATATGTCCTAATTTATGACCTTGAGTTTTGGTAAGAGTTATGTCCCCTTTTTCTTTTTAATAATGAAAAGAATTAATTAAAAAAAATTTAGCCGGTAAAAAAATTGTTTTCAATTAATTGTCATTCTATTTTTAATAATTCAATGCATCTTTCCACCGCAGGGTTTATGGATATTCAAATTATTTTAATTTTTATTTTGAAAAAATGCTTTTCCCCATAGACTTCAATGCAATCTTTGTTAATTAACTACTGCTTAATTAATGACATTTATAAAACTTTCTCGCGGGCAATCCTTTTCCACTATAAAATCCTTTAATATAATATCAGTGTATTATGTACTTGAAGTACATTTAAGGGTAGAGAATTAGGTCCTATTAGGGATGGAAATCATTAAATGTGATGGCCAAAGGGGTACAGTGACCAGGAAATTTACAGTTTTAGACATTTGCTTGACTACAACATTATTATTATTATTAATATTATTATTATTATTATTATCATTATTATTATTATTATTGGGTATAAGAAATCAAAAAATATTCAAATGTTATCGTACGACGCACGTCGGTAGTCGAATGGGGACAGACAAAAACGGATAGCAATAGATCACCTGATCATGAGGTAAAGTAGGCCACCATGAACTTTTCAAACTAACAAACAAATTCGAAGAACTGTGGTCGCTTTTAGTGTCATTGTGGGTGAGATATCACTTTTTATGGCATATTGTGTCAAATATAAATGTCTTTTTTATGTGTCAATAAGAAGTTATCACGCGAGTTGTTTTTTTTTGTTGTTGAAAATTTTGTCAATTGTGAAGGTCAGGGGGTCAAAAATCTTAGCATGCTCAGAAATGGCTTGTCACAGGATAGGCACATTTCAAATATGAAAGCCCTATCTCTTCTCAATCAAAAGTTATAAGGAAAAATTAACAGTTTTAAAAGTAGGTCAAGCTTCAAGGACAAGGTAACAAAATTAAAAATCGAAGTGTATTTAGAAAGGTCTTGTCAATAGTAATACACATTGTAATAAGACAGCCATATGTTTCTACAAAGATATGAGCAAGGTTAAAGTTTTTGAAAAGTGGGTCAAACTGCAAGGTCACAAGTTCAAAAATTATAATGTATTTAGAAAGATCTTGTCACAGATAAAACACACGTTTAATATGAAAGTCCCATCCCCTCCCATTCGAAAGTTATGCCCCCATAATCGAAGAATTGAGGGTATACAGTTTTTGCCCTGTCCGTCTGTCCAGCCGTCTGTTTGTCCACAAAATCTTGAACCTTCACCATAACATTTGAGTGGGTGGGGCTATGACTTTCATTCTTCAAAGGTTTAATCCTTTTTTACAAAACCTTTTTTTCGGGTACCACTAAATTTGATCACGTAACCTTGTCTTGACCTTGGAGTTTGACCCAAATTTTACCGAAAAATTCCGAACTTTAACCTTGGCAATAACTTTTGAATTTTTGGTGTAAGGACTTTCATACATCACATTTGTATCTAATGTGACAAGTCCTTTCAACGGCTATAAAACTATTAATCAAAACCTTTGACCTTAATTTTAGAGTTTGACTCTCTTTTCAAAAACTTTAACATTTATTTAACAAAATTTTTAAACGGTTAGTACAGGGGCTTTCATATTTCACAGATATATTTCTTGTGACAAGACCTTCCTTTGAAAACCACCAATTATGGTCTTTTTGACCTTGACATTAAAGTTTGACTTGCATTTGAGAAATTCCAACCCTCACCATAAGGGGGCATATGTGATTCACAAACACGTCTCTTTTATAGCTTTTAGAAGGTCTCGAATATGTATAACTCTATATTGAGAAGATTTCATCTTAAAATGCATGCCATTGGAACATAATTCTCCTGAGAAAAATACCATGTTACTTCATTTGTCTTCTTAAATAGTCAAAAAGTCTACATGTATTTAAAAGGGGGACTATACATGTAATGTTATAAAATTAGTAAGTATATTTATAAAATATCGCTGTTCGTTTAAAAAATGTCCTTCGGGGATAAAAAAAAAAAAAACAGTAACATGCAATTATTATAAAGAGCCTTTGTAAAATTAATTTAAAATTCAAACATATATCTAATTGATATCATAAAGCATAACATGCGTTAATTAAAGGAGTTTTATTTTACATTTAGTATTTACCTTAACCTTTGAAATTGCAGATGAATATGTATACACTTTAGTTTCCTTCAAGGTTGAAGCTACCGTCTACAGCAATATGTAAATCTTATTAAAGATTTCTTCAACATCACCATTCGACGAAATGTATTGACTCAAAAATCACTTAGTAAGTTAAAGTATCGTACCTTTTTATAATTATATTTTGCACTTATATAAAATACCCGTGCTGTGTTTAGTCTCTTTTTAATTATATTTTGTATATGTTTATTTGAGGTATTAGTCATTCATGTCAACAAATACAGAAATTGAAATATTTTTTAAAGAGTTGTATTATAAACCTTTTCCTTTTCATGCATAAAAAGTCAAAAGACAGAAAGCAGTTTTTTTTAAAGTAAATGCATGCATAATATATATATACATGATATAATATAACATACCTGGAATCTTTATCGATCTTGCCATAAAACGGTATTTTTCGACATATCCATCTTCTTAATTCCCCACATTTGGTTGATATTTTTGAAATAACTACACAAAAAAAGCACATTGACTTGGTTGACCCTTCCGAGTTATCTATCAATGGTTCCACATCGTGCAAGTCCACTGCAATGTATTTACCCTTATGATGCTCTCGTTCAGACCTGTCAAATAATACATAAAATATCTATTCTTTTTTTACAAATATATTTATTATATATTATTCAAAAGAAATTTATAAGGAAAACCACATTCGCATTATTAGCGCTGAGATGCGCTTTGGAGTTGCATTTAAGCAAACGATGAAAATTTAAAGCAAAAGAAGAGCGTGCTCTCTCTCTCTCTCTCTCTCTCTCTCTCGGGAAAATTGAGAATTGTTATCCCTGTTGCTTTCCATTGTGAAAACAGGGGACAAATCATGTACATATAACAAAATATTTATTAATCAGTTTCTCGACATATGCACTTTACCAAGCCCTCCAACTACATATATATAAAGTGTTGCCTTCAGCCTGAGTCAAACAGTTAATGATAACTGAATGATATATTTACATAATCAGTATTGGTACACTTATTTTGTGATATTGATTTCTACTTATCGAGGATACATCCTTAGGTACATACCCGGTAAATGGCAAGGACATTGTGGGAAAAAAGAGAAAACAAAATATATCATGTGTATATCAGCTACACGCAATATCATATTTTAATATGATAGGTTTAGTAGACTGTATAAAATGACAAGCATAAGCCATAAACAGTAATTTGTTTGAAATAGGTAACATTAAACGATCAAGGCCTTCGTTCTATTTTTATCTTTTCCGTGAAATAACTACTTAACCTATATAGCTAGATTTGCATCTTTAAAAGGATAGTAATTTAATTTAAGAAGTTTTCTTATGAATGAATTATAATATATATGAATGCAGTAGAAACACGAACAAAAACTGTAACTTACATTTCAAAGAAATGTCATCGTCAGCATTATATCTTGTATTTTTTTTACCAGAAAGATTACAAGATTACCTAGATTTAATACACCAGGATATACCAAAATCTAAACAACTACTTTCGTTTTGACTATACTAAAGGGCGATTACTACGGAAGCCCAATAGTGCAAAAAAGAAATTTTCTTTATTTAGTTATTTCGTTTTCTTTATTTAATAATTTCGTTTTTCTTATTTAATTTGTTTTTTTTTTCTTTATTTATTTTTGATTTGCACTATTTGGCTTCTGCAGATTATTCTTAGAATGGAATGGCATGGACGAAGTATTTTGGCAGATCCTGATTGATTGGCTATTATAGTTGGCTCATATTTTCTTAAACTGCTACGCCATTCAATCATTTCTCATTTTTTTGTAGTGTATAGTTAAAAAACATCTCTAATTATACCCCCGCTTGAAAAGCGGGAGGGTATATAGTAATCGGGATGTCTGTCCGTCCGTCTGTTACGCTTTGGGGTACCCATCTCTCACAATACAGAATGAATTTAATGAGACTTTCACAGAATCTTTATTACATATTTCCATTGTGCACCTCCTATTTTACTTTTTGATCCCCGACATATTTGGGTTTCCCATAGCAAAACATGGACACTGCCATTTTATTGATATGATATGAGCTCATTGCTCACAGTACCTCTAGTTAAACTTTATGTTTACTACTATGTATATGTATAAAGACATATACATTGTAATAAAAATATAAAATGAGCAAATTTGATCATGAAAAATCATCGTTTTAAAGATTTAATGTCACATTCTGCAACGTGTACAGATAGAATATAAGCATGGATCAATTTTTTTGAAATTTCTTTCTGAAGCATGAATGTGTATGTTTTATTAATGTTCTATTTATGTTCTGTTTATATTTTTTCCATTCGATGATTAAATATATCGATGTCGTTTTATAATTACAGCTAAGATTTTATTGCTATCCTGATTTCAAATACAGGTATTCCTTTTAACTGGAATTAATAGACAACTCAGAGCTCAGACATATTTTTTTTACATTTGATTTTTTTTTTTGATAAAAGACATTAAAGGAAAACTATTTTCTGCGATTCAGAACTCGTCGCGAACAAAGCGGAAATTGGATACACGGGGGGGGGGGGGGGGACCTGATTCACGGTATGTGTTGCAAAGCAACATTCTCACCTGCATATGGATTCTTAGTGCCCAACATGATTTGATACAAGAGAGCATGTTAACCCTTCGAACAATTTCCAACAGGAAACAAACTAAACTATAGTCCAACTAGAGGCACTGTGAGCAATGAGCTCACTAAATGATACCCCCTGCCTCCCATATGAATATAATGGCAGTGTCCATGTTTTGCTGTGGGAAACCCAAAATATGTGTCCGATCAAAAAATAAATGTACAATGGCAATATGTTATAAAGATTCTGTGAAAGTTTCATCAAATTTCATTCAGTGGTATGAGAGGAGTTGCAGATAAGAGATGGGTACCCAAAGCGTAACAGACGTACGGACGGACAGCTAGACGGGCGGACGGACGAACATCCCGATTACTTTATACCCTCCTTCTTTTCAAGCGGGCTTATAAGAATAAGATCGAAGCAATTTGTATGGAAAACATCAGTCATCATTTAACAAGTACCTAATGATAAATTTTATTTTAAAACAAGGTTTTATATTGACGATAGAATTTGCATACATAAATCTTAAAACGAGACGCAGTGGTATCATCAACTTACTATACCCCCCGCTTAAAAAGCGGGAGGGTATAGTAATCGGTATGTCAGTCTGTCTAACTGTACGTACGTCTGTCCGTCCGTCTGTTATGCTTTGGTGTGCCTATATCTTAACCACAACTCCTCTTTTACCACAGAAGGACATTTAATGAGACTTTTACAGAATCTTTGTTATATAGTGCCATTGTGCACCTCCTATTTTACTTTTGAATCGGACACATATTTTTGGTTTTCCAGAGCAAAACATGACACTGCCATTTTTTCTATAATATTGAAGGGTATCCATCTCTTTTCTGCAACTCTTCCTATACCGCTGAATAAAATTTTACGATACCATCACTTATTCTTTTCTACATAATGCCATTGTGCACCTCCTGTTTTACTTTTTGATCTGACACTTATTAGCGAGCAAAATAGGGGCATTATAATCATATGGAAGGCGGGGGGTATCATTTAGTGAGTTCGTTGCTCACAGTACCTCTAGTCATATACTAAATTGTCCGTTCTTTTGCCAACTGCCCGAGCAAGGAGTAGAAGGCGGGGGTTTGATGAGCCGACAGGGGATGATTATTCCCCAATATGACCCGGACCCATCTCTGAGGTTTGAAGAAGTCTTTGTTTATTGTGGTCTAAATTTGTATAGTTGTAATGGATATTGAGCATGAAACAATGTTTTGACCACATTCCATCTTTGATTTTTTTTTTAATTTTGGTACTAATTGCAGTATTGTATTGTGAAAATCGCATGTGTTTTAGGGAAACATCAGATTTTATCAATGTTATCTATCACAACGCATATTTGTATGCACATCTTAATATCATGACTGGCTTTTCCGTTAAGTATTCTTTCTCTTTAACTCAAAATAGCACATGTAATCTTATCTCTGAATTTAAGGGGTTATATATACCTTCAAAACTCCCTCTAAATGGGCCAGTGTATCAATCTTAGTAGACAGTAGACTGATACAATATATACATTTTCAACTTGTATTTAATTCAAAGACATAATGATTTAAAAAGTACGACATATTCAATACCGTATTGCATTGACATCTTGACAACCCACTATATTAAGAAAGAATTCACGTACTATTCTTCCTGCATTTCTTAAGCGCAATAACTGCTTCATATGTCTTAGCGACAAGCATTTTCGTCTAACGTCCCTTGCTCCATTAGAACATAACATTTAAATCTTTGTAATTTGATATGACTCAGTGAAGCTTAGATATGAGGCAATGAGTAAAAATATTACCAGTGTTACATCAGTATTTGATAATATTTGACACAGAACCATCTATGAAATTCTTCCAAAACACGATGCACAAAAAAACCGTCAGCTTTCAAAAAATACTGATACAAAAATAATGTTTTGATATTTCAAAGAATGAACAAGGAGGGTTTTTTTTTAATTAAGTAAACGCCATGGAATCTGCGATTAAACTAGAGGTACTGTGAGCAGTGAGCTCACTAAACGATACCCCGGCTCACACATAAATAATGGGAGTGTCCATGTTTTGCTATAGGAAACCCAAAATATTTGTTGGATCAAAAGTAAAATAGGATGTGCACAATGGCAATGTAATAAAGATTCTGTGGAAGTCTCATCAGATTTTATTCATTGATATGAGAAGAGTTGCGGATAAGAGATGGGTACTCCAAGGCGTAACAGATGGACGGACGGACATCCCGATAACTATATACCCTCCCGCTTTTAAAGCGGGGGTATAATTTTATCAATTAAATTATCTCAGACGATATCACCCAAGAGCAAATACTGAATACAGAGAATAATATATCGGTGATCAATGCATGGAGATATTGTGGTTTAAAGTCATTAGACCTTCTAGGAAGATTTCACAGGTGCTTGTGGACAGGACCCTTCATTTATGATGCACTACCTCCTTTTATTGATATTTTTAAAATTTTTAAAATATGATGTTCTTTTTTTCATCTCTCACTACTTCACCTACATGTTCTTATAAAAAAAACACACTGTTACATTGAAATTACAACACAGATGCAAATTCTAACATTCGTTATAAGTGTACCTCTGTCCTCTACACTTGTATCTGCATCGTAATATTATTGTGATTTTCTATCAGGAAAATGAAGATTGGGTAGTGAGAGACAAGAGATAAAGAAATTAATGAAAAAAGAAACATTATGAAAAAATCATTAAATGGGGGTGTATAGTAAAGTACGGGTCCTGTCCTCGAGCAACTGTGGATTTGATCACTTCACTTCAACTTTGTTTTGTGGTGAAGATTTTTAACATGTTATTATTTTTTTTCTCACGATTACAATGATTTATCGTAAATACGTATATTGCACGTTATGTTTTGAAGCAAATATTTCATGTGAGACCATATATGAACAAGAGGCCCAGGGGCCACAGCGCTCACCTGAGCACATCAGCTAGGAAAAAGCACACATCATGATTTGGACGAACTAGAATCTACACTACCTGAGGATAATTCCACATAAATATTACTAATCATGGCTTTGAAGTACTTGAAAAGAAAATTTTAAAAGGTTTCCCTTTATATTCCTATGAGAATTAATTTTTGGTCAGCCATTTTGGCCCCAACCTACACCCGGGACTCATGATTTGAACAAACTTGAATCTACACTATCTGAAGATAATTTCACATGAGTTTCATCTTTCCTGTCTCAATGGTTCTTGAGAAGAAGGTTTTTAAAGATTTTTCCTATATAACCCACGGGGGTCATGATTTGAACAAACTTGAATCTACACTATCTGAGGATGATTCCATATGAGTTTCATCTTTCCTGGCCCTGTGGTTCTTGAGAAGAAGAATTTTAAAGATTTTTCCTATATACTCCTATGTAAAACTTTGATCGGCCATTTTGGCCCCACCCTACCCCCGGGGGTCATGATTTGAACAAACTTGAATCTACACTATCTGAGGATGATTCCACATGAGTTTCATCTTTCCAGGCCCTGTGGTTCTTGAGAAGAAGATTTCTAAAGATTTTTCCTATATACTCCTATGTAAAACTTTGATCGGCCATTTTGGCCCCATCCTACCCCCGGGGGTCATGATTTGAACAAACTTGAATCTACACTATCTGAGGATGATTCCACATGAGTTTCATCTTTCCTGGCCCAGTGGTTCTTGAGAAGAAGATTTTTTAAAGATTTTTCCTATATATTCCTAGGTCAAATTTTGATCGGCCATTTTGGCCCCACCCCACCCCTAGGGGTCATGATTTGAACAAACTTGAATCTACGCTGCCTGAGGATGATTCCACATGAGTATCATCTTTCCTGGCCCTGTGGTTCTTGAGAAGACGAAATTTAAAGATTTTTCCTATATTTTCTATGTAAAACTTTGATCGGCCATTTTGGCACCACCCTACCCCAGGGGTCATGATATGAACAAACTTGAATCTACACTACCTGGGGATGATTCCACATGAGTTTCATCTTTCCTGGTCCAGTCGTTCTTGAGAAGAAGATTTTTTTAAATGGCATTAATTTTTCTCAAATTCATAATTATCTCCCCTTGGAAAAGGGTGTGGCCCTTCATTTGAACAAACTTGAATCCCCTTGACCCAAGGATTCTTTGTAGCAAGTTTGGTTGAAATTGGCCCAGTGGTTCTTGAGAAGAAGATGTAAATGTGAAAAGTTTACGACGACAACGATAACGACGACAGACAGCGGACAAATTTTGATCAGAAAAGCTTATTTGAGCCTTCGGCTCAGGTGAGCTAAAAAGTGATGTTTGTGGCATGCACATGCAAGTATGTTTCCAGCTGATTTTCAAATTTATCGTGGATTAAGGTAAACGGCGAGAAATCAATTAGATTGAACATCATTCTGAGTTTATTTTTTCAATTAAAAACAAGTAATAGGAAATACAGAGAAAAGAAATTATGATACTGTGCAGCTGTTGTTATTATTCATTACATGCAGTTGTTTATTCTTCAATAAAAATATGATTAAAATACTTTTCTTACCTAAAAAGAAAATAATAATTATTTTACTTACGTATATCATATTTTTAAAGTGTATAAAAAGCATGATACCAATGTAAAGGATTCCATGTAAATATTAGTACACCAAATTGGCCTATGCTTTTTTTTTAAAAAAGACTTCATTAAAATATAAGTTGGTTCTGTTTTTAAAAATAGAACTACGTGTATGCGTATCTTAAAAGTGTTATATTAGCAAAAAGTTAGTTTCGTAATACCTCTGACTAGTAGGTTCATATTGTAGAACAAACCATTTAAAACAGGTTACTATATGGAGAAAACACAAGTGGTCGAGTTGAAAATGGTTATCATATGAAGTTTCAATATGATGTTAGAGCCCCATCTGAAGTAACAGGCCACCAAGCAACAGCTAAATAAATTTGTTATGCATGTACCTTTGAAAATTTGTTTCTATACAAATCTATACGAAAAAAGTCTAACACTTCTAATGTTTTGCTGAGCGGGCATGAAAATCGATGTTGGACCGCTGAGTGACCGTCGTCGATGAGATGTTGGACCGCTTACGTCATAGAATGGGCGAGGCTTAATCTTATTTCCATTCGTTGTTGTTCGAAATTGACGGACCTGAGGTTACATCAGAGAAGACAGTACAAAATATTCTGCGTCACTCAACTATTCAACTATTTGCCAAAGCTGTTTGGATTTTCTTATATTTCACAATATTGTTGAAATATGGTGTGACACTCTTTGATATTCCTTTTAACTTTTTATGTTTTAGATCAAAATTAATATATTTGTACACTTGCCAGATTTCACATATTAAAAGTTTTTAATTTTGAAGATGTTGATTTCTCACACATTCAATTTAATACTTTGAACTACGCCTTTAGAACAGGAAACCTATTTTAATTTCATGAAATTGTTGACTAAATTTAATATATGAAATGATTTCTTTTTTTTGTAAACAATATGATCAATTTTCTGTCACTGATAGTCGGTGACTCTTATGTTAAGTACATGGGTGGGCCCTAAATATGTGTCGTGTCACCCAGCATTATACTTCAAACCTCATTGACACGGATTTGTATCTTCCTTAAGGAAGAATGAATTAATCATCAAAAATAACAAAAGATCATAATCAATAATGTACAAAACATAATTTAGAAAACGAGATGCAACTAAAGTATTACCAAAGATTAACTAAACAAATTACTTTTTTTTCCTTTTTTTATACAATCTTGCTTGTTATGTTTACGCATTGTGGTGTTAATATAGAAAACCACAAGTTTGATAAGTCGCAGAAGATACCCTATCTTTGACACTTATTGTATAAACAATTTGCCAAATTATCTTGTCTTATAACTATATTTTTATTTTAGTCTCAATACTGTGTGAATGACTTTTTTAATATTTTCTCTTTCTAGGTTGTTGCATTTTTGGAATGTTTAACAAACCACAACTCCCTCTACTGAATTAAGGCATTGTGCTTTTAGTTTGTTGTATTTTTAACTGCTTATGTTTTTCTTTCCATAATACTTTGTCATTTATTTGTTAAATAAATTACCATTCCAATTCCTCAACTATTAGTTGTTTTTTCTTGTGTCAAACTGAGCACCACCCTAGCAGTTATCCATAAAGAATATCTATTGTTAAGGTGGGAGACGAACATCCTGTATTACGGCTTTATTAAGCACTCTCTTAAATATCTAGTCTTTTAAGTTGTCAAACTTTGTTGCTTAAAATTTTCAATAGTTAGTATATACATTTCAAGGATACTGTGTTGTTATGTTTCTGTGTATTTAAGGTCATACGCAATATAGTTTGAACTTTATTGGGTTCTTCCCAGGAGTTGAAGAGTTCCACTAAATGAAGGACCCGTGTGCAATACAATATACTTTTAATGCCTATATATGGATTTGTACACCTCTTCTAAAACAATTTTTGATGAAAAAAGTCTGGAATTTATGTTTTGTAATTTTTATGTATTTTTCTTTGAATAATGCGAAAATTTTCACAATTTGATATCTTTTCAATACCCCTGGTAACGCATGCTGACTTTTTGTTTAAGAACATGTAATGGTATTGTAAGTTTAAATTCAGAATATCTTGAAAAATTATCAGTAGGTGAGGTACGTTGCGTATGTCCTTAATTTGTTATCTAAATTCTCATTTATTAAAGGATTGTTTTATTTTGGACTTTTTCAACAGTTTTCAGTCTTTGATATGATGAAGAACATACAAAATTGATTACAAAAGGTGATTAACATACACATAAGCTAAACACGTGTACTACATATGATGTCAAATGACTTAGGTTCTATGTTAATTGAAAATGTATAATGCAGCAAGAGAAGTTTCTAAATGTAAAACAGTCAGTACCTGCTCGTTGAACTCAATTATAATGAAATGAGAATAATTAAACAATTATCAAAATTTGTGTTTTGTTCCAAAACTTTTTATTTTACATATGAATTGAACACATTATTTGCATTTCAAGTTGATATCAATAAAAATGACTAGCTTCAAAATTCAGTGTCAAAGTTATTTATTTATTTTTTTTTTGGGGGGGGGGGGGTAATACAGCATGTTTCGCCCGATTGGAAGACGAATCCTCGTTGGAATGACAGCGAGGAAAATTTATCAGATATTTGAGTATTCAAAATGTAGATTTTAATATACAAGTTGTTGAAACAAGAATATCAGCAGTCTTGCTTAAAGTAATCATTTAGTAAATTCTATGGTCGATACAATGACCTTGTCAGCAAATACAATTTATCATTGAGTCAAATGCTGACTGACATTTTTCATACTAATTGTTAGTCCATTCTTTATTCACTGAATTGACGACGGTTTTTTTCCGTTATTTCCCAATTATGACAAGGAGAGCACGGCGGGTGTGACCGGTCAGCAGGGGATGCTCACTCCTCCATGGCACCTGATCCCACCTCTGATGTTTCGGAGGTCTGTGTTTGCTCTGCTGCTATTTTGTATTGTTTTATGGACTTTGTTATTGAATACTGTTCGTTATCGCCATATCCTTCTTCTTCGTTGTAAGTCAGTTGAACCTCTTCATTACCTCCATATTTATCCCAGGTATTCGAAATACCGATGTTTGAGATATCGATTTTCAGCTGACAGTGGATCAATTTATCTTGCCGACTTTTTAAATGTTCACTTTTTGATCGTTCTTTCTGGTTTAGTAGGTGTTGAATTGTCATTAGTATTCGATTTAACAGGTTGGACTACACCCTTCTGAACAAGTGGTCCATTTTCATGTAATAACAACGCGGGCCAAACTACGTAATCAGGTTGTTCTCCACTTCTCGTAAACAGTCTGAACATGTTTTTGTCAATGACGTTTGGGGTATCAAATTCTAAATACATGGGTGGGTCCTGGATATGCATCATCCAACACAATTCTACACATCTGTCCACAAAAGCTTCACAACCAAATAACACGTCTTTAAACTTTGACACAAATTTTGTATCTTCCTTCAGAAACTGAAAAAGCATGGCATATTTTATTAAATATACTAAAACCAGAACCAAACGACTATAATAAAAGAACTTGAGTAATTTGACGATTTTTTAAAAAGCAAATTTATCACTGAAAAATATTAATTACAGTGGAATGACTTTATAAGTACCTTTTTAGCATTAGCCACCGAGATATTGGACACATCCTTCTGTAGATCGCTGATTTTCTTGTAGATTGTCATAAAATTCCCTGCCTCAGATTCTCTCAAATCTCTCTAAAAAATCAATGATCACCATTTAACAATTTACTCAATAAATAATTAATTTCCATTTTGATATTGAATAACAGAATTGAAAAATATAGCTTAAGAGTGGTTTCATTGTCATTTTGCATATATTTCTGTTAATGGGTAAAACTGCAGATGTAATTGTGTTGTTTCATAGACACCGGAGTTGTAATTTGGAATGTCTCCCATTAAAAAGTCTTTTTAAAGCATATAAGTTTATAATAATAATTGATTATGAAACAGGCCTTTAAAAAGAATCTACACCCTGTTGTTTATTATGTTTAAATAGAATTCATTTTAATGAATGAATGGCTTAATATTCGTACCTGAAACAACGCCTCTTGTAAATTCTTGTACTGTTTGTCAGCAGAGCACTTTGTTTTGTTGGCAATAAACTACAATAAACACAACGTCAATAAGTACATACGCCAACATTGAAGTGCAGTTAAACAATTCACAAAGCATATGTGTGTAACAAAAATGTATAAAACAGAGTTGATTTGTTAAAAACCACAAGGATGAAATATCATACAAATCAAACTTAGTAGTGGCAGAATTAAATCGACCGGTAAAATTAAGGTAAAAAGTTAAAGAACTACGAACTCTAACTCTTGATTCCCGCCTACATTTTGCACCCATTAAATTCAATTTTAATGGCAATTTGGCCATTAAATCTTTGTTTAATACAAAGAACAGTTCTATGGTAATTGATAAATCATTTTATTTCCAGTGCTAGATAGTAAATTATCATTAATTCCAGCTGTTGAAAAAAGGGGGGTAGGCGATATTTTCTGGTGAAATCGAACTTTCAAGAATCACCATATTTTGAAATAGTCTGTAATATGATAAAATGTATCTCATATCTTTTCTTATGTTTTACGCAAATAAATAAAACATATATAAATAAATAAAATACAATTATTTAGTTGTAAATAGCTTAAAAATTGGTGAAAAATCAGCATTTTTTTCGTTTTTTGTCTATAAACATATGTTCCCCCCCCCATGAAACACAAAAAGCTTTGGCATAAATTTGTTAAATGACAGTCCATATTACCTGAAAAAAAGGAATTTGTGTTTCACGGGGGGGAAAGATGTTTTTAAAATATTTTCCGTTTTCCGTTGATTTCTATAGTGAAAAACACAAGTTTAACCAAAATTATGGAGTTATCTCTCTTTGGTATCCCAAATAATAATAATAATAATAATAATAATACTTTATTTATAGAAGGTAATCCGATTAGTGCGAGCACTAGTCTTCCTCGGGGCCTTCTTAAAAACACATATACAATGTTTTATACAATAATAAAGACAATAATCACAAACATGGAACAATAAGATATAAACACACATTATGTTACACTAGAATAAATTAAACACTTTCGTTTCATTATAAGTTCAGAGGAATGAAAACTTTTTTTTTTTTTCATGAAGAACGTTTCATAAGTAAAAAATGTTCTACCCTACTTTTAAATATTGAAAGGGATTGGGAATTCCTTATACTAATAGGCAACTCATTCCATATAATAACCCCTGAATATTGCAAAGAATTTTTAAATAAATTAGTTTTAAATTTTGGTAAACGAAGTTCTGAATTTGTCTGTGAGCGTAGCGTGTATGATCCACAACTTTGAAATTCAAAAAAATCATGCATATAATCAGGAGACATACCATGGAATGTTTTGAACATCAGAATGCTTTTCTGTAAATATAGAAGTTCATGAACTGTTAACCAGCCTAATATGTTAAACAAGGGCATTGAAGGTGCATCGTATTTTTCATTTAAAATAATCCTAGCTGCTCGTTTTTGAAGTTTGTATATTCTATCGATGTGAGTTTGAGGAGAGTTACCCCAAATAGATAGACAATATAAAATTGATGGTAAAATAAATGCGTTATAAAATAGCTTTCTAGTATGCAATGGAAGGAACTTCTTAATTTTTCGTAGAGTAAATAATTTATATGCAAGAGTTTTGCAAACTGCATCTACATGACTAGTAAATTGAAGATTATGATCAATGTGAACACCTAATAATTTCTCTGTTGTAACATTTTCAAGGGGTTGGCCAGGAAGTTGTAAATGAAGATTAGCGTTTTCTAATTTTGATTTCTTTTGATGTGTTCCCATTAACATACTCTTAGTTTTGTCCGTATTCAAAATCATCTGATTTTGTTGACACCAGTTTTGTATTTGAAAAAGGTCTTGATTCAGAGCTGCTTCAATATATGAAATATTGTTACCATGAAAATGCATTGTAGTGTCATCAGCAAACATATCAATATTACAATGTTCAACAGATAATGGTAAATCATTAATATATAACAGGAATAACAAAGGACCTAAAATAGATCCCTGTGGCACACCTGCTGTGACAGGCAGTGATTCAGATGTGTACGCACCAATTTTAACACTCTGCGTTCGATCATTTAAATATGATTCAAACCATTGAATCGATATAGGATCAAAGTTGTAGCATTTAAGTTTAGTAATAAGTATATCATGATTTACGAGATCAAAAGCTTTGCTAAAATCCAAATAAGTAATGCCAACGAAATTTCCTTGATCTATTGCATGCAGCCAATTATCAGTTAGTTTTGTGAGAGCTGTCTGGCAAGAGTGAAATTCTCTAAATCCAGATTGTGCTTTCATTAATAAATCATAGTGAGAAGTAAAGATTCGTATATTTTCTACTACATGCTTCTCTAAGACTTTCGAAATAGTTGGTAAGATTGATATTGGTCTATAATTTCCTGGGTCTGATTTATCACCCTTTTTAAATAGAGGAGTTACTTTTGCTATTTTTAACTGTGAAGGAAAGGATCCCTTGATTATGCTGGAATTTATTAAGTGTGTTAGAGGTTTGGATATTACACTAGCTGAAATTTTAAGTAATCTGGGTCCAAGAAAGTCTATGCCAGCAGATTTGTTTATGTCAAGCCTATTTAACATATCAAATACTTTTGTTTCATTAATCAATGGAATTTCAAAAAAGTCTTGATCTCCAAGTTTTGTTTCCGTGTATCTTTTCAATTTTTCTGAATTAAAACTAGTCAATGAAAGATTATTTAACAATTTTCTTGGAATATGTGCAAAATGCTCATTAAAAGCATTTGAAATGTCTTTTAAATTATCAAATTCTAATCCCTTATAAGTTATATTGGAAGGGGATGAATATTTATCTGATTTTGAGGAAAGCTGATTTAAATGACCCCACATTTCTTTTGATGTAGAACTATTTTCAATTACTGTCTTATAATATGTAGATTTTGCATCATTAATTAGAGAGGTGACCTTGTTTCTCCAAAATCTAAAATTGCCCATGTCTCCCTGTTTATGGAATTGATCTCTTTTAATCCTAGCCTCATTTATTTCTGGAGTTAACCATTTAGTGCGAATTTCTGATTTCACACGCTTTGTTTTAACTTTCGCATGATTATTAAGTACAGAATTGAAAATTGCATAAAAATATGTTAAAATTTCATCAGGATCATGCAGGAGAATTAATTCATCAAAATTTGCATTATTTAAATCATGCAAAAAATCATGTTCATTAAAGGTTTTATGAAAATTCATATAAAAATCTATAAAAATTTCGAAAATCGTTCGAATATGTTAACTTTTGAGAATTGACTTAGAGGTAGGCGGGAGAACAATACTATCGTTCGTGGTTCTTTAAAAAAAATGTCGATATTTAAATTTTAGTATTACAAGAATAAAAGCCTTACCTTAAGAGCCTCCCTAAGCATGTGAACTGCCCCTTCCTCCCCGTGACCCCCCGACAGCTGGTCAATAGCTTCTGTCCACTCATTGTCGTAGAGTTCATTGAAATTTTCCCCAATTTTCTGTGGTCTGTTCTTGTCTGATAGATCTGTTATACCTGGATTGTTGTATGTAAGTTTTGTTCCGGCTATTGAACTGAGTCTGCAAGATAAATATTTTATGAAAAATAGATTACAACTTAGGACCAAAAATTGAATATCATTCATATGAAAATTTGCTGCAAATTTCTAATTCTTATATGCAGAGAATTTTATATAAGTTTTTAAGTTAATGTATAGCAGATGAAAAAAACATATTCAAGTAAAACAGAAGTCATTAGAACATTTGACAAAATTCTACGAAGCGGAAAAAGCTACTTTCTTACTTATATTCCATTTTATTTTCATACGAAATTACCTCGTTAGAGCCCTTTCCTTTTCCAATGTCTCTGCCTTTAGTCTACGTTTAGTTTCGTCCAGGTCTCCCTGTAGCGTCGATATGATAAGAATTAGATTATCTACGTCAGTCATCGTGAATCCTTAGACAAAAACATAGTTCACTGATCGAAGGAGTATCCCTTTAAATACATTATCTAGCGTGACGTAATTAATTTTAAACTATTTTTGTTTGTAGTCATGACATAATCGGCTGACAATTCAGAGTAGGCCACAATTTCTCAATATGTTTATTCAACGATATCAGATTTACCAAGATTTTGGATGTATTGAATGTCTTTAAAATCTCGTGACTATATATATGGCTACACCTATGATATATTGATAAATACTTGCTAACAACCATATGGTATGTGACACATTGGTATGCCTTTAATGGATCAGAAATCATGTTCCGAATATTTTTAAAAAATAATTTTATACATAAATTTGAAATTTAAGTTCCTTCTTTCGTCATGTACAAGAAGAAATAATTATAATGCCTCCTCCCAGTCTTTCGTATTCGAATCTAAATTTAATTACTATATTTTATCATATATACCCCGGTATATAAAGTAATATATTCTTTATCAATAAACATCTACGATTCATCCCGACCACACACATACACAGTGAGTGTGTGTCATCAAATATCAATATGTGTAATGACCGAACGGTTATCTTTTTGTTTGTTGTACCAGCTTAACTAAGTTGGTGAATTGTGCGATCATAACCCATTGTATGTATAATGTCACAATTGTTGTTGATCTGTAAAATATTAAGTGCACATGACTGACTCTATTAGATAGAAAAATGTGTGTTTGTGTACAACAATATGATGTGACATTTCTAAGTATTTTCTTTGCAATCATTAATTTCAAATTGTGTGTGTTATTCTTCGTCAATTAATATACCACAGTAAGTTTTATTTGGTGGTGTTTAAATGCACTCATTTCTCATTATGACTGAAATATTTTGAAAGAGACCATAAACAAACATAAACGAATTCTTTCCATCTGGCCGATCATAACAAGAAGCAGACAATGAGTGTACTTCTTATTTCATTGCAACCGATCACCTTTGAAATTTTTCAAATTTCAGTAATAGCACTGCTTCCAAATTGCTTTCTAATGCACTTAAAATGACCAACTACTCGAACAACAAAAAATGTTCGTTGGTCATTTTTAGTGCTTTGTATACATTTTCACTTTGACCATATATCTACTTTTTCAGAAGGTTTCCTGACAAAGGAATTATATAAAGTAAGAGTTATATATTTCAATATAAATTAAAGCCTTTTTTGACAAAAGTGCTAGCAGTTCATGTATTTAATCCTAAAATGTTAATAATAGTTTGCTCTAAGATTAATGTTTTTCTTTCCACTTACTTTTATAAATCATTTGATTTAGTAAAGCATCTAGCAATGGAGGAAAATGAAATTTTCAAGGATTATTTAATGTTCTTAAACATCCTATTGTACGCAAAACGTCCCGTCTTGAAACCTTCCAAAACATATGTTCAGTTCGAATATGCTATTGCCACGAACTACAAGTTTACGAGGTTTGAAATTATCAGACCACAAATAACAATATTAGTAGCACAGCTTATTCAAAATGTTTATTTGTAAAATTCAAAGATGTAACAAAACTTAACAATTAAATAAACAAAACAGCTAAACTTTCTTTAAAAAGAAATATTGGCACTTTTGAAAACATTGCACATGTTCCTATTTGAAGGAAAATATTCAAGACAAAAGGCTAGTTTGCCTTTTCAGTAACATATGTCACTGTTCCAGCATCATAACCAGTCCACATGCAGATCACTGTTCCCTTTGGATTGATCTTTTTGAAATTTCAGACCATCGAGACAACATGAAGCTGTATTTATTCCACAAAGGATTATGCTGAAAAATTGATATTTTTTCAAAAACTTTCAACGATCTTTTTCTCTAGTTTTTGATTTTGACTTTTTGGGTTGAACTACACCCTTCTGTACGAGAGGACCATTTTCGTGTAGTAATACTGCAGGCCACACGAAAAAGTCGACGACATCACCACTTCTAGTAAAAAGTCTGAAGGCATTTTTGTCAACTATTTCTGAAGATCCAAAATCTAAAACCATAGGCGGGTCCTGAATATGCATCATCCAGCAAAGCTCCACACATTTATCAATAAAGGGTTCACAGCAATTTACAACAATTTCATATGGCTGCATGAAACCTGTATCTTCTCTTAAAAACTGAAATGGGAACAAAGATTACATAGGCACGTTTTTTCAAAAAGATAAGGGCATGTAGAAGAAAAAAAATCATTTTTATTATCATAATTCTTTTCAGACATTCAAAAAGTAATGTAAAGAAATAAGGGCTAATAATATCTTGTGTCACATAAAGACGTGTCACACGTATAGAATAATCAGGAAAACATGTATAACTTTGAAGTATATGGTTATGAAATATAAAATGTTTACCTGCTTTGTATTACTGATGGATAACGCAGAAACTTCTTTCTGTAGTTCTGTGATTTTCCTGTAGATTTGTATGAAGCTTTGTGTCTCCGAATTTCTTAGATCTCTCTAAAATAAAATTATTCGAATTACAATGAAATGATTTTAAGAAAAATTAAAAATACATATCAAATAAATAATATACTTCTTCAGCCGAAAACACATTTTATGCGGTGTATTTGTAAACAACCATTTTCATATTAGGTAATTACCTGAAACAGAGCCATTTGAAGATTTCGATACTGCTCCTCAGATGCTTTTTTCGTTTTCTCGTAGACATATCTGAGAACGTCCCTTAGCATTAGAATTGCCTCCTCTTCATCCATAGTTTCTGTGAGTGAATCAATGGCATCTGTCCATTCATTGTCATATAGTTCACTGAACTTTTCTCCCAACTTCTGAGGCCTGTTCTTGTCTGATAAATCAGTTATTCCGGGGTTATTGTATGCAAGCTTTGATCCAGCTATTGAACTCAATCTGAAAAAATACATAACAATTTTTATTAAAAATATTAGTCTGTGTGATATGGTTATGCGTCAACACTTCTAATGCTTCAAAATGTATGAAATATTTACAGTGAAAAGGAGATAACTCGAGTTCCCATTAAAATATATGCTATACATTGAAAATGAAAGTACCTGGTTAAGGCCTGCTCTTTTTCCGATTTTTCCACCTGCAATCGCCGTTTAGCGACATCCAGTTCATACTGCAGCTGGGAAATCATTGTGACAAGTTTTGTTGCGTTACAATCCATCGTGAATTTGTGATTTTGTCTAGTGTAAACCATTTAAGTTGCTGTGTTTATATACATAGTTTTAATCACGTGACTTGAAACCAGTAAAATCTAGAATTTTTTAAACGTGTATTCTAGTTCTTGCCAGAAAATATACCCGTAAACAAGATTATGTAATATATTTTTTTCATTTCTTTGATGACTAATTTATGCCTGTTGTTTTAAAGAACAAAAAGATATATGTTTGAAATAAATATGAAAGATTAAATAAGGAATGTATATATATAGATATGATATTACATGTAATGTATATAAAAACCAAGTGAGTCAATAGAAGACAAAAAAATAAGTTTATCATACTGAATTGCATCTTAAACAAGATTTTTTTGGATAAAATAATTAATGTACGAAGTGCATTTTGCTTTTGTGTATTTTTCCATACATGTGATAAACATAGATTTCATTGATATTGAAAGGGAAGCATTTAAACGTGCAGACTTCATCGGATAAATGTAAAACTAATACCACTGTAGTTAGCCTTACTCTTGCAAAAAAAATACATACCTTCATTCCAATGGGACTAACTACCATTTTCAAATCGAATTTTAAGATAAAAAAAATTATATAACATATATACCCGTCTTTGACCTTGATCTATCTTGCTCCTGCTCTTTTTTCTATCAGTATAAGGAAGATGACCTTTTGACTATATTGTGAAAATGGTGTACTAATAAATGCATTCAGTAAGCTCCCCTGAAGAATCGGACATAAATATACTCCTCTTTTTGTAAATATCTTTAAAAATATGGATATAAATGAAAATATTGCATGGATTTTATACCTGACTAAATTAAAGCCCAAAATGTCAGAAAATATCTATCCGGTCAAAACACGTGTAAATTTAGTTTTTTATCTATTTATCTTTTTTTCTATTTTGTATTTCAATGGAAAGGCATAATGAGTGTTAGATACCCGGTACATGTATATTTTTGAATATCTAAGTGCACGTGGATTATGAAATGTAGCATTGCGCTATTCTCTCATTAGATTTATAGGATGTGGAAGATTCAGAGGTAAATAAAGGACTGGTAAATTTTTTCCAAAATTTTCTGATTGAATGACAATCGTTTATTTCAAATTTTACGATATGACAAAAACTTCAACACATCAATTCTATTTTGATGTTTGAAACGTTTGTTATGAGTAGCATTTGAACGACGTAAAGTTTGCTTTATAAAATTGAAAACATTTTGGTTGTTGTTCTTGAACATCTAAAAAAAAATAAAAAAAAAAAGCATTCTACTATTTTAAATTTGGTGATGACAACTGCATTTACATTTGAAAAAGAGGTATACATCGATCGCAATTTTTCCCAGGTAAAGATGTGATCATTGACATCGATAATATAGTCAAGTATTCGGGGAGTTACATTAGTACACAATCGTTTATTTGCATGTTTACATATATGCATGTACTTAATAAGTGAAGCTTATTCGATTTATATAAGATTTTTAAAAATTAAATTTCATTAAATTACGGGTGGTTTATAAAAGAACTTGAGCGTGAAATATAATAATAAGATTTGTCTTTAGAGAACCTCAAAACACACACTAAACAGGAAGATGAGATACATGTGCTAAATAAAGTTAGAATTTCAATGGATTTTCAAGAATATTTTCCTGCATATTCTGTTTTATAACTCTACCCAATAGATTTATTTTCACCAAGAGAATGGTTGGAGCACGGCATTTCCTTGTATTACACAAATACAATAAGGAAATACACGAGAATTAAGCAAATGAAAAAGTTTTATAGTTTCCCCTCTCGAAATAAACCAAAATAAACCAAAATAATTGAGACAAATCATTTTATTTTCAAACAGTTGCTAAGGCACTGAAAAATATTTGTAAAATTAAAAAAAAATTAGGCCTAATCAAATAACTAAAATGCTGTATAAAGAAAGTTGAAACGTTGGCACATAATTGTATGGAAAATGTTATAGAATTATTCACGTCGCATATTAAATATCCACAGACACTATCTCCGCTTTGACGATTTCTTGGGTTGAACAACACCCTTCTGTACGAGAGGTCCGTTCTCATGCAACAGAACAGCAGGCCATACAACGAAGTCAACAATGTCACCAGTTCTTGTAAAAAATCTGAACATGTTTTTATCTACTATTTCTGATGAACCAAACTCTAAAACCATAGGTGGATCCTGTACGTGCATCATCCAGCAAAGTTCTACACACGTGTCCACAAATGGCTCACAACAATTCATTACGATTTCAAATGGTAACATGAAGTCCGAATCTTCTCTCAGAAACTGAAATTGAAAATAATGATGTTATTTTCATGCATTCTTTGATGAAGTGCAAAGTTCTATTTTTATTTCTTGGTAGCCAACAAAATAAACTTAATATGCTTAAATGGTTTAAACATTTTAATTTCTTTATAGCCAGGGCCTACAATACTACATACCTGCTTGGCATTTTTGATTGACAACTCAGACACATCCTTCTGTAATTCACTAATTTTCTTGTAAATTTCAATGAAATTCTTTGTCTCCGAATTCCGCAAGTCTCTCTGCAACAGAAAAATAAAAATGATGCAAATCGGAAAATCTTTTTCTCAATTTAAACCAAAAACAAAACCATTGCTATATCATATTATTTACCTGGAATAGTGCATTCTGTAAGCTTCGATACTGTTCCTCAGATGCATTTTTTGTTTTCGTGTAAACATACTAAAAAGCAAAGAGGAAAATGTTCGTTGAAACAATACTTCTATCATTCAGAAATCATCGATAATATTTTGTGGTTTTTGTAAAAAAAAAAAAAAAAGAAAGAAAGAAATATTAATGATAAAGCAAATTACACTTCTTTGAATAAACATGGACATTTTAAGGGACCCAAGCATTTCAAATAAGAGAAAAAGACTTTCAGTTACCTCAAGTACTGCTCGAATTTTTAGAACCGCTTCTTTCTCATCCATGGTTTCTGAGAGAATATCTACAGAATCAGTCCATTGATTGTCATATAGTTCATTAAACTTTTCACCAATTTTCTGAGGTCTGTTTACATCAGATAAGTCGGATATGGCTGGATTATTATAAGTGAGCTTCGATCCGGCTATCACACTCAACCTGAAGATATAGTTGTAAACAAATATAAAATATTAATGTATATTTTTTTCAAAACTAAGTTACATGATCATTTATTTCTTTTTTATTTCTTATTCACCATTCCTCATCACTTTATATATATTTAATCACAAATTCAGTTAAGTCATGCTTAAAAAAGATTAATATTTTAAACAAAATCCTGCAAAAGAAGGGGTTTTTACCTTGTTAATGCATTTTCTTTTTCTTCTCTTTCTAATTGAAGTTCCCGTTTTGTTGAGTCCAGCTGATACTGAAGCTGAGATATAAGTGTGACAAGTCTCTCTGTGTTAACGTTCATTTTGTTTATTGTGTACAAGGAGGAATACGGTTCGGTATAAATACTTCACTATGCTTAAAATACACGTGATGTACTGACGAAGTACCATTTCCGCATGTGAGTGAGTAATCAGTGATGGGAAGAGTTTACAAAGAACCAATCACTAATGTATCGATTGTTTTATGTAACTCAACGTTAAATAATTGTAATATTCAAGAATATTGAAACAACTCATTTATCATTTTCTATTTTTAGAGGTCTTATAATAACTATAGAATCCCAGAAGAGGGTGTTGATGTCAACACCCTTTTATATTTGTGTCTTCCTGTATGTATAATGTGCTTAAGTTGAATCTTCATCACAATGAGTTTAAAGATAATGTAAAAATTAATTACATAAGTTTATCATGTTAGATATAACTTTATGAAAAAAGACTCTTTTAAGTCACATATACATCTTTCAAAACATAAAATTAAGAAAGGCACCGAATAGTAAAGATGGTAAACAAATGTTTTGAATATTGGTAAAACATGGCTTTAAGTTTAAAAATCTTTTTGAATATTTATTTGTTGGTAAAAATTTCGATGAGGGGAAGTTTGAACATATGGAACTTTTACTGTATTGCTTTATTTTCGCCTTTTATAATCAAAAGTTAATCTCTCTTAAATTTTAAAGAATAACACTTCTGCTTTTTCCATAACTATTTATTAATTTAGAGAGTACGAAGAACCAATTGCATTATTTCATATATTGCATTTATTGCAAAACTACAAAATTGATATGGAGTAAAAATGAAAATTCTGGCTAAGACAATCCCTTCTGTTCAACAGCTATTCATTGATTACTGTAATTCAAATGTACCTATATGGCCTCTTACAGGAGAGCGGCTATTAAAGAATTCATTATCCAAGGGCATACCACCTGTAAAAGCTCAATAAACGCGCCTTTTAATTTTATTTTAAAAAGAAACATTGTTTTATGTTCTTAAGGGTGCTTTAATTACTAACTAAATTGAGTGCTATATCGTGAATCTTTCTTTTTACTTCAATTGATCAGAAACCTTATCCTTTATGTTTATAGTTATTTTCTTTATTATGTAAGAAATTGCTGTAAAAAATAATTTGTAAAAAAAATGAAATATGACGATCTAAACTTCACTGTAAAAATGATGTCATTTGAATTACTATAGCTAACTATTATTAACTACATGTGTATCGCTCTTTGTTGGGGTTGTTAATTTACAATTATTATTTACAGCTGGTCAATTCTTGGTATTAATAAACTTCACATAGTCCTTTTATTTTACTGAATACTTCGATATCCCTAGTATCCTTTGAAAACTAAAATAATGTCACACACTATTTTTATGTTTTTTAAATTAGAATTTTTATATAATTTGAAAAACCTTTGATATATTAGACACAGTGTGGGTTTTGAACGGTATCTGATTTTCTAAACGGAAGCATGGTGCATGGCGATATTTTTATCAATTTTTATACAAATGTTAATAAATACACATCCTTCCTTCTCAAAAACTAAATGTATCTAAAAAAAATTTCTGATAAATTTTTAAGTACATGAACTTGCAGCATGCCTAATTTGGGGCGAATATTAAAAAAGATGTATAAAAAGTACATGTAGAATTCATAATTACTGAAACAATACATCATTCTATCTTTTGTTTATCTTGTATATTAAAGAAGTTATGTTTGTAACTTTATATCGTAGGATAGTGGATATTCTAACAAACACGGTAAAATATGAAATAAAAAGGACAAAAGCTGATTAACAAATAAACCAAAGAAATCAAATTTTATACAATTTAATATCAAATCAAATAAAAAGATTTCAATTTAAAGGCAGTAATCCAAGTTCATTGAAAATGTTAAAATATAGTTGTTCATTTGCACTACAATAATATATTCTTAGTATATATTAATAATAAAGAATCATCAAAAAATTGTTTGATCAAGGGCTAAGATAAATCATCGTTTGCAAAAGACATTAGAGAGGTTGAGATCTTAAACGTGTACGCGCACGTGTAATTGTGCTTATACTTTGAGGTACACGTACACGTTTTTGTAATTTGTCTGTTGCGATGTTAAAGACGTGTAACAGTACGTGTATAACGCGATCGCAGTCTTTGTTCTTACCATTTAAAAGTTTTGTGGCGTCAATTTGATTTAAGTTATTCAGCAAAACATGATGAAAATAAGTGCTCGTCAAACTAAAAATCCCAAATAATAAATTGATTAATAATGTTCATTATTAAAACTACAAGTTATCCATTACGTGTAGATGTCTTTCTACAAGTTCTAAGAAGTGTTGTAATCTTGACGTCACTGAAACTGATGACGTTATACACACGGAATTTAGGTTATTTCCCTACTAGACGTACCCGTACACGATTGAAATCTCAACCTCTCTATTATAAATTTAAGTTGTGATTTTTAAAAAAAAAGCAGGGTTTAACAATTAAATAAATTAAATGCTGAATAAAATATAGCATAAGAATATAGGTTTAGCTGACAAGTCATGAAATTCTTGACGTTTAATTCATTTTCATCTTTCAACAGTGTATCTTTGCTATCAAACAATGTTAAATATTTTTGCTTGTTTTCAATTTCAGGGTCATTAAACCTAACCTGACCTAGACACAAACGTAAATGAATACCAGATAAGTGAATCTTGCACTTATTTAAACAGTAAAGCACTTTGAGGATACGGCAGTCAGAGAACCGTACATGTATGGCATATGATGGATTGGCGTGCACTCTTTGTATATAGAGTGGTGTACACGCGTATACGCGGCCTCGGTCAGGACAGGTCACCTCGTGGGCCAGGTCTTGGGTCCTTGTTTCACCATGTTGACCTCAAAAGGAGTAATTGAACGTAAAAGATTTAACATAAGAGCTAAACGTTATGAAAATTTGTTATGCATAGATCTATTTATTTGAAACACTGCAACATAGAGTTTATCACGATTTAAAGATGTACAATGAGCATGTACATATACTGAAAGTTTGTGGATTGCATTGCATTGCATTTTAATTATTTTCACTTCATATGCAATTATGTATTTGAAACACAAGTAAAATATTATATGAAACACTCACACAGTATAATCTTATTCACAACTAAATTCAAAATATTTTCCTTATTTTTGATAAACTTTTCTTTTATAATAAATATTATCTAAAAGTGTAAAATAGTTTAATAAGTGTATGAAATAGATAAACGATACACCTTTGGTTTGAAAAACAGGAAATGCTACGGTCAGTAAACCTATCGAACCCTAGTCTTCCTGTTTTGTACGATAAGCTGTGCGTACGGACATGTATCATAGCTAAACGTACGTACAGTTGTACTAAACCGGAAAAGGTTGTATCAAAACAGTTTTGGATTTCAATCAGTCCTTCCAAACTTATTTATCATTGGCAGGAATCAATAGGTACACTTATCTACAATGAGTAAACAAGACTTAGTTTTTATACATCTATTACCGTATATACTCGCCTATAAGTCGGCATTTTTGGAGTTAAATTTTAGTTCAAAACTCTATGTCCGACTTAAAGGCGAGTCATAAAGATATTGGTATTTTTCTGTAATGTGAAATGTAGCATTCCATATATATTTGAAGATTACAAGGCCTAAATATGTATAATTGTTTATGCATTCAAAGATTATAAATATCACGCAGTACAAGTATTCACTTACTATAATGGTATAACTTTGTGCATTAATCATTAATTTGTTTAATTATTTAAAACTAAATTTCGGTATTATTTCGAAAAATATCAATAAATGGGCTAAAAACATGAGTCCATTAATCTGAAATGTCAAATGATTCTAGCAAAAAATTATACCGACTTATAAGCGGGTCAATGGTAAATCCCTTCAAATTTACCTAAAAAAATGTAACCGACTTATAGGCGGACCGACTTATAGGTGAGTATATACTGTACCTTGTTGGGTCAAACAGTTCATTATGATATGGAAACTAGATCAGATCGCCAATTGTGAACATCACACAAGCAATGGACTGTTCATGCAGGGGTTTCTAATAAGAATATTCTGAAAAAGAAATTGAATATGAGCTTATTTTAAACTATATGGTATATATTTCTCGATAAATCTCTTATGAAATCTCCATGTAAACTATAATGGATCGTTTTTACAAGAATACCAATCAATGTTTATTTATCTAAGTAATATTATCAATATTTCATACGTGAAGATGCTGTTCATGCCTTCAATCGTAAAAAAATGTGTAAATGCTTTTTGCTGTTAGTTCTATATTTTTCTTTTTTTGTCACTGAAAAAAAAATTATCAAAACATCAACATTTAAACAATAATCCACATATTTATATAATTGTGATGCTATTCCTGTCTGAAGCAAAAGTCAATGTAAATACAGTGTAGCTACATGTTAATTAATTTTTTAAATCAGTTCTTAGCTGAGGTTTGCAAATTATCAAAATGAAAGATGGATAACTTGACATGCTTTAGAAAACACCTATTTCATAAACAAATAACAAAGAACAACTTTGAAATAATGTTACCTGTCACCTCATGTATTTGTCAATTGTGAAGCTGTTTGGTAGTTACCAATAAACCCTATCGTATCAGGTTATCCTTAAATTAAGGCACACATAATGTACAAACTGATGCCTGTACCAATGAACCAGAAAGTGAAGTAAAGTGAGAACAAAAAAAATACTCAACTGCCAGTCAGGTAGCGATTAATTTGGTCTTATATATATATATTTTAACAAAAAACAAAGAAATGGTTGTATACTATACACAACTTAATAGCAGTCTAAAATCTTGGTTTGCTTTTTAAGTGATAAACCCAAATTAATTTATTCGTCATAGAGATGTTGGATATTTTTATGAAAAAGTTCTCCTTTTCAATCTTATTTGCTTTTGGACAGTTATTCCTTTTTGCAGGTAAATTTAATTTTTGATACACCTTCCTTAACTATATTTTCTTTGCTTCGAATTCAAACATTTTTTTTTACATTTATATTTGTATTAAATTTCCTTTGCATTATCTAGGAGGGTCATGCACATTTCCCAGTTACTTGGTTGGAGAGTGGACAAGTGCAGAAAGGGGCAGTCTTACCATCACAACAAATTCCATTTATAACTACAAAGTTTTCATTCCATCAGCGGACCCGAATAATCCGACGATTGAATATTATAATTTTACGTGTCTCACTCAAGTCAACACAAATCGCTTTACAATCAAGTAAGTTTTTATACCAATAGACAAAAGATTAGTTTTTAGTCTTTTTACATAAATTTTCAAGGCAAATATATATTAATCGACTTCCAAATGTACATGTCTATAAAGCATGTAAAATTGCAAGTTCAAACTCTTCTTTTTCAAATACAATTTAACAAACTACTATAAACAACTTAAGATATTTTCATTTAATATTATCTTTAAATGATGAAGACGTTACACTGCATGAAAAAAATACGTTATGATTATTCAGTACAGTAATTTGAAAATATCTTTTTTTTTAGATCAGTTAACTTCAATGTCATATTTGGAACCAATGTCTTCTTTTATGTCTGCCTTGATTTCTACAATGTGAATGACCAATTAAACTACTACTACTATGCCACAGGTACTGTACATTAATGAAGTATTGAATGAATCATAACTTAATATGATTAGTAGTTTGTTAAATTGTATTTAAAAAGATAGAGGCGAGTTTGAACTTGCAATTTTTATGCTATATATTATACATTTGGAAGTCTATAAATTTGATTTGAAAATTTAGGTAAAAACAAAAAATTTTCTATGAATTTTTTATATGCATACTTTTGGGTTAAGAGGAACTTGGCAATCAATAACATTTATGATATGAATGATAAATACTTCCATGAAAATTAAAGTCCAAGGACATATTTCATATTTCAAATTACATGTATAAGCACAACAAACACGGACATCTAATTAAAAAGCATTGGTAGAATCAGACGCAATGAAAGAGTTATAATATTCTGTCAGACGAATTAAGATTTTTTTTTTCAGTAGAAAAGATTAATATCCAAACGTTTTCTTCATTAAAATTTCTATCTAGGTAGACCTGTACAAAACAACCTTCAGTACATTTCATCACATTTATTTTTTCCTAGGCAATAATCTAATTTTACATTAAAATATTTTTCTCTTATTTTATGGTAATATTAATTCATGGCTAGGAAAATAAACTTCAAAGTTTACCCAAGAGTGAAAGATTTGATCCCACTGTTACTTCCAGCATTCCTTGTTTTGGACCTGTTCATAATTTGTATCATTTTCAGGACTTTCTAGAATGATCACTATATATTTCCATTTCCAATTGTTTTCTCTATGATAAACACTACAAAAGTGTTTCTTGTTAATTCCATGATAATACCCTGTGGTATGTATATTTCTCTATTGTGTATAAATATACTCAAGAAAAAATAGATGTTTTAATTGTTTACTAAGTAATTTGATATGATATATATTTTTTTAACAAACAAAATAAATAATGAATTATTTCGGCTCGAAAGCAAGTCACTATGCAACGCTGTCCACTATAACCGAGGCATCGCGAGTCCGAGAACACCACTTCCGTAACAGCCACGTGGAGAAATTGACATTATGGATCTGTACGTACTCTATCATCTGATACAGACATCGTCCCTTAGTCATTACCATCCGACTTCTTAAGCAACTCAACTTCTTCTGTTATTATAACATCCATACAAATCGGTTTCCTGACCATGCTGACCATCTCCCGTTTCAGCAACATTGCATTCAATATGGCGGCGGAGAAGTGACATAGTGCTTACTTAGTATTTATATTCCTGCTTCCGACAACCTGAATCTAGGTCACATAATTAAAGTCAACAAGATTACTTTGATCATCATTTAAAATTCTTTTGTTGTTTATTTTATAAACGTTGATATTTGACCACGGTAAATATAAATAGTCAATAAATTGTTTCGTTTTTTGGGGAACTATTTTTTATAGTAAAATTTGACGTCATGGGGCTTTGTGCATTTCAAATCTACTCAATTAGACGGTATTTCGATTTATTTTAAGATGGTTATTTCAAGTAAAAATGGAAATATAAGGAATACTAGTTTTGAGGGTATGCCAGGGAATAGGATAATTTTAGCATAACGGGCTTCGCCCGTTATAATTGTTGATGCCCTTGATAGACAGTGATTCCTTAAATAACCATTTTAATGTTTGATGCTTAACCTGTGTGTTTTCTGTTTTTAGCCATAGATAACTTGATACGTGAGAATATGGTGGGTATTGCTGAGGATAGGTCTAATGCTCAGGAGAGTATCTGTACTAGGAGCTACATAGATCCTGTCAACTTCATTACGTTACTACGGAAAGGTATAACGATGAATTAGGAATAAATAAAAAACGAAAGATTTCTGAACTTTTATCGTGCTTAGTCAGTCTTAGTCATACGGCGTATTTTCATTCTCTATATATATTATATATCAAGGTTATCATTAATAGTAGTATATATGTTTACAGTATTAAAGACACATTGTGTCTTGTTTGTCACTTGCCAAAAACTTTTGGTATAGATAAATGTAATAAATTTGCTTTTTTTTATAGATGCAGTAGAAAGTAATGCCATCCAGACTCTATGTCCTGACATCTTACAAATGGTTTATAATAACATCACATTTATAAGTAACTCGGGTACTTCAGACAACTGTGCTGCAGCACAACTCGATGGCTGCACAAACAAAACTATGCTCAACTTTACACAAGATGGATGCACTCAGACAACACTCTCAGGTATGGGGCAGGTTTTTTTACACGATGATAAAACGTCGATTTGCAAAAAATTGGTACTAATAGCAAAGAAGATGATCTTTGATTTTATTTTAGATGGCGGTGTTTACACGTGTATCTATTCGAAAACAGTGAGCGGACAGTTATATTTTTCTGCCTGGAATAATGATGAGACCATTTCGTCGACAACTTACAGATTTTCCTGCTTTGTAAGTATAATATAGTTTACATAATAAAATAAATGTTATGCATTTAGATTTATATCAAAGAAACTGTCCCTCTGCTGTATCTAAAAGTGCACGATATTAGTGAAACAATTGCTTTCAGAAAGTGACAAACTACCTGAATGGCACAGTGTTGCTGGAGGAGAATCCAAACTTTTGTGGAAATTCAGTAAACTTTACGGAGTATCCCTCTGCTAGCGCTTCTGTGGAGATCAAAGGCATCATAGGTAGTTCACAAGTTTAATTGTTTTAGGTTAATTGTTTATTAAACTACATCACGTTCGTCATGCATCTAAAAACACTAAATAAATATGCTTAACGTACTCAATCATAATTCTTTATTTCAGATTCCTGTCAAACTGTGCTACCAAGTAAGACAGTCAGTTCTTCAGAATAAAAAATCAAGTTACATGTATTTGATAATATTCATGTTCTGCAAGAAATATTCTCGAAAACTTCTTTTTCTTATATTTTGGCAGCAACAACTGAAGCCCCTTTCGTTGCCGACCTAAACTACCTCTTCATACTTTTGGGACTGTTTATGATTGTCGTAATTATTCTATCTGTAATGTTAATCAAACGCCTAAAACTTTATGTGAAGAAGAGAAATGAGGAAAAGGCATTCGATGTAAGAAAAGGAGAAAAAGTAAGACCAGAACATTTCAACCCCAAAAGAGCAATCGTCAACAAATCCAAACCTGTCAACTATTTTAAACCTAAACGACCTATCCAAATCGTACCTTTATTCAAATCTGAATTTAGTATCGAAAATCTACCCATCCATCCGCCTCCAAAGATAGCCTGCATTTACACGGATTCAATCGTGGATTACATGAGAGGGAGAATACGGAGACCAGATGGTCTTAGTCTCTATAGCTTTGATTCCGCCATCTTCAGAGCCACAAGTCCACTATCGACCATTTCTGTTATCAGTAGAGACACGCTTGATGAAGAGGATGATGATGATGAAGTTTCTTTCGGGTCGGCATCTTGTTAATGCAGTTAGATATTGAAATATACTGAAACATAGATTAATAACTTTTTTTCTGAAAGTTGTAGAAATGACATATGTGAACTCAAATAAATATTTGAAATTATATGAATGTTGTTTTAATTGACATGTCTTTCAGTATGGTTAGGGGGAATACTTATCATTTAGTATAGTCATATTAAATTGGGAAATTTATTATCATTTCTTAAATTTTAGTTGAGTAAAAAAAAAGCAGTGCTATCGCTCTCAGAAGATGTAACCACAAGCATTTTGCGAGAGAAAGACCTAATTTTTACCCTCGGACCTCAAACAATTCTTTCTCTAAACAATAGTTTGTGGCGTTTATCCTTCACACCTGGTATTGTTCAAACTTAAGTTATCTCCCGTTATCCAGATTAGTTTTCTCCTTAACATTTTGATGAAATCCAAGCACTACAATGGCTATGTATTATTGCTTAATTGTCCGCTAATCCGTTTTCGCCTTACATTCATCTCTTCTTTATCTAACATTTTTGGACATTTAATTTAGAATATTTCACTGTTTGAATGTGTGTGCGTTTTTCAAGTACAATACATGACATTTATTTTCCCTTTAAACTGATCGATTATAATGCATTTAGATAAACATGCTTTCGACCAACTTGAATAGCCAACCCCCGACCCATTAAAATGAATGAAAGGAACGAATCTTTATTGAAAGGACTAGACATTCAAGCTTAAATAAAAATATTAAATATATCGCGAATATTTTAGTTATTGCAAAGTCTACAACTTGGAAGAACTAAACCATGGATTTGTGATGCATATTTTCAGAATTTATGAAGGTAAATATCCTTTTAATATTGGTTTATGTCACAACACATTGTTGAACAAAGGAAATTGTGTTTACCGAGATTACTTCGGTTAATATAATGAGTAATTTTTTTCTAGATATTTTAGTAGTTATATTCGCTACCTATTGTTAATTGTGCCTTGAGTTGCCTTACCAATCAGGTATAGGTTTCTGTTATCTTAAATGAGTATGAATTCATAGACTTTTTTTTCATTTTAAAGGTCGCCCAATTCATGCATAATGTAATAAACCAGGGAAATCAATACTCCTTATCCCAGGATCACTGAAAGAAAATGCAGAATAGAATGAAGTGGTTTATTTTCCTGCTTGCTTTCGTAAATATTACAGGTAACTCTCTCCTTCTCTCTCTCTCTCTCTCTCTCTCTCTCTCTCTCTCACTCTCTCTCTCTCTCTCTCAGGAACTCCACAAAAAATTATTTTAAGTTTCTGCTAGAACTACATGTATTTTGTGAGAAAAACCTTCAGGTTTATCGATTTTGAAAAGTACGTTTAATTTTAATTTCTATTTAAAATAGTGGAATTGTAAATATTGGTGTCCATGTGTATGGCTATTAGAATATATTTAAACATTCCTTATATTACAATGAAACCAGTTGTGGAGCATTGTAAAGGATAATTGATATTGACACAAATCGGAATCAATGTTGTTTGTTTAAAGAGTCTGCAAAATCAATCACTCACAGTGCCGTAAAATGTTCCAATGAATTATTTTTCTAGCGATTTCTGCATCGTCATGTCAGTTCCCGGCGGATCTAAGAGGAGCGTGGATCAGTTCTGACAAGGGATTCCTCAGATTCGGCGAGTCTGTTATTTATGATTACCCCGTCATTTTACCAGGAGTGACGTCAGTTGACTTCCTCTGTTCAGAAAATAATGGAACATACTATCTTCTCAAGTAATTATATTTTTCCCTTTTCATATCTTTCTTTATTTTCATGGAATAATGTTGTGACCTATGAGATATCTATAAATATATTCATGTAAATCAAATTAATCAAATGCTTATGCAAGGTTTTCAGTACTACATATAAGTTGTTATTCGAATTTTTATATGATTTTTGATATTCTTTTGACATCTACAGCAGCAACGATTACTATCTGTTTTAAAAACATGATATGATTTTTTTTTCTTGCTATAGATCTTCGACAGATATCAACGTGTTTTCTTTGGAAGTCAGCGTGTTTGTTTGCCTTAGTTTTGAACGAGTGAGATCTGACAATTATATTTATTATGTTGAGACACCCCTAGACTCCACAGTTAAGGAGAATGTGTATGCTTATTCAAATCCTGTAAACGTATCTATGGATGTTGTGTGCAGTCTTCCCAAGACAACCGACAACATGTATAGCTTAATTAAAAATGGTAAGAAATGTTAACTTTGTTTTTAAGTTACTTAATATTCAAGAATATTTCACCGCCATTATAGTTTTAAGATACGATTTAACAAAATGTAAAATAAAAGAAAATTATTTTTTAAAAAATCTAGAAAGTACTTTAGCCACGAAGTACTGAAATAGACCCTGTCACCAAAATTGCACATTACAGGGTTCGACATTAATGTAACAAAAATATTAATAGCATTAAAATATTTTATAAATTTTAAGACAAAAAAATACAATTGTTTTCTTTTAATAGTTTCAACTGCAGATATAGTAAGTATCGAATGTCCCAACTTTTTGCGGAAATCCTTCGTAAACCTTAACTCCGAAGAAAATGGTATGGAAAACGTTTGTGTAAATGGTAGTGTCAACGGTTGTCTGAAGAACACGCAGCTCACTATCACAAGTCCATCTTGCCATTCCAGTATCCATATACCAGGTACAGAGGACATACTTCAAAATATTTTTGCATGAAATATCTCTTTTCTTGACACCTGAACCGATTCATGCTAATTTCAAGTAATAGGCCTTTGTTTTACACCAAATTTGACTTTGGAAGGTTTCGTCAACTTGCTCGAAACATAGGGCTTACTGCGAGTATAGTCGGTAAACGGAGATCGATGCTTACTCCTCCTTGGCACATGATCCCACCTATTAATTTTCAGAGGGAGGGGTGTGTTTATGTACAAATATTATTCATAGATTTATTTTTTTTAGATCAATGATGTTTGTTAACTTCATCTTCTTTATACACATTTTTTTAAATCTAATTATATGGTACCAATCCCAGTAATGATAATTAATATTACCGGCTACTAATATTTTGTTGTTTTTGTTAAACATTTTCAGATAACCTTTCTGTGAATTGTCTGTTTTATGAAACGGAAAATGACGTCACATATTTGTATACGTGGACAGCTGATACTGCCTCTATATCAAAAAGAGACCATGGATTTATTTGTATTGTGAGTATGAAATATAAATAATTTGTTTTCAAGATTAATTATAAATCAGAAGTTTTTGGTTGCGATTACCAAACTCAAAAATAAGTAAAATAACGTATAGATGCACGTTTTTTTGTATACTAGTGTATATTTTTTACTTTAAATTCCATCTCAAAATAATGTTTTAAGTCTAGCAAAATAAATGCAGCCGATTTGTCTGAAATTAATTAGATTAAAATATTTTAATTTAATGAGTTAGTTTTCATTATAGGAAATCACCCATAACGAATCCTCTGCAACTTTTCGGTTATTTAATGATACATGCACAGATGCCTCAAAGAATACAGAATTTCTCACCCTGAAGTCAAAAGAAATTCATGGTGAAGATCAATTTTATTTTGAATAAATGTTATGTTGTATCAATAGAAATTTATATAAAAGTATTTTTTATTATTGATGAATTACTTTTAATTCTACGTCTTTTTCAGAAATCTGTCGACCAACCACACCAGGTAAATATACCTTACAAAATAATTTTTTTTCTCCGTCATTTCTTGTGTCAAATGGAGGGTTGCATAGAAGCGGTCATTTTAAAATTATCATTTGTCAAAATACCACGTCAAACTAAAGACCTAGTTGAAATTCTAAAAAAAAAAAAAAATTAAAAATCGATCTTATATGTATGATTATTTTATTATAAGTACATTGTAGATACAGATTGGCTTATCTAATATATTTACTAATAGATATAAATAATTTTGTTTTGCAGCCCCTCCACCTAATAGGGGAACGGGACATGCAAACTCCCCCAAAAAGATAAAGAGTTCCACAAATTGGGCCATCTATTTTGCCATTGTTGTCTGCATCATCATAATCATCGGTTTTATTGTTATCATCATCAAATTCTTTCGAAAACAAATGTGGGATTTCTTCACAAAGAAGCCTCCTCAACAAACCGAGAAAGCTACTTTCTCCGACATTGCAGCTAATTCTACGGATACTTTAGAAACACAAAAATATTAGTATAAATTTCGATTTCATTTTAATCACTTTGAATTTGAAAGTTATAATATGTTGCAAATTATAAGGTAATTTTGATTTTAAAAAATATTTGAACATGCCATTTTACAGTTGATTTCATCGTTAATTAATTCAATTTTGATAACTTTTGCACCTACAGAAACAACAGTAACTATTTACTTATTTATATGATTATATTATTATGTATATCAAGTTGTACTTTTCATACATCAAATGTCTATAAAATAGACGATTGGTCCTTATACACGTTTCTTTAGTTAGAATGAACTTTTGTTGGTCTTTCAGTATCTACTGCATACATGTAGATATTATTTTTAAAAATACCACTGAAATAAATTCAAATTCAAAGCATTGAGTCGATATTACATTTATTTATCAAATTGGAAAATCCAACGTACAGACTTCTAACGTTTTTGAAAACCTTTCCGTTTCTTCTTGGTTCCTTTCTTCTTTTTCCTTCCATTCTTAGAATTTTTCTTTTCCTTAGGTTTTTCCTTCACTGTAACAATACCTCCGGGATGCATTTGCTGATAACCAGAAACATGGTTTGAAATTAATGGCAAATGAAAAGTTGTCTGTCGTCCATATTTGATGGTGCGTTGAGATTGCTTTGTGCTGACCGTAGATGTACTTGGTGCTTGTAAGTAGGCTTTATAGTCTAGAGGATGAACACCGGGTAAAGGTGGGAGATTGGACAATCGAGTGAAACTGAACCGGAAAGGCAAATCTGTGTCACTGTCACTATCTAGAGAAACCGTGTCATAATCTGCAATGGAATAATGTTTACAAAATACATACAGTTTTCCTAGATCCACTGAGAACAAACTGTAAAAGTTGCTGGAAAAAATGTTCATTTATTTTCAAACGCGCGACAGAAAAAAAAGCTATTGAAACACATTTTCAATTCGATATCTGATTTTTCAGGGAAATATTTAACACACTATTTTGAAGGATTCTTTTCATGTTTCTCGTATGTAACCTATCATTTCGTTATATTTTTCTATGTTAATTAACAAAATCTATGAATCATATATTCATTTAAAAATAAAATAATGGACCTGTCAGTTTTTTGCGTCTAACGGACAGATTTTTCTAACATAATAGGCAATTCAGATCTGAATAATGCTAATAAATAAAATGGAAATCTTACATTGTAGGCTACATGTCAGGTGGAACAATTGAAGTGAATTGTAAAATTTAAGCTTACTGCAAATTTAATTTTTCATCATTTGAATGAAATGTCCACCACTTCAGTCAACAATGTAAAGTTTTTTTTCTGTCTCTCTCACTGTTTTTTGTTTGAACAAAATAAATTAAATAATCAGATAGATCAAATAATTACTTTTCCCTTGACAATATTTAATATTGATTTTGAATACAATTTTGCACCCCAAATGTTAATTGTTAATTGCAATATTGTCAATTTTGAAATATTGAAGATGATGTTCCGTTTAAATCTAGATGCAATATAACACCCTTGTCAATTTTGAATGCATTGCCTTTTGGTACATCGTACAATGAAGATGATGTTCCGTTTCATGGAAAACACATTCAGTGCAGAAAAGAAACTTCTTTCTTACAAAGTATCAATAAGTCAATAAGTTCTACTATACAGAATGGTATATTTTTCAGGTCTTTGTATCAGTAAAAGACGAAAAATGTCATCCAACTTTTAGTAAATCGATTTTTTTTAATTTTTCTGACTTACCTATGGAGCTTGAGTATGCTGTTGATCGAGTAGACTGAATTATTCCGGAATTCGGAAGTCTTGTTTGTGAGTTGCCCATGGTCTCTCTGATGCCAACCTTTCCCGAGCTACATCCAACAACATTTCCCAGTTTAAGGAAGAATACTGATCTGTGCAATTAATGCACTGCAGAAACTATTTAATCCCCCTGGAAGTAATTCAAATACATTTATTGAAAGTTCTATCCATCATACTGGAATATAATACATTAAATTATGAAAAGCAGACAATCAATCAAAAGACGAATCGTTCTGAGATCTAAGGAAACTAAGAAAACTTACCATTATTTTGGCATGATGAATGTTTTAGTGTGCTTAATTGTTACGTTAAAGGAATTTAATCTTTTAAAGGTAAACACAGTCTCTAGCAATAATTGAGCGGATTAAGATAACCAGAATTAAGTAAACTACACTGTGTATTAAGGCATGTTTTAAGTTGATCGAATACGATTCAATATTCAAAATGTCAAAATTTTGTTTCTTATAAGATTGAAAAAAAAAATAGGGTAGATACATCTGTACAGTGCAAAAAAGATGTTTACTTGTATAACTTGTTTGTTGATATTTCTACATGTACCTACAAATATTTACATGTTTTTACATTTCAGACATTTCTCCTTTATAATAAAAATTGTCAGTATAAATAATGATTCTTTTCCGTTTGATAGTGTCGTACCATTTGCGGTCTAAAGATGACTAGCATTATGTCATCCCTGGTATTGCTTTTGAATATATAAACTAAAAATGTGAATCAATGATGAAACAATTGAAAAAGAGAGATGTTTTCAATTTTTTTTTGTAACTTAAAAATGAACGTAGACTCCGCTTTAATGAAATCAATTAATAGCCACGAACATTATATAATGGCATGTAGATTACTTTTAAATAAGTTTAACTTGGTTATGTAGGTTATTTTCCATATGTTTATTATGTATTCAGCTTACAATTGTAAACATATTTTTCTATTATTTAAATTTGTTTACTTGAATCAGATCTCGTTGCTTACATTTAATCTGTAAAGTATTTTTAGAATGCATGAATTTAAAGAATTTACTCATTCAGTTTGAATATTTAAGAGCAGACGTAATCGCCCGCTTGGCGCTGTGGTTAGAGCGTTTGGTCAAGAGTTTTGGTGTAAGGAGTCCTTACGTCTCAGGTTCGAATCCTATATCGGAAAATGGAGTGTAGTCCTTCGGACGATTAACACCTAGAAAGAGATATAACCTGATGCAGTACGCGCGGACACGAAAAAGATCCATCAATACTCAATGTATCTGGATGCCAATAAATTTGCAGCACTCTACCAGCATGTAGTTGTGGCTCAAATTAAAAATTCTCGAAAGGGTCGTGATACAATCAGCAAAATATAAAAGCAGACTTTTTAACAGCTCCCCAGGGCAGCTTACTTGAACAACATATAACGTACTCCAAAGGTGACTTAATTACACCGCTTCTAGTATTTAGAACAGTGCAACATTGAGTATAATATGCATCTTTTTAAGAATAAATTGTTGAAGGAGAAGAAAGAAGCATTTTCTTCTTTGTATATGGTATTTACTTTACTAAATATCTTACAAATGCTTTCTGCTTGAAATGTTCCTTGGTCAAAATATAACAAATTTAAATTATATCATTATTGTATATGGTATTTACTTTACTAAATATCTTACAAATGCTTTCTGCTTGAAATGTTCCTTGGTCAAAATATAATAAATTTAAATTATATCATCAGCTCATATATTTCTCTTTTTTTATTCTCCTTAATTTGCCTTGTCATACACATTTCTACTGAATATATGCATGTATATATTTATATTTTTCAATGTTATATTAATAATATTTACTTCTACATGTATGACTTGATCTTGTATCGTGGAAAGGACTTATATAGGCAGTGCCTGCTGTCCAATCCAATTATGTTTATTCATAATAAAATATTGTTTAAATTAAAAATATATATGTAACAAAAAAATGAAGTCGCCAACTTTATTATATTCATTCATTTCATATGAAAGTTAAATTAGCTTCATAAAAACAACAATGTAACAAACAATCGGCTCCATGAAGAGCAGAAAGGGTCCATCTGAAAATTCTTGTCAGAAACTTCTTCACATAGACGAAAAATAAGCCATCCTTTCATGAGTACAAATAAATAGATAGAGGCTCTGAGAGAATTCTTTCGAAGTCTCCAAAATATATTACACTTTATCGGAACACCTTTTCTTATTTCTTAAAGAACATATAGATTTGCATTCAAAATACCTTTCAAGTTACAATTTGTATTTTCGACCAGACGATCTTGACAGTCCCTGACTTTAACAGTGTATCAAAATAAGTTTACTAAAATTCCAAATTTAGAATCTTTTAACCTTGAGGTTCCATGTAGTTTGACAAAGGGGACTGGCCTTGATAATCGTACATAGTACATTCAAACAGAAAAGAAAACGTTAGTTGCATTACTTGGATTACATCAGAGAGAACGTGAACGTTTGCCAAAAAAATCATCCATATGTAATTCCAAATTCTGGCAAATATGTTTTTTTTTTTTGTGTGGGTGACATATAAGATCATAAGTTCGGAAGATAAAAAAAGGAAATACTGAAGGTCTCATTGAAGCCATCTAGAGACCATTTCGCCTATTTGTTTTAATCTGACCCTTTTAAAACGGACAAAAAATTGTTCAATGCGATTGTATATGTTACTCCCACAAGTCCTGAAATATTGAATACACACTTAAGCATTGAATATTCCCAGACCCCCCCCCCCCCCCCCCTTTGGAATAAGGTATCTATTTTAGGCAAAATTGTAAAACTTAAACCATCCAAATCGTAAATACATTTTAAATCTGAACTCATGTATATATTACAAGCAATAAAAATACAAAAAAGAAAAGACGAACACAAAGTGAATTGGAATTGAAATTTTGTACAGATGATTCATATATCAGATGATTCGCAAAGGGAAACTGAAGTTGATACCGTGTGATATGCCCTTCAGCATAATGAATTTTATATATACAATTGCACCAATGTGTCTTATTAAAGTTAAAAATAATAAAATAACAACATTCCCCTAAAACATTAACAAATTAACCATATTTAACATCTCAAGTAGTCCTTCATTCAAAACCAAAACAATGTCTTGGATTACACATTTTGCCATTTATACATCTAATTCATACTATGCATATGAACATTTGTTCACTTTTTAGACATTTTACGATTTTTATTCCCGGGTTCTTTCGAACTCTGTTTTTCAAGCTTTGGTTTTCCTGTTGTCTTTTTCTTGTCTTTCTCCTTTTCCTTGTCCTTTTCTCTGTCTTTTTCCTCCTTTTTGTCCTCTTTTTTCTCCAGCTCCTCGGAAGCCTTGCTTTCTCTTTTAAGTTTTGATTTCTTTATCTCTAAGATATCGTGAAGTGTGTTTCGTTTGGGATCTGCAAGAGCTCCAACATCAAAACTCTTCTTGGAGACAATTTTGGGAAGAAGCACGAACTTAGCGATATTGTAGAAATTAAATGGATTGTCCTCATCTACGCTGTCCACAGATATTGCATCATCGTCTGCAAATGGAAAATAAATCTTTTAATTCATTGCGCATGCGCGAATTGTTGTTGATGACATTGATTAGTTAAAAGAAGATTTTTAACTCACCGTGCAGAGAGGTGCTCCAGTTACTATGTGCTGTGAACTATTGCTATGACAGCGTGGTCAGAAGATACTGACTTCTACAGTTCTAATCAAGTGACGTGAAACTAAATAAGCTATAAGCATGTGGTGTTAATCATCGACACAAACAATCGTGTTAGTTTTTGTGAACAAACTTTATTGCATTTATCAAAACATAGTTTAAAACAAGTATCACATTTTTTATCACAATTCCTTATATCACAGTAAATTAACTTAATTAATTGACCCGAGAATCATTTGATCAAATCATAGTACAAACTCCTCCGACATACAACACAACTCTAAACTAAACGTAGTCTAAATTGTCAAACCCCATACACTCAGTCCTGGGAAAGCATACACCAACTAAGAGAGTAATGTAATAGCTAGACACTAAAAGAAGGAAAACAACCAAAAACATAATCATAAAACAAAAACAAAACGGATTATATATACACAAACTGATTTGACAGATATGGTCGTTTAAATCGTAATGTCAATAATAGCTTGAATCTTCGTATCTCATTTATTTCGAATCCTCGTAAATGGGACTCTCTCTTATCGCGGAAGCACAGTTTGCGTAATCAGGACTTGCACAGACGACTCCGTTATAATAGACAGACTCCGCTGAACTGTATAGTTTCTCAAATGAACGATATAACTGATCGTATGAATGGTAAAGAAAGCGGTCTTCTGAACGATGGATTTCCCTTAGTCCTACAATACCAAAGTTTGAGACGTATTTTATTAATTTGTATTACATTAGATAGGAATGGATCATTTGAGCTATAGTGTGGTATCTTTGGGTCGAAGAAGGTAGAATGGTTTGGAAGGAATCGGCATGACTTTCCTCGTTGAAAATTATTGGAAACTTTAAGGACAATGTGTTTAAAGGAACACAAAATCAAGGAAATGCTTTTGAAATAGGACAAAGGGGTGTAACTCAATAATAATAAATTAAAAGAATATATTAAAATTACATTGTACTCTTTCTTTCTCTTTTTCCTTCTCTCTCTCTCACATGAATACTCACTATTGCATATTTATCTTATTCATTAGATAATTCATACATAAAAATGTAGTTATTGCATTGTTACGTACTGTGAATGAGATGATTAAAATGGAAAATGGAATACATACATTTAGGCAATCAGTTGATGTCTAGTTTTATATATTATACATAGAAAGGCAGTTGATGATTGATCCTCTATAACACTATATATTCACACATGTTAGAAAAAAGTTAGTACAGTGAAAGGCATGGCACAGTAAGAACACAATATCCACAGAATTAGTATCAATCAATGCAATAAGCTCCAAATATAGTTATTATTTAACATTTTAAAAATATTTAACGTATGTAAAGTGTATAAAAGATAAAGACTTTATGTTTTACGTTTAACAGTTTCAGGTGGAGGAATATGTCTATCAATTAAAAATGCAGAAACATCACAAGTGAATAGACTGGCTAGCGAACCTCGTCTTGCAGGTTTACTGGTGTCCTTCTTGTCTGACAACGCATACAGGGGCTCCACCTTTGGAAGGATGTCGAGATTAGGCTCCACAATTGGCCCAATTCGAAGTGGTCTCTTCGCTTTGAATCCTGGGATTGGATCCAATTTGTTCATTCTGAATACTGTATTAGTCACGTGTTCTCCCTGCTCTACGCTGCTTTCTGGTGAACTAGGTCGCTGCTTTTTGCATTTATCGAGAGAACAATAGCCTTTCTTTTTCAGAATAATAATCAAGATAATTAAGGCTATGATAAATAAGGCACCTAATACTATTGTGATGTAGTACACAGCACTTGATCCACCTTCAACTTCATCATCTGAAAGTAAGATCTAAAGCATTATAGACATTCTCCTGCTGGAGATGTTCTTTGTTTCTTAAAATAAAAATCTCTAACAATGTTATGGTTTATTATCTTAATGCATTCTTATAAATAATAAAAGCAGCGCCAATATATGTTGCTTAGTATTATTATACACGTATGATACAAAGAGGAACTATTTTAAGAGTAACAGCACGCAAAGGTAAGGTAAATTACTTACAACAAGTCTGAGTAGCTCCTGTAAATGACATTGTCAGACCTGGAGATGAAACTGTGGATGCTGTCTGTGTACTGTCTGAGCAATAGTTTGGGAACATGGAGGCGGACGCACCACTGATAACCTGCAAAACAGTATACCCATGTATTATCAGAAAAGGAAAGGACTTACTTGCTTTAAATAAGACTATCAAAACGGTAAACCTATGTATCAACTGACGAATAAAGAAAAAGAACCTGATTGAAATTAGACTAACTTTTTGTTTTGGTTGTAATTATATGACTCGTGATACGTACTAAACAGGCAAACTGGTAGTTTACTCCAGACGTGTATGCGTAGGACGTGGTCCCAACAACTGTACTGTCATTGTTCCAGAGCGAGAGGTAGGTGCTTCCTCCGCTACTTATACTATGCATGCAGGTCCAGAAACCACCAGCTACAATATGACAATAATTTACTTCTTCAATAATAATTCAAAAATAAAAAGGATCCTTTAACATCCGTTTCTAATACTACCAAGTTCAATAAATCGACCCAACACACAGATAAAAGAAAGCAAATTTTGTTTTTGAATATATAAAACTGAAAAATTGTGGTTAATATTTTAGGATAATATATTTTTCTCCATTTTAATATGTATAGAGTAATTTGTATGACGTAAGTAGTAAGATATTGTCTCTCTGGACATATTCGAAATAAATCTAATAATATAGACCTTAAAAGATGTAAAATTGATTTTACTTGAAAATTTATGTGTGTTTCCACATCCACCGTCATACGTGAACCTCATCTCTGTCCTGTCGGTACAGCCATCCATTGCGTTACTGGAACATGACGTACTTCCGGTAGAGTCGGTTATTGAAACAGAGCTATATGACGCCAATAGATCAGTCGCACACGTAGCCTCTGAAGCTCCCGTCGTAATTGTACCTAATATAAGAAAGGAACTCTTCTACACTGAAGTTTTAACATAAATCTTATTTTAATGACAATTAGATTCATAAGTTATTTGCTAGATAATGCTTCTGACAAGTAATATTATTCGACCAAAAACACTTTTGGGACTTTTTGGTTTTATCGTTATCACCAGTTATGACTGTTTGTTCAATTAATTAATGCATTAAATTCATTATTACTGTGACAGACGCAGTTTATTCTTTTTTATTTACCGTAGTAAAACTAATTTCTATTCTTTATTGCACTTGCATGATAAAAGTTACATATATCATTCAATTTTCAGGAGTAAATTGATAATTTCTTTAAACATATAATGGAATATTCAAATAACATTCTCTCACCTTTGGATCTGCATTTGATTAATTGTGCATGTGCTTTTCGCTCAAAGTGAATGCTGACAAATATCTAGCACATAAAAACAAAATCAAGAGCCGTGAACAAAACAAAAAGAAAATGATGCGAAAATCTCATTGTTCAGGCTTTATCAAAAAAGTATTACAACATGAAAATGATACGACAAATGCAGTGCATAAAGTGCGCAAATGCCCACGTGCAACATTTCAACTATACCAAAAACGTGTTTGGAGATTCAAAATGATAAAATTGAGCTAAAGGTAGGAAAAGAGGCACAAATTGCCAGATAACAGCAGATTATAAGGGGACAACAATAGATATTTTATATAGAGAAAACAAATTCTTCACAACACAAAAAAATACGCAAAAAACTATGTATATTTGCCGATGTTTACCATCTTTGACTAGCATTACAAACGACGACGTGTTGTACGGTTCTGCTATATCACAAGTCTCCGCTAACGTTCCATTTTTAAGAATATCAATAAATCCTTTAACGTGGTCGTTGTTGGTAGAAGATATTGCTAAATGACAATAAAAATCATTAAACCCTTAAAGATTTATTGTGCCTGAAAAAAAAAATGTTTCAGTATTCTCCTACAAAGGTTTTTTTTTCTAAGTTCGCTAGACCCATTTAAAAGCGTTTTGATGCCTGAAAGTAACCTCTCAGTATTCTCCTTCAAAAGTTTCGATCAACGTTAAGTTCTGGAAAATCACGTCTTGGAATACCAATTAAAGGACTCAAAATTTTCTTTGAAACATAGCAATGAAGAAATGCTCGGTATTTATTTTTTTATCACTTATATAATGTAGGTGTGAGTGAAATTGATATCGCTGATTAAAAACTCATATGACACATACAAGATGATTCAAAGTGTATGAATATTAGTAAAAACATTTCATTATCCTTTTTAATACGTGGTAATCATTGTTTAGTGTCATAAACAAACTCTGCATTTGAGGAACGGGACAATATTTATCAAACGGTGTAGTTGCGAGATAAAATTAGTTTCAGGTGTAAGGCAAGGGGTTCCATACCGTCCTTGACTAATGTAATAAATTTTCCAGTACTGTAGGGCTCAACTTCATTACAAGCGCTTGTAAGATCTACCGTCACGGCATCCACACGACCAAATATATTGTCATTATTGGTCAAACTGATGGCTTTTTTGAAAATATTGAATAGTTTAATTGTGATTATAAACTTAAGATAAAAAGAAATTGAATTTCAACTCTTACATGTGCCAATGTCATGTTTTATTGTAAACTCAAAAAAAGTCATAGAAACTATTATCTTGATTTTTTTATACCAACTGAAATATAATCATGCTCATTCATGAACTGTATATGATATTGAGTTTGATTTACTTACTTGTTCCGTGGTAATAGTAATACTTTGTACTGGAAACTCTCCATAGTTCTACACACAAATAACCACGAATGTATTGACCAAACACAAGGGCTGTCTCTGTTGCTCTAAAATAAGGATTTTCAAAATGATATAAGAGAACCTTATCTGCATTTATTCATTTTTTTTTTATTTCTTGAAAATTCACAAACCTTTAACAATTGATGCTTCATACTTCACAGAACAACTAATTATCGATTATTTTTAATCCCATTTATTTTCATGTCGAATCATTAAACCTATTAAACTATAGGATGTAAATTTACCCATAGTATTAAATAATGTGCAAAGTTTTGCTAAATGTGTTTAATATTAGATTGTATAATCTGATATATTAATACCATGGATTTTGTTGAATATTAAATATTTCATGGTCTTTTTTCAACTGGCGTTGGAGTTAAGAAATTCAATTTTAACTACCCTACAAAATCCACATTTTAATTATTATGTGCTATCACCAACCTAATCATACAATGATATTGCATGTATTAGCTCGCAGTAACATTATGTAATCATGGCGCACTTGATATTGAAAAATTCCAACACGTCGGAATCATTAAATGTGTTTTCTTTAAGTGATCTTTCATTTTTTGATTCACAGTAAAACATAATATAAAGTATCTTCCTTTATAAAAATGCAAACCTAGTTTTCACAAATACCTTAATAGATATTTTCTGTCACTGTTTATGTAGCACTCAAAATCTAATGATTGCACGGCGGCTGACATGTAAATGGGATATCCCGTTAAATGGGTAGAATTAAATGACAGTTTTCCTTTATAAGCGCTGTACCAATCGCCCGTTATCTCTGATGGAAATGTGCAGGCGCTTTCTGAAAAAAAAAGAAATCAAAAAAGTTATTTCAAATCATCATATTTGGATTTTTTACAACAAAAAAAGTAAATGGTCACCTAACTATAACACTTCGTGATAAACGTAATGACTTCATTTTTTCACTTGTCAACCTCCCTCACTTACATGTATGTGGTAGTATACACTGATCGCCTCAAATAGGGTACTAGTATATTTTCTCAATTGACAAGATGCGCAAGAGCATGACTCTAAGTACGAACAATTTCATGAACAAGGTAAGCTTCTGACAATCAATTTGATGAAACAAGAATATCAGCAGTCATCATTTCGCAAATTATTTGGTCGACAATGATTTGTAAGTAAATACAATCTACGTGTATATATTAATTAAGTCTACGGAATTTTCCCCTGTTCATGACAAGGAGCACACGGATATTGTGACCAGTCAGCTTGGTTTAAATTAATTACTCCTCCATGACACCTGATCCAATCCCTGCTGATTTAGAGGTCTGACTTTGCTCAGCTCTTTATTGGCATTGCTTGAATGAAGTTGTGAGCTTGAATACCGTCTGTAATTTCCATATTTCATGATTAAACTTAAAATAACCCGATTAGGGAATTTTTTCAATCTCTCTTTAGCACTTTTTTAAAATTTGTATTTCCGCTTTTGCAGAGAGGTATCTTTATTTATTTTTTTTATATTTATTATATATCTATAATGACCCTTGTAGGTCTAAATTACTTGCCACAAAATTTGAGTTTTTCTGCAATCAAATACTATCAGCTAAACGATTTTATGGAATGCTGCATCCTAGTGTTATATTAAAATAATCCACTGGAATATCTTATCTAAAACATGAAGATGAGAGGCACTGTGAATTTCAGTAAATGTTAAAAATTATTCTTATTTAGCTCTTATTAACTTCAGAGGTTATTTAATATGTTGTCATTCTCAAAAGAATTCTTTAATGCAGTTAGAATTTGCAAGAACACAATGTACCCAAAATGTCAATTGCTCTACTTTTGGAACAAATCTATTTCAATTTACATTGTTCTTTTAAAAATGTCACATCATTTCCTTTTTATTTTCCTTTTTATTTTGTTATGAATCTTTAAAATCGCCGGGGTGGTACTATTTAAACTTTATTGCACGTTATAATTAAATCCCTTCACCTGACCACCTCCAAAGTTTAATGGGTCAATTTGTGTAAACTACATCTGAAGTATTACTGCATGTCATAATTATAAAATCTGCTAGAAAAGCAATAATAGCCGTATGGCTTAAATTTTCTTTTCTTTAAAAATTTCATATTCACTTCGAAAACAATGAAATACATTTTCACAGATTATTTTCTTTCTAAATTCCATATTGTTAACTGCATCTCTTGATTTAAAAAATTTCTTACAATACACATATTTCAGAATATAACCGTTACTGTTTGGTCTTTTCAGTTGTCATGTTGCAAATGTCACTAGGTAAATCGAAATTAATCAAAAGTTTTTTGGTGGGGTTTTTTTTTTTTAGAGAAAATGATTTGAAACGTCTACCTACTGAATACAAGGCAATAATGATTATGTAACCTCCTTATGGACATTACGAACTCTATTCAATAAACAAAACTCATGGCACCTGATCCTACCTCTGCAATTTGCAGGGACTCGTGTTTTATGCCCTCTTGATATGTTTGTATTCTTTTAATGTGTTTTATATATTGATCAACTGTTCGTTTTCTTCATCTTTTACATTACTCATACATGTATACTGTTTTCATCATCGGGGAGGGAAAACTGGGGTTCTCAGTTTAAATTTCATAACAGCAGAATTCTTGTATAAGTTGCCAGAAAACCATGCAATTTTCATTACTTTCGCAAGAAATGGCCCAAAATTTATACTTCAAGGCATGCATACAAAATAAGGCAATAAGCAAGTTTTTTAACTTTTGATATACATATAATTGATTTATATGTATAAATAAAGTGTCGTAGTATATTTGGTGTACAAAATATGGCCAATTTTGTCAGAAGTCCTTGGTCATTTAACTCAGAGCTCACGAGCAGATCAAAATTCAATAAAAAATAAATTACAGTCTTCAAATAAGTGATTCTACTTATTTTCGATAGAGAACTCTTTTCTGCAATTGTGTGTAAAACATTAATATTCAGTCTTAAGATCAACTCTTAAAGACCAAAGTTTTAAAATGCTAGCTAAGTTAACTTTGTCCTCAAACAAAATGGTTTAAAATTACCTCTCATGACAGAGAATAGAGTTCTGATTATTATAGTCCTGGCCCCGGGATCATGAAACATCTTATGCTTAAGTCAAAATTCTCACGCTGTTTTTAAATTTTATAGAGGGCAAACAGATCAAAATTGAAATGTGTTTCAATTTTGATTCATGAAAGTGCTGTTATTTGCAAATTTAAGATCAATAATTAAGAAACATTTTACAGGTGATTGAAAATGTGACTTAGGTTTAACATGTCTAAGTCTGTTTCATGATCCTGGGGCCAGGTGCATTTTTCATAGCATTTCGTTTTCATTTTTCAATGACATCATGACGGTTTCGTATGGGATTTTAAATTTTATATCGTACATAAGAACTGTGCGTGTGTTTGCCTTGTCCATTTAATCACATTGTTTAATAGTCTACTTTCAAAATCCACTAAGGTGCATAATGCATAATGATTATAAAATGACAAATGGATTTAGAAATTGCACAATGAAAAGCTTTGATAAAATGTATGCTTCTTAAACATGCAACCCTGGAGTTCTTTGTTAAGTTGTAAAGTATGAATACAAACAATTGAAAAGAGGAAATGTGCACTTTATGTATTTTACGACGCAGAATTACGTTTTAATAAAACATAGCATAAAAAAGTGTCAAGTTTCAACATAATGAGTCTGAAGCTTTTGAAATTTTGTCTTATTTTCACATAAATAGCATTACATCCTAATCCCGTCTACTTACCGAAGACAAAAGCTTACATTATTATATATATTTTAAAAATATATAGAAACAGTGCATTTTTTAAAATTCAGCAAAGCTAAAGAGCACTTTAGCATAATGTGAGTATTTGCAAACGCTTAATTATTACACTTAACAAATCTATTAAACTTTTCATTTGACATGTCAGTATGCCAGTTTCGTGGTAAACATATCTTAATTTTAGCATCGTCATCATGCAAGTCACATACTTGCCTTAAAACAGAACATCTTGTTAATCTATAATGAAGCGTGTCTCTTCCAATTGAAAAATCAAGAGAAAATTTCAATAAAAGATAAAGCTGAGGGAAAATCAATGTACGCTTTTTGTACACGTTGGAATTAAATATCCCAGACACCATGGGTTGATCGTTTTTATATTTGCAGCAAATAGGATGTAGATTTTCTATAGTTGCTTGAAAACACGAGAATTTCATCAATGTTAAGTTAACGCTTTACAAATTGAACAATCCCCATTTTGTTACTTGGGTTCATTATGTTTGTTCATTAAATTGAATCAATGATTAAATAAACTTGTTCATTACTCAGATTGACTTTGAGTGGACAGAGATCAGAATTTAATTGTTTTATACTCAATCGGTATGCTGAATCGATTTCTGATATTAGCATATGAAATTCCAAGAACCATGTTATCTTTTTGTCTGTATATCCTTTAGAACTTTAATTGAAAATGAGGGCTAAGGTTTCAAGCAAGTTATTCAATATATAAATAATGCTGTAATACGTTTGATTTCTGTCTTTTAATAAAAATACATAAAAGACAATGACAAATAATCTATTCCCTTTACTCCATATTTCATAGAAGGAAAACACTATTTCTTTCTTGTTTTTCGTCTTTTATAAAATCATATTTCTAGTGACAATTTGGTTTTCATTTTGAAATTTATTTTCACTGGCATATTTAAATAAATAATAGAGTAATTGACAATGCATTTCATGCCTTGTCATTTTGATCTTGTCTTTTCATGTTTTTTATGTGCGACTTTTTCCCAACCATGGGTTTTCGAATTTTAAATGGAAAATGGTTGAATAGAAGATTTTGTCAGAGTCTTAATCTTTGTTCGCCTAAGCCCTGTTATACTATAAATTATACATAATATTGAAGCTTTTTTTACTCATGTTGTTTTGTTAAGAGCATAATTCACATTTGTTTAGATTAAAGATTAATAAATTTTTGAGATTAATATCACTTAACAAATAAAAAGATGTTAAGATTTTATGTTAGATATTTAGAGATATGTGTCCCATCAGAGAAAGAGAGAGAATGATATTCCTCCCTAAATCGATGTTTACTACTTGTATGATCTTTCTTAATTTTTTTCCGAGTGCTTTGTAATTCCAATGCAAATGCTTGAAAAGAAATCCCAATCATCTTTGTGCTAAACATATGCTGAGTGAGTTTTATCATGCGACTTACTTCATGAATAAATATTTTGTCAAAAACGGTTTTAGTCCTCTTTCCAGCACATAAAATATATTTTGATAAAGCATCACATGAGGAAGTTAAAAATAAAATTTTGAATTTGATTTTAAATTGTTAAACGTACCTGATAATCTTACGAAGATGAGACAAATTGCAAGTGATGTCCAGGAAAAGCTAGATAACATTTTCCTCTTTCACCTCCGAACTGCTTATGGTTTACAAATCCACAAATGAAAGGAACGAAAGTAACGGAAAAAAAAATAATCACGAACTAAAATAAAGCAAGTTATTAAGAACTACTCCTCGGCACTTTTTAATGAGTCAAGCCATTTTTGTACTTCACCAGTTCAATGTTTTTCTACACATTAATTAGATGACATCTATAAAAAGTTTTCCTTCTTAATTCCATAAACAGCTAAAGAAGGCTTACGTATCTAAATCCATGCGAACATTGAAACAAATATGTCCGTATATGTCACAACGTGTATTGATCTATAATCTGCTAATATTAATACACATATATAAAATATATTAACCTGGGTGAAACTAACAATGAGTTAATCTTAGGATAAAGCCAGCCTTCGGACTTCTTTCAGGCGACGGGTTTAAATCATGTATCGATTTAAAAAACTGCATTATTTTTAATTTTCCAATTCCAGGCACTCACGTTGTTGCTTGCCTCCGCCGTAGATACGAACTAGGTGTTGGAGAGTTTAAATCCCTTAAAATCGCTTGACAATCATATATTTCTCCGATTACCTCATTGTTTGTAAATGGAGATAGCTCCTAATGACGATCTGGTAGTTAAAACTTTCTCCTTGGAAAGGAACGATTTCAACATAATTTATTACGTAATTAGTAATGATTTCAAATAGAAATAAATTAGGAATGATTTCACATAAATTACAATATAATGTAAATTTTTATCCAGATTTTAAAAAATTCGAATATATTATTTTTTTGTGGTTTTATTACAGACGAAAATATTACAGAATTGGTAAACAGCGAGTCAAATTACATCCAGTATTCTACAACAAGACTATGAAGATTTGAAAACCTGGGATAATTAAGCTCTCATCCAGCGAAATTCACGTTTTGTCGAATACAATTTCAGATTTAAATATTGATGAAAAAAAATAAATAGATATTAATATTATATTCTTTTTTAAATAGATAATAGTATGTAGACTCCAATTTGCAATGTTCAAAAATTAAAAGTGTCTTATAAAAAAGGGCTATTGTGTGCATGTAACACGCGCACTTTAATGGCCACACTTTTTGTTATCTGTGTAACGTTTTATAATTTTTCATTGACTGGATCGAGTTTTTCTTCGTGGTGACATAAATATTTGCAGTTAATCACGACAGAATTCGTTTCTTTTATCTTATTCATATCATTGGTCTACCTAGTGAACGTCGTTAAAATTCAAATTCACCTAGCAGTAATGATACATTAGAGTTGTGTTCTTTGATATTTATCATGGTAGCACATAGGTATTTTTCTTTTTAAAAAAACAAAATTCACAATGCTCTTGTCCATCCAGTAACGTTAGAACATAAAAACCATTGATTTCTAAATTTCCTTAATGTTAAGCTTGAATAAATATGATCAAATGTGTGCTGGGTCATGCCAATTAATATATATAGCATAAGATACAATTATTGATATCATTTATCATTTGACCATGAAAAATTATGCTGTTTATTTTAAATCTATAGGATATAAATATAAAATGATTTTTTTAAATACATTTTGAACAACAGTGGTATATCAAAACCTAAAAAATTACTGAAAGATAACAATTTTCAGATATTGAAATGAACTAAAAGAGAAAATCAGTAGAAACCTCGATGTGAAAATAATGACCTAACTATTATATGAAAACATGAACTAACATTCGATTTCATGAAAATTTGTATTTGCTGACAAGATATTTGTATCGATCTACATTTTTGCAAATTATTGACTTCAAACGAGACAGTAAATTTCTCCGTATCATTAACTTATTTGTCAAAAGCTTGCCTCCTTTAGAAATTTTATATGCCCTTGTGATGCAGATAATAATAGAATATTCTTACATAAATGAGGGACGTTAACGTGTTTTAAGTCATCAATTTTTCAAAATGTGTTGTTGTAAAGTTTGTACTTTCATCATGTTTTTTTTTCAGAAGCTCGATGGTATTACCTGAATAAAAATCCTATGTTAAAATATCAAATTGTTTTTTTTAAAACCCTAGCCTAAATTATTCAGATTAGACAAACTTTGATGAATTTGTTGATATCATTTTTTAATTAAAGTCTTTACAAACCAGAGTTGAAAGCGAAGGTATTTCTAAGGATTGTTCATTTTGTTAAAAGGACAATGCTATTGAAGGGAAATAAATCGATTGTGCACAAAGATATTTAACAAACTCGTCGTATATATTACGAGTAAATATAATCATGTCTGAACATTTACCCATCCTGTGTCATGAAAATTAGTTAATGTGGATTAAGTGTTTGCATAAATGTGTTTGATACTTAGTATCTGAGACCAAAATCTATCGTGAAAAGTAAAAAAAAATTATAAAAGTTTTTTTTGAATGTGAATGGTATAATGAAAAGAGAACATTCATATGACCAAGTCTCTCTCTCTCTCTCTCTCTCTCTCTCTCTCTCTCTCTCTCTCTCTCTCTCTCTCTCTCTCTCTTAATGACACGTAATGCTATACCCTCTTATTGCTCTAAACTAAAATAAAGCTCATAATAAAGACTACATGAATATTATTATCTTGATGAGCATTCATATATATATTAAAAATTATCCCGTTGTATCGTACGCAATCATTTTATTTAAAACATTTTAAAGAAAAAGTTCGAACCCTTTTGTAACTCCACTTTAACTGCTTCAAATAAAGGCCATAATCATAAAAATCATCTACACACATCCCTTTGCAATTTCAGAGAACACTGTATGTGGATGTTTTTACATAATGTGACTGCATCCTGTTGGCCATGGTCTTTTGAAAGATTCTAGGTATTTTTCTCTAAAATTATTTACCTATTTTCCTCATTCAAAAACCAAACAAATAAAAACAGTATATGTAATGAACCAGCTATAATACTAAATTGACCAAATTTTAAACCATTATATCAAGATACAAGACTATCCAAGGATCAAATACATTGTACGATTGAAATTGGATGATACATGTTAATGAACAAAGAGACTATTAAAGCAAATATTCAATACCTTACCATTGTATGAATGATCAAAGTAAAATATAAGGGTTTACAGTTTGTTGCAACAGAACAAGTAAAATAATGAGTAAATGTTACCTATTCATAAAGGAATGATTTGTGTTTCTGTTGGTATTTTATAAAGTTGTTTGGTAAAAAATTTACAAAATTATTTCGTTTTCCTTCATTTGCTGTTGAAAAACTTGCATTTGAATAAACATGGTCCAAAATACCATAGATAATATTTTTAACAAATGTGTTTTAATAAATGTTGGTAATTGTATATTCTAAACGACCGATATACTCAGTAGTTAAAATAAATATATAAAATACATGTATTTTAACAAAAAAAAAATTTTTTGAAACTCTTTTGAACCTCAGACTACTCATTGAGCTGAAAATACCTGAGTTTTGCATATTTTGAGTAATGCTTGCTGTATCATTGAAAATAACCTTAGTGAAACGTCAATTGCAATTTGTGTGTTAAACCAAAACCAGACAAGTTTATAAACTTTACTGAATCTAGCAAATTGCCAAATGCATGAAATTGTATTTTAACAGTTCGGACTTCAGAATTCACTTCTTTATTAAATGTGGCGAATCAAGACATCTTTTTGTTTTACTCCAAAAGACATCAACATGGTTGAAGCTGACAACAAAGGAGGGACTAGACAAACTTTATTTTTTGTATAACTATCAAAAAAAAATACCAAAAGATGGTAAATTAATGGCGGTATAATCAAAATCCATTAACTTATACCCAAAATGTGGGCATCATATACACTGTTAAATACTAATCATCACATGACGTGGTTGCATATCGTTAATATCACATTTTTGAACAAGAACAATTAGAACTGCTCTTGGCGCAATTATCAGTGGGCAACTCACATATGGCACTTTTTTGTATTTAGTCCTGTTAATCTGTTCTTCAAGCATAGAAGCACAATGGCATGAGCCACAGTTTTCAAGTATCAGAGAAGCTATTTCGTGTTGAATTCAAAAATACTTAATGCATCGGTCTTTTCTCGAAGAATTCCAGGAGTATCATCTAAATACAAAGGTTCTATTTTTACTGGTGGTTGAGACATGATAATATCATGTGATCCAATGACACGTGACTTAGCTAGCGTTCTTTTACACTTCTTTCCTTTCTTGCGTAGTATAATTAATAAAATGATTAAAGATATGATGAATAAGGATCCAAGTATAATGATGACGTAGTACACAATATCAGATTCGTCCTCTGTCGTGATATCTGCAAACAAAAAGAAACTATAAATAAATCACATGTATACCACCAAATGTACATACTGCTAAATTGGAACGTATATTTAAGAACAATTGTTTCTTTTAGTTTCCAGAATGATGTTTTGTCTATATTTCAGTACGGTATGTTTAAAATGAGGTTTTCAATATATACCGTATGTAATCATAAATAATAGATATTGAAAATAAATATATAAAAATTTTAAAAAATTATCTTTGTTTTGTAGTTAACAAACTTTTACATGTATTATAATTTGATAGCCCTTGTGATTTTATAGAAAAATCTAGTCTGTTCTCAAACGCAGGTGCAAAGAAATGTAGTAAAGTTACAGGACTTATACTCGTATACTGGAACTCAACTTACGACAGGTCGAATCAGCACCAGAAAAAGTAAGTTTCAGTCCCGGAGAGGCAACAGAGGTTGGTGTTTGGGTAGAATCGGAACAAATTTTTGGAAATAATGTAGCAGATGTTCCTTTCACAACCTGCAAACAGATCAAAATGAAAAGGACCATTAACCATTATTTGTAAAATTAATTGAAAAGATTTTAAGATTTTATGTCTATGCTGGTCATGCACGTAAATATGTAAATATTCCTTTTAATTGTTTTATTCACAAAAAAGACTTACAAGACAGGCAAATTTATATGTTTGTTCTGTGACCAAATCATAGGACCTTGTGTACGTAGAAGTCACAGTCGTGTCATTGTTCCAGAGTGAGACATACGTATAACCATTACTATTTATGCTTCTTAGGCATGTCCAAAATCCTCCTGCTGTTGGAAGCATGTAACAATTTAAACAATGAAACATGAATACAACAAACTGTAATCATGCTCAAACGTTCATTCATACCATATATAAACACAGACCTCTTAAAAACATCAAATGGTGGGATCAGGAGCCATTGAAATAAGTAAAGTATATCCATATGGTTGAAAGTTGATAATGATGAGGAAGTGTAAGCCAGTACGTACCAGAGAATTTGTGCTGAGATTGACATGAAGAATGGTAAGTAAAAGACATCTTGGTTTTACCAGAACATCCATCCATTGTATTATTCTCACAACTGGAAGCGTCATTATGTTCGGTGATAGTAACCAATGAAAATTTATCCAAAAGGTCTG